AGACCGTACACGTAGCTGCCAAAGTAGAGCGCGACGGGGGCGACCGTGGCCTTGGCGAGCATCTTGGAGATGTTGGTGATGCCAACGGACGTGCCCATGGCGAACGTGAGCTCGGACCGGTCAAACCAGTACGCGACGATCGCGCGGCCGCCGACAACGACGCTGCCCTCGCCGAGACCAAAGATGATGCGGCCGGCCATCGCGAGCCAGATCGAGTGCAGCTGCATCGCGTACGCAAAGAGCGCTTGGCCCAAACACATGAGGATGAGGAAGTAGAGGATCGTGACGTGGCCCTTGCAGTCGAGGAGGTGGCCGCCGACAAACGGGATGATCATGTTGGGAACCGAGACCGCTGAGTTGAACGCGCCGTAGATCGTGTTGGAGATCGGGAACTCCTTGTCGTCGATCATGAGTTGTTGGAGCGACGACATTTCATTCTATGCCATGGACGTGTGAGGAACGGGGCAGCAACTCGATGAGGAGGTTACCTTGACGAAGTGGCCGCCAAACGGAATGAGACAGATGAGCACGAGGAGGTAAAAGCGGTGGCTCGGCGCGGTCGGGAGCCAAAAGAGCCAGGAGGCCGACGCGCCATAGTAGCGGGATGCGGTTTGAAGGAGCCCCGTGGCTTCGGAGGCGCGGGACGACATGGCTCGTCGAGTCGGTCGGTGGCCAATTGGGAAATGACCGCATTGCCGAGACGTGGCTCAGCCTAGGTGCACCCCATCTGCTTTGGTCCCAGGTGTAATATGAACGCGGACCCTTCGGATGCGCTGTCGCCTCTTTGGGGCCGTGTGGCTTGAGCCAATCAAATGAGGCGAATATTCCAAGCACCAATCATATTGCATTCGGTTGGAAAAGCGTGTGCCCACCGGCCAGTGGCGAGTTTGCCCTTGGCCTCAACGTGCCATCTTGTCCGGTTGCGCGCCCTCGTCGACGTCAAGACCAACTGGCGCCACGCGTGCCGAGCCTCGTGCACGCGTTCACGGTCAGTAAGAAACTCGTTGAAACGAAGCAGACAACGTGATTGCCCTTGCCGACAAGGGCAAGTCCTACTGCACGCTGTCGAGTAATGCAAGTAGCCGCGTTTGCATAAAATGCGCAGCCGTGCTACGTTGGACAGCGGCGGAGGATGTGAACCCGGGACGCGATCAATGCGAGTAGCCACACAACTACTAGAGCTCGCCAAGCTGTCACTCGACAGGGCGCTTGCTGCAACGAGGCGCAGCAGCAGCAGGGAGGCAATTGTGTCGTCGTGGTTTGGAGCCACAACTACAGTATTACCAGTACAGTACAAGCCGACTAGTAGTGTGAGAAGGGCCAGTAAAGGCATCCATCCACTCGCAGAGCAACGCATCTAAAGTGGTTGACCCTGCGCGCTATCGTTGATGGCGTCGCTGCCAAGGCGATCTTTTCCGTGGGTCACCACCATACGACGATCGGTCACGGGTGACGTCTCGGACAAGGCGAGTCGAATCACGATATCCCGTCATCTAGATATATAGACGCTGCTTCTGGGGTATCTATGATCGTTCTTGGCCATGTCTCGGCAAGGTTTGGGTGGTGGCGAAATATCAAAAAATAAAAAAAGAACCCTTTGGTGTTGAAGACAAGTTCCGCATGGTGCTCACGTTAGCAAGCATTTTTTGCTCTCTCAACCCGCTCTCGCAATCGTCCTGCAACGCTGGCAACCGTCTGCGAGCGCGACGCAGGCGCCGCCAATCCACGTCCTAATAGTACGCATCGTCCGGCAGCCAACGTACAGACCTCTACAAAGGGATGCGAGTCGTTGCATCGCGTAACGGGTTGGCAACGCCATGACCTCACCGCTTCCCGTGCCTCTTGGTGTGACGCTCGCCTTCTTTGACGATTTTATCGCGTCCCATGGCGGCGAGGCGGCGTTCGTCGGCCTCACGACTGCCCAAGTGAGCACGTCGTTTCTGATGCCGACGACCGCGCACACCAAACTCTCGCTTGTCGAGCAGCTTACGAATGCCCCGTTTGTGCAGCCCGCGCGCTACTTTGTGTCGCACGCGTGGAAGTACCTCTTTCTGGACGTCGTCGAGAGCCTCCGCCTCTTCTTCGCCGAGAAACCATTGACCGAGCACGTTGTCTGGTTTGATCTCTTTTGCAATTCGCAGCACGACACGACCATCAAGCCCTTCTCATGGTGGACGACAACCTTTCGGAGCTCGATTGGCGCGATCCAAAATGTCATTATGGTGCTCTTGCCGTGGGACCGGCCGATTCCGCTCACCCGCGCGTGGTGCGTCTTTGAGATCTTTGCGACCGTCTCGACGAAAAGTGCCTTCCACGTCGCGATGACGCGCGCCGAGACGGACCGGTTCGCCGATCACGTGAGCGTCGACACCTTCTACGACATGCTGGGCCATGTCAAGAGCGAGGCGTGCGAAGCCTTCAAACCCGAGGACAAGGCGCAGATTACAGCAGCGATCATCGAAGCCATTGGGTTTACGGCCATGGACAACCTGGTGTTTCAGGTCTTTGGCGCGTGGATGGCGACGACACTAGAAGCCAAGATTGCATCGACCTCGGATGTTCTCCAAGCCAACTGGCAGCTCAAGCTCGGGTCGCTTTGCCAAGCCCAAGGCAAGTTTGCCGACGCGGAGCGGCTTCTTGACGCGGCCGTCGCCACCAAGAAGCAGTGTGCGGGACCAGACGCCGCGGAGACCCTCGTTGCGATGGAGCGGCTGGCGACCTTGTACAACGAACAAGGCCAATTCGCGCGCGCCGAAGAGGTTCTTGGACACTGCCATCTCGGCTGGGAAAAGCTCGGCCTCGCTGAGACCGCGCCAGCCGCCATCATCGCGCTCGAGACACTGGCGACGACGCTGCAGAACCTCGGCAAGTACGATGCCGCGGAGGCCATTTACGTCAAGTGCATTGGCCGACGCCGGCAGGTGAGTGGCGACGACCATGAAAGCACGCTTGTTTGCAAGAGCAACCTCGCGACGCTATACGAAGAGCGAGGTGAGTACCACAAGGCATCGCCGCTCTTGAACGAGTGCTTGGCGGCGTCGATTATGACGCTTGGCCCCGACAACCCGCGAACGCTCACGCTCAAGAACAACGTTGCGGCCAACTTGAACAACTTGCGTCACTTTGACGCGGCGGCCGCGCTGTACGTCGAGTGCCTCACGGACAGCGAGCGTCTTCTGGGCGTCGACCACCCAAGCACGCTGGCTACCATGAACAATGCCGCCGCCAACTTTGCCGCTCAGAAAAAGCTGACCGACGCCGAGGTGCTCTACACGACCTGCGTCGAGCGGAGCAAGCGCGTACTCGGACATGAGCACCCGAGCACATTCATGACAATGAGCAACCTCGCGAGCTTGCTCCGGGAGGCCCAAAAGACCAACGCCGCCGAGCTCCTGTTTCAAGAGGTGCTTGCGATTAGCACCAAAGTGCTCGGTCCGTCGCACCCCAACACACTCACGACCATGTCCAACCTCGGCCAAATGTACGAACAGGAGGGCAAACTGGACGCTGCGCTAGCGCTCCTCGTCCCTTGCCTTGCGTCGCGCCGCCAAGTGCTGCCGCCCGAGCACCCTGGCATTGCCAAGACGATTCTGTCGGTTGCGATGCTGTTTGAAGCCAAGCACGAGTTTGCAGCCGCGGAACCCCTTTTGCGCGAGTACTGTGCGCTCCAAACGCGCTTGGTTGGGCCTCAGCACCCAGCGACGATCTTCGGACGCTTTGCGCTCGCCGAGCACTTGGTCAAAACCCACGCCCTCGAGGCCGCCGAAGCCATCTTCCTCGACTGCGCTGCCAGTGCCATGACGACATTCGGCCCCAGCGCCACCGAAACAAAGCACCTCGAAAGCGCTGTCGAGGTCTTCTACCTCAATCGAAGCCAAACGAGCATGAAGGCGAAAGAGTGGGGCGATGCGGCGCGCGACCTGGCGGCCCTCGAGGCCTTTGGTACCGTCCATCCGCTGAGCATTAGAGCCACGGACGCGCTCCGTGTCCTCAAGCAGCACTTGCCCGTGGGCGCGCCCCACAAGGTCGCCTCGGGCTAATAAGAACGTAGCCGTGATGCCATCCGGTTCTCGAATCGGATCCGGTAAATTTCGAACAAAAAAAGAACATTCCGACCACAAAGTGCAATGTGGGAAACGTGAAAAATACACGCGTTCTATCCAGCAACAGCCGATCCATCATCGTGTGGCTGCTGTGCCATTGCTGGTCACGAGTCCAGCATGTCGCAGACGCGTTGCAGCAGTTCCAGCTCGCGCGCGTGGATGACCGCTGGGGCCCGCGTGCCACTGGCCTATCGAGACGGCGCTTTCAATTTTAAAATAATATCATCGCGCTGCGAGCCATCACGCCTCCACACACGGCGCTGAGCCGTGTGCCAGGACAGTACACGAATGTGTGGGGTGATAACTCAGCTGCGGCTTGAGCACGAGGTCAACTGCTCGATTTCGAGCGAGGCCACCCACTTCAACATGAAAAGCCACATTTCACACAGCACATTTCACACCAAGATATGTTCCAAACCGGATTCACCACACATTGCAAGCTGCCACAGCTCGACATGGCGTCCGAGACCGAGACGACGCCGCTGCGCATGCAGTACATCTTGGCCAAGGCATCGCGCTGGCAGCCATGGAAGGCGACGAGTCCGACGCACCGGTTCTTCCTCCTCCTCTGCGTGTGCTGGGTACCGTTTGGTGGGCACTTTGTCAAGGTACACATTGTCAAGGCTGTCCGACGACTGTACGGTGCGCGCTGCGTAGAACGGCATGTCGTCGCTCGAGCAGCTTATGCTCGACGATCCCACGTACCCGATTTCCAACACGATGTACGGCGCGATCAACTCGGCCGTCTCGATCCCCAACATGGTGCTTCCCTTCCTCGGCGGCCACATGCTCGATCGAAAAGGCTCGGGCTGCATTCTCTTCTTCCTCGTGCTCATGTGCTGTGGCCAAACGCTATTTGCGTGGGCCATGGGCGTCCACGAGTGGCCATATGCACTCGCGGGGCGCATCATCTTTGGCATGGGCGAAGGCAGCGTCGTTGTCGGTGCCCGCGCGATCGTCGCGTACTGGTTTGACGCGTCCGAGCTCACGTTCGCCATGGGTACCATGGTCGCCGTGACGAACCTTGCCAAGATGCTAGCCAAAGCCACGGTCGCGCCCGTGGCCCTGCACTATGGCGGGTATGTCTATGGGTTTTGGTACGGAGATGCGGTGTGTCTCGGGTCGCTTCTCTTTGCGGTCGCGGTCGTCCGCCTCACACGCGTGCTCAAGCGGCTCAAGAAGCGGCTCAAGTTTCAAGTGCGGACAGGCGCGCCGTTCGATCCGACATTGCGTTGGCTCAAAATGTACTTTGTCGTGCAGCACAAGCCGACCATCGAGCGCCTCGGGCACACAACGCTCCGCGACTTTACCGGCTCGTTTCCCGCCATGGTACATGCTCTTTTTCTATTTTTCTATCAAGGTATCAAGTTGATATGATATTCCGGCATGCTAGTTTTGGATCGTTGTCGCGCTCCACGTGACGTTCATCAACGTGTTCCACCTCTTCCAAAACATTTCGGCCAGCTATCTCTACCAAGTGCACGGCTACTCGATCGTGAACGCGGGGTACATGAGCAGCCTCTCGCACTCACTTGTTATGTTTTCGCCGTTCCTCGGCCTCCTCCTCGACATGGTTGGCGGTCGGCTCATCTGGGTCGTTCTCTCGACGCTCTGCGGCGTCGCAGCGTACGCGTGGCTCATCTTTACGCCGTGGACGCCGATCGTGCCGCTGCTCCTCATCTCGCTCTGCCTCTCGACGACGCCCGCCGTGCTCATGGCCAGCATCCCGCTCACGATCCCCAAGGAGCGCTTTGGCATCGCGTTCGGTATCGTTGAGGTCCTTGACGCCTTTGGGGCGACGTGCGGCAACGTGCTCGTCGGCTACCTCCGCGACACAACCGGCGCGTTCGACTACGACCTGTATTTCTTCCTCCTCCTTGCCGTGACAGCGTTTGGCTTGAGCCTGCTCTTGTACGTGCAAGACGCGCAGCACGGTGGTGTCCTTGGCGCGCCGACGTACAAGCCGCGTGCTCGGTCGATCTGCGACGACGCCGACGCGGTCGTCGACCTTGCCCAATTGTATGTAGAAAGCGACAGTGAAGCGAGCCCGCCACCGCGGCGCCTTCACTAACTGCAACGACATTTTTCTGTATATACTACGCATGATGAGAAGCACGACGACTGTGTGGCGCCGTGGGCTGAATGAAGGGAGGGACGAACGGGTGGTCGAGGCGGTGGTTGGTAGCCAAAGAGAACACGGGGCAAGATACCATCACCATGTACTATGATAGGCGTCGAGATGGCCTGGACCGACGAGGCGTCCAGCGGCGAAAGGGGACCAGAGCCACCCACGGCAGCGTAGCCATCGTGCCACCTCCAAATTGCACCTGGTGTCATGCCTTTGATGATGGTTTTTCCTTCTAATTAAATCGGATTAAATAGTCTTTTGTCTATAATAGCGCATCAATATTGCCACGATATTGACCACACGCAGGGGTGCAGACACGGCCGCGTCACGGGATCCCTTGGCGCTTCTCGCTGGCGCTGGCAAAGTTGAAGCGGGCGGCTGAGGCTGACTCGTCGCGACGCATTCGCTTAGATGAGTTGTCGACAGCCCGTGAACCGTTGTATCCAGCAGTCGAATGTACTTTTCTAAGACAATACCTGCGGCCGTTTGTAGAAAAAAGATGCATGCACCGCGGTCGAATAAAAAGCCGATCGTTTTCATTTTGTATTCAAATCCATACAAACATAGAGTAAACCATGGTATTTATATACAAGGATAGATAAAAAACAATCAATTTTTTCGTTTCTTTCGAGGCCCGAAAGACAGGCCGCGGTTTTGTATCAAAAGCGGCCCATTTTTGCAGCGTCCGAGAGCCGAGCATGAGCGTGACCGTGGCCGAAGCCCAAGCGCTGCGCAAGAGCCTCGAGCGGCCGCCCGTCGACACGTCGCAGTCCGACATCTTCTTCCAGCAGTTCGCCATGTTCGCCGCCATCGGCCGCCAAGAAGAAGCGCGTGTCTCGACGGCCAAAGCCCGGCAAGAGGCCGAATTTATGAGCCTGCTCTACGCCTACTTTTCAGGCTCGGACCCCGCGAGCTACCGCCAGTTCCTCGAGACGCCGCGAGCGCGCGCACCGCCGCCCATGTCGCTGACGACCAAGCAGGTGCCGCCGTCGCCGCAAGTGGCGACGCCGCCGACAAGCAATAGCAGCTCCATGTCGCCGCTGCACCTCCCGCGCCTGCTCCCGGTCGTCACGCCGACACTGCATCTCTCGACGCCGCCGGCATCGACCAACCCAAAGCCGACGGCCAGCTACCACATGGACCTCCCGGCCTCGACGTACACGGAGGCCCGCAGCCGCCAGCCCGCCTACAGCATTTCATCAACCACGGCAACGGTCCCGGAGGAGTACGACGAGCACTACGACAATAGCCCGACGAGCTCGGTCGACGACAACAACCACAGCCACCACGACGACCCGAGCCACCACAAGCACGAGGCCGAGAACCGATTCGACGTTGTCTTCCAGCAGCAATCGATGGGCATGAAGCTCGGATACGACCCCGTGAAGAAGTGCGCGGTGGTCAAGGAGAGCTTTGATGGCACCGAGTCGAAGAAGTATACGCAGATCACGAGCGGCGTCGTGATCCTCTCGGTCAACGGTACATCGTCTTCCAGTCGACGTCGTCTTATGCAGCGGTTCCGCGTAGGGCTCTCGCTCTGTGGCATCACCCTCTCCAAGATCATGTCGCGGCTCCGCGAGGCGCAACGCCCGGCGGTGATTCGCTTTGAGCGACCGCTTGCCTCCTAAAGACGCAAACGACTCGCTTCTCTTATGTGTATAACTTAAAAGCGCTTGATCCTATACGTCTCAAAACTCCGCATCGTCGTCGCATGGAGTTCCCTCCCAAGTCCTGATGCTAGCCAGCACGACTAGCCGTTGCCATGTTGCCAGCACTGGTAGCGCAGCAACACGGCGATGCCACGCGCTGGAAGACGTCTGGTGAGGGACGCAGTGGGCAGTATCGTGGCAGAGTCGGTGATGTGTCTAGCCAAGAGTCCATATAATTTTATGGACCCTTGGTCCTTGGTGTAGTAGAATGCATGTGTGAAAGGGACATTGGTTGTTGTGGCGACTAGACCATGGGGAATCTGTGCATAGTGTGTGGTTCAGTTGGTCGAGATCAATCGCCGCTGCACGATTTCCAAGACGCCCAAGCGTTCACAGCACGAAGAAAGGATTCTATCATCGCACATAGTAGCAGGACACAAGGCGACGTCTTCCCGTTCCACATGCCTACGGGCACGTGGTCAAGCTTAAGTCCGCGCCTGGCTCGACGTTTTAAGGTAGCAAAGCGCCCCGAAACGTCACAGAGTTGGTGTCAACAGACGCATGCAAGCCGAAACTTGCGTCCTCTTCGGTGACAAAGGATGTAGTCATTCCCTTGGTGCCGACCAAAATGAGAGCGGTGGGCTGGGCTGATAGGAAGCTTGATGTCGCATCCGAGGCTGGACCGAGGAGTATTTCACAAACGAGCGTAGCCATACGAACGCGAGAAAGATGCAGAAAACGCTGATCTTGGTAGGGCTCACTTGGAGCGCTGCCGAGATGCCCTAAACGAGTTATCAAGCTTACTACAGGTTCACATGGAACCTTTCTCCACTTCAGTCTTCAAAGTTCGCATCTGTAGCACTTACTACCAACATTACCTTCCGTCCCCACCCAGAAACACACTTGACATCTTGATAGTCTACGAGTTGGCGAGAAACAACCACCGGAAATCGTGGCGACATCCCAAGCACGACCGAAAGATCATAAACTACTAGTACATGGTGTAAACTGTCGGAACACGACGGTGGGAATTGTGGAATCGCTCGTCGCCGCTTGTTCGATGCGCAACCGTGGAGCACTCTGTAGAGGAGAGGTACGTACGTCAAATGACTGATTGTCGTTGGACTCCACGCTATAGCATTTCACGCGTTTACTCGTAGGACCGCACCTACTCGCCTCGACGCTTACATGACATCAATGTCCTTGTTGACGCCAAGCAAGAGTGTGCCGAAATCGATAGTATTTGCATGCGAACATGATCAAAAAAGAAGAAAATGTGGGTCCAGCACGAGCTCCTTGACGCCTTGGTGCGAGGACATGCACTGTTGACAGTGCAACAAGCAGGTTGTCATCGCGTCGTGCGACGCAAGTTCAAGTGATGAGAGGTGATTTGTCCACGACGCCGAAGACGACGCTCGTGATCTCACTGTGACGACGTGTCCGTTGGCGGCTGCTCGAATAGTGCTCCTATGACGCGATTACATCAAAGCTCTATACGTACCGTAAAGCACGGCGGCCTCCAATCGCAGCAGCATGTCCCACGACGGGACTTGACACGGGCTGCAACTTTTGGCATCCATTCAGCCCATGGCTCCATAAAGTTTGCTCCTCTGTCGGTACCAGTAATGATGGTTCGTTTCGACCAGGACCGCGCTGGCTTTCATTAGTCGCGCGCAGATGTGGCACGTCAACACAAGGGAGGCGCCACATCCGTCCTGTGTCTCTCAACCGGACGCACGGGGTCCTGTCGCGCTACGTGCTACCGCTGTATTGCACACGGTCGGCTGCTCGTTCCGGGATCTTGCCCGCTCTTGGCGCCAATTTGCAAAAAATCAAAACCGTCAAAAAATAGAACCCGCTGTGATTGGTCCATGTCGAGATTCCAGGCATCGACTAAATAAACGCAACTTTGCACCAGACGCCAGCCCTTGCTCGCTCGACTTGATCGATGATGTTGCCCGCGTCGCCCGCGTATTTCGTGCATGCATGCTGATTGTCCTTGTACATGCACCCAAGAGCTGCGTTCGTTGAGGTCGCGGCGACGGGCGAACGCTCGTCGTCTGCATGGAAAGCCGGGATCAGGCGCAAGAAGCAGCGTTCAGTGGCACAAAATTCAGGCCCCGCGCGCTTTTTTAATGGATTCTCGAGCTGCTTGCCCTTGCACGACGCGGATTCGAGACACCGGACTCATAGGCACCTCAAAATTCGTGTATTTTACGCCGTCGTTGTCCGCGGCGCCAAAAATGCATGCCGTTGAGCAGCACCCAAGAAGCGCGACTTGCGTGTTTTTAACTCGCGACAGACCACAAGAATGATGCTACCGACATCGATGGTCCGGTCGTTGGCTATAGTGCTGCGTTGGTCGCTGCGTCTTGCGCCTGGAAGACGGCCGAGAAGCGTGCACCCAGTGTTTGTGGTGGTTAACCTTCAACCAGTTGACGAAGCTACTTCGTCTCAGACATCAGTCTTCGTTCAGCTGCCCCTTCTAGCTTCCCAGAGACAGGCACGATTACATGGTACGGGATGCTGTAGTATCCCACGGAGGCTTGTCGCGCAAACGCTGCCCAGGTTTGACAGGACACGAGCGAGCGAGCGGCGCGGCGCTCCAAGCAGGACCATGAAGCAGGAAGCGACGATGTGTTGTTGGAATAGAAAATCATATTAGGTTCTATAAGTTAGTGAGACGTGGCACACTCTACGGACTTGTGTGTGTGTGCCTTTAGAGCTAAATAATACGGGGCGGACATTAGATGCAGCAGACTGCGGTGGCCTCGGCCGTGTGGCAGACCTTGGACGTCTTGCCTTTCGGGCTCGCGTGGGGCTTGCGCGGACTGCGCTTGCGTACCATGCCCTTGGCGTGGTGGATGCGGCTACTCGCCGGCTTGGTGGGGATCTGCAGCGGCGTCAGTGCCTTCAGAGCGCGCTTCTGGATGAGACCGTGGAGGCTCTGAAAGACGGCGGCGTCGTGGTCGGCGTCCCAGTCGACGTATTGCGTCTCTTGGTTCAAGTCCTCGCTGTCCGAGCTCGACGTGCAATCCTCAATGTACTCGGGTGCTGGCTCGACCACCAGCGCTGGCTTCCTCGGCGACTTGAGCGTTTTGCGCTTGGCGTCATACAAGTTGTGCAGAGCGGCTTGAAGCGCGAGCGTCTTCTCGTTGTTCTCTTGGCGCAGAAACGCGTTGAGCTGCATGTAGACGTGGAGGTCGTCATTGAGATCGCGGCACTTGGCTTCGAGCGCGTGAACATGCGCGGCCGACATGATGTCGCCTTGGCCGCTGGCACGGAGCTTGGCCTGCTGGCGCATGAAGCAGTGGAGGGTCTCGCGGGCCATGATGAGGTCGCTCTCGAGCTGGTTGAGGCGGCGCTGGTGCTCAGCGTGCGCCTGCATGGCCTCGAGCTCGGACGCCATGCGCTCGGCATTGAATCGGAGCTTGAGCGCGTCCTGTAGCCGCAGCTCGGCTTCGAGACGGTAGACACGCATTTCGTGGGCTTCCGTGAGGGCGGTTTGGTCGGCCGTGAGCTGCGCGACCTTGGCCTGCGCGGCTTCCAGGTCTGCGCGTAGCTGCGCGTTCTCCGCGCTGAGGCTGTCTATCTGTGTACTCATGGCGGCGAGGTCGTGGGTGGCCTGCTCGTACGCCTCGTGGGCGTGGTGGAGCGTCCCCTGCATGTGCTCGATCTGTCGCTTGAGCTTCTTGCTTGGTAGCACTCCATCGAGTGCTGCCTTGATGAACGGTCGACGCACCATGGTTGACCGCTGTCGACGTCTTTTGCTGGCTGTGTCGAATGCTGAATGTGCCCGCTCGAGACATGCCCAGCGTTACCTTCCACACCCGCTGCGTTTGGCGATCTTCAATATTTTCTAGTCTATGTGATTGGATAAAAACACAGCACCAGGCGCGTATTCATTGGTTAAAAAGGCCAGTCGATGGAATGACAGCGGCGAACGTGGCCACCCAAAGCAGCCTCACAGCGATTTTTGAAGTTCAAAAAAAGTTGTTAAGGATCGCTCTCAAGCAACTTGATTCCTTCGACGCGACCCGCGAGCGTACGCATCATCGAATCGCCATCGCATCGAGCCAGGGCTTGGGAAGTACAATAATGTATCGCCATCACCCACAAAGCCAGTGGTGTCGGCGTTTGCGAAGCGACAGAGGCAGCAGTGTTGCACCTCTCGACAATCAATCTCGATACCTATTTCATAGGTTCCTACGTGTTTACGGCAAGACCCGTCCACTCACTGCGGTAGTAGTACCGTGTACATTCTCACGGCGTCCAGGACGCGACGCCGTGTAATCCTGCCGAGATATTTCCCCACCCATCGCCGAAGGACGACCCGACCGGCGGTGGTCCACGCGGGAAGGGCGGCGTGACGCTCGTGGCGCTTCTCAGTGATGTTGTCGCGCTGTTGACGGAGGTAGCCACGCTGCTCGACGACCGTGGACCCTCAATGTTCGCAAGGCGGCGAGAAGCGCGTTGCTGTATGACGAAATATCGGAAATGCCACTAAGCTGTACTAGCCCACTCTTGTGATGCCAACCTCGACACCCGCCCATCACCACCGGCACCATCCCACTGCTGCTGCTCGCAGCTGCGCGACCACGACCACCGCCACCACCAAGAGCCACTGCGTTGCCCTTCTAGTACATGGTACACTTGTGGTTCGTACGCTGCAGCTGCCAATACACTGTATTGGAACGACACAGTGTAAACGGCAGAACGCGATATCCTCCCACAATCGACCACGAAATACGATCGCTTCGTTGATACAGTGCATGGACGGTGGGCACTAGCGGTCGCCGCTGCATTGGCGCTGCAACGAAGCTTTGTCTCTAGCGATTAGTAGGCCATGATGGTACCCTGCTGCATCGTGCTTCGCCTGACCCGACGCCCGTGACTTTCGATCCGGGCGGTTCGAAAATTCGGTAAATTCGCCAAAATGCGCCTTCGAATTAACGACTCTCTCTGCCGATCATACAAATAGCAAGATAGATGCAAGTAAGTGCGTCGTATGAGTAACGGCTACGAGCTCAAAGGCCATTGGCTGGGCTCGTTTTAGGCCGCTGGTGACACAACTTTCCCCGACCGGCCGTCCGACCGACCGACCCGCAGCATGTACGCGAGCTGGGTCGTTGGCATCGTCCTGTCGCTCGCGGCGAGTCTCTTTGGCACCGTGGGCAAGGTGCTCATGAAGCTCGCGCACATCCACGACGGCAGCTTCCTCCTCCTCGGCTCGGCGACGTTCTGCGTCCTCGTGCTCAACCCGGTCTTTGATGCATGGAGCTTTGCGTTCGCCGCGCAGTCGGTGCTTGCGCCAATGGCCGGCTTCAGCGTCGTGTGGAACATTGTCTTGGCGCCGTACATCCTCAAGGAAACGCTGTCGCCGCAGGTGCTGCACGGGTCGCTCCTCATCATCATCGGGTGCGCGATCGTCGGCCTCTCGGGCAGCCACATTTCGCCGACGCACACGCCGGAAGAACTCTTCTCGCTCTTTAGCGAGCTGGCGTTCATCGTCTACACCATCATCTCGATCGTGCTCATGATCATGGTACGCCATGCGACGATTCATGCGTATCAAGCATCTCATTGGATACGTATCCTAGCTGGCCTACGTCATCCAAACGTATCCGGCGCACAGCTCGTGGCGCCGCTTTGCATTTGGCGCGCTCTCGGGCCTCATTGGCGGCAACCTCTTCTTCACCAAGGTAACACAGATGCACGACAGCAGCATCTTCACGCATGGTTGTCACTGGTCGTATAGACGGCGGTCGAACTCATTGGGAAGGGCAGCGAGATCTGGGCGTGTACCGAGACGTACTTCATCGTGGTGTTTGCACTGGGCTGCCCTGCGCTTGGCATCTACGTTCTGAACCTGGGCCTGAAGGAGTACGACGCGTTGCACATCGTAGCTATCTACGAGTCATTCCTGATCCTCTGCGGTACGTGCATCAGTAGTACTGCCATGCAAAGCCTCAGTCCTTGTGTAGGTTCAATCTCGGGCGTCATCTTCTTCCACGAAGACGAAGGCATGCAAGAGTGGTGGCAGCAGATCCTGTACCCGATCAGCATCGTCACCACGATCGCAGGTGTCGTGGTTCTCTCCAAGCAGTCGAGCCCGGACAGCCCGATTGGCGAGAAGGCGCCTCTCATGCACAGCGCCAAGCCCGTGAAGCTTGTCGTTCAGTCCGTCTAGATAGTACAGCATAGTCCGTACAGATAAGCACACCAAACGAACCATTCCATCTTTCACGCTGCCTTGATGCTTCCGCACCCGAGAATCCCAATCCCATTGCGCTCGACTGGGCCACGTAGAAAGGGTAGGAAGGCTCAGAACCAAGTCGATAGCGATTGCTGGATCGTGCAAAGCTGCGACGGGCTCCAAACCGCGGCGTATGCGTCTGAGTCACGACCTCGCGCCTGATCCGGGGCGCGTGGGATGTCTGCCTCGTCTCGACGGCAACAAATAGATACTCCCGCAAGCCGTCTGCTTTCACTTGGCTACTCGTGGCGGGTTCTCTCACGAGATTCCGTCGCGCGGCTCAGATTGGTTCAACGTTAAGCGAAGCGTTGATTTTCGAGCCCAAGTAGCCATCAGCGTTCTGTCGTGTGTGGTACAGCGACGCTTCTAGATCACAACCTAGGTGGTTGCCATCAGAAAATCTTTGTTGAGCTTGATCACACGTGATGGTCTTCCGCGACCACCCTCGATTGTCGGTCACTCTTGGTGTTCACGTACTGCCATGATAGGGCGGTGACTTTCACCGTCCTTGCGTGATGGTCGCGGCGTTGAAGACAACTCCATCGCCTGCGACGAGCTTCGTGCGTCAAGCGCTCTCGGTGTGTGTACCGGTTCGCTGTACAAGCCACAGCATTTCATTCTGTCAAAAAGCAATACAGTGTATGTATTGGGTTTACATGGCAGCGGCCGCGCGTTCCTTGCGGAGCGTCTTCTCGAGCTTCTTCTTGCTGAGCTTCTTGGCTGTCGCCTTGACGACTGGGCCTTGCTTCTGGTACAGCGTGTAGGCGTACGCACTGAGGCCCGCAAAGGCCGTCACGACGAACGCGAGCACGATCAGGAGCGGACGGGTCTTTTCACTGTTGTCTTTGGACTTCTTGCCGCGCTTCGCCTTGCCGCCCTTCGACTTCTTCTTGGGTGCCTCGTCGTCGTCGGCCTTGGACGCTGTCTTGGCCTTGGACGGCTTGGCGTCCTTCGGCAAGAGCTTCGAGAGCGCCTTCTGGATCTTGAACTTGCAGTCTTCCGAGAGCTTGGACGCGTCCGTGGGGTTGGCCTCGATCTCGGCGCGGCAGTTGGCCGGCAGCTTCTCCATCATCTTGGCAAAGATCTCGGGCGTGATCGGGTCGTTCGGGTTCCCGGCGGCCATGACCTTGCCCATGGCGCCTTGGATCTCGGCCTTGCATTCATCCGACACCTGGCTCGGGTCGTTCGGGTTGGCCTCGATGGCTTCGCGGCAGACGGGCGAGAGCTGGCTCAGCATCTGCTCAAACATCTCTTGCGTGATCTGCGGGCGGCCGTCCTGGGGCACGGCCTCGGGCTCGATGTCGATGCCATCGTGAAACGCAGCATCGTCGAGCTCGTCCGCGCGGGCAAAGACGCTGAGGAGGCTCAGGAGCACGACGAGCGAGAGCAGCCGGAGGTTCATCGCGTCAAAGGTAAAGTGGCAAACGGCAATTTGAAACCCGGGGCGAACACCTGGCCCAATCAAATGCTAGTATTTCATCCCGAGCCAATCAGATGGCGCCAAAAAAAGAAAGGCAGCAAAATCGAAAGTCCGATCTTCCATTTTCGTGGCATCCAACAGCAGCAACGAAAAACAAAGGCTAGGAGGGCGGGCACAAGCAAGTGCTGAACATGTACAGCGAGCACTCAAGGAGACGGTCGAATGCACGCCCCCAAAGAGGGTGTGGCGCCTTGCGTGTGGCGCGCTGCGTGCTCTGTCACCTCTTTGCAGTGGGCAATGTTGTAGGATCCTGCCTTGTAATGAAGGCTCAAAGCCGTGAATCAAGCATCGCGTTCACGTTACGCGCCCTGATTGTACTTGGCAGTCGAAACGCGAGACTCGATGAACGCGCTTCCACGAGCTCGAGAACGACGATGCAGTCGTCTGCGAACTCGTTGGTAGTTGGCCTTGCGGCCACCAAAGTGAGCAATTCGAATCGCATTACAGTGGATATCGCACGCTGCACACGCGGAGGAAAGGATGTCGTTGACGTGTCGAACGCACGGTCGCTCGCGGTGGCTCGCTGTAGTCATAATTTTACCCTAGCTGATGTGGCGTGGAGCCACACAACCCCTGCACCAACCTTTGTGCATGACAAAGGAAAAGTTGGTTCCAATTGCATCCGAGAAGGCGGTGCGGGTGAAATGCAACCCGAGTTTTGTCGCTGCTCAAGCGATAAAAGCCTCGGAGCGCGCAAGTTGCTCGCGAAAGTACAATGTTCACGCCAGGGGTACATACTAGTAATAGTTATGTACCCTGGTTCACGCTTGGAACGATGAGATCACGAACTGCCAGCTGACCCAGATATGGTTCTAGACCCCTGGAGAGGAGTTTTCTGTTTGTACTTGGAATCCTGGATAATGTACTCTTCATTTCCACTCTCGTGCCTCGCATCCCTCTCAGCAAGCTGCAAGGAACGACGCGCGTTGCGTCGAAGCACCATGCGTAGGCTCGCAGCACTTGCTCGCAACGCGAAGTATGAAGAGCTCGCACCCACTCTTATTAGATGGGAGCGCTGGCGAGGAGCCTTTTATGAGAATATCATTCAAGTGATGAGGTTGAGTTGACACCAACAGGCCCATTCCCTGTAGGGAGAAAGCAAGTGCGACGAGTCGAAAAGGTCTCGATGGAGCCACAAAGCGCTCATAGACGAGCTACGAGTTCTTTTTGTCAAGGGGTGGGCATTTTAAAAGTCAGGACTTGTGGAGGCAGGTCTGTCTTGTCAATCTCATTGGCGCCAGCAAGCACATTGGAGTTGCTCACCATCCTCATCGGGTCGTGAAAGATCATCGAGGAGGATGCGGGTAGCCGATATGCTATTGCATCCCCAACGTCGACCGGAGCCCCGAGGCTCCACTAAAGCACTCCCCACTTGACAACGACCAACGCGCACATCAGCGCCAATTCCTGCTGGCAAGATCGAAGCTACGTCCATAGATCCGGCAAGCCGCGCTGGCTCCGCAGCACCGGCTCAGTCTCTCATTCTCCAGCCTCGCGTCAGGCCTCGTGTGGGCCAATCGTGTGACAACACCTTCTGGTGACAATGTACACTGTTGTCTACCGTTGTGTACTACCGGTACCAGGTATGGAAGCGACCACCTTGTGCGAGTGGTGGCAATCCTAGCGCCGAGTGCAAACTGGTTTAAACGTGTCCGAAACTTCAACCAGCGGCGCCGACGATGGGCAGTAATTCCAGCACAAGATGCCGCAAACGCCACAAGACCACCAGAGCTCTCGGCGCAACCAACCACAGCGTCCTCGCGTGTCGCAATGTGGCCGACGTGTAGTGGGACAGCCAGCTCCGGGCGCAGCTCCGGCCAAGACTCCGCGTCCGTTTATTAAGCTCCGCGTTGAATATGCATATTCGTCCAGCATCGGCCGTAAAACGCGTCGGAAACACCTTGGTTTTTGTATAGGCATCAATGGCTTCAAGTTTAACCTCCCATACCCTTGCATAAACCTACTCATTTTCATCGCCGAGGTTGGCGGCCACTAAGCACGTGTCGGTTTCAGGTCAAATACAATACACTGCGGTATACAAATATAATTAATGGCCTCGCATAATTCTTTTTTTTCGTCTTAATGAATACAAATACGCAATAGAAATATATGATTTTGTTTAAAAAGACAATGTCCATGAAATAAAAAGATGCACGAGGTATTTTATTTGACTGTGTCATGCGTGCGTGTTGATGCAAAATAAGTGGATGATGTTCGACAAAATAGGGTTTTCGTTTTAAATAGCGTGTCATTTAATGACGCTAGCAGGATGTATTTTTTACGATACCAGCGATGGCATAGACAGATCCAGTGGTACGAAGCAGTGTTGTAAAAAATACTGGTTGATATATTTAAATACGTCATAGGAAATGATTTTAATCCGTTCTGGCGGGTCAACCTGGCACTCGGCTCGTATCTCGCATTATTCGATTTGCTCGCTCTCGCGCTCATCAATCTACAACATGTCGAGCGGATACGAATGGGCCAACTCGGCGGAAGCCTTCCTTGCCGCGACGAGCGGCCGCCGTGGGTACTCTGCCATGAGCTTTTACCCGCCGATGCAGCAGCAGCACCCGATCCAGTGCATGCCGCAGGCAATGACGCCGACCTCGATCGACTCGTACGACATGGAGATCGTCGTCGCGGACGCCAATGGCCCCATGGTGCAGCTCGTGACCAAGCGCAAGTTCGGCCACGACAACGAGGACATGCTCTTCAAGCGCCAGCGCCTCCAGTGGTAGACGAGCCGCCGCATCCCGCTTGCCCTCTGTGCGCATCCAGGATCCATCGGTCATGCTCCTCGACACTCTTGCGATACGAACTATTTATGCATAACCTGTACTCTAAAGGAAGCACGCTTTGGATCTTCACACTTGATGCCCAACCTTGGATGGGATCGCGAGACCGGACAGATTGTGCGCTGGATTGATGCGGTGACATGCTGGTTCTATCGGATAGCAAACCCGCTGGTCATGAAGGTATCGACGAGCACTGGTCCGGCGACGCACAGCAAGAGGTATGGCCCACCGTGGTAGGAAGCCTCGTGTTCCCGCCGACGCAGCCTGTCGCGGCCCAAGATTTCAAATCGTGAGCTGTTTCGACTTTGTTCCAATCACCACGTTTCGCAGCGTGGATTGGCTCAAAATGTCGCGGTGCTGATTGGCTACATAAACAAGCTATGTGGCCAATCCGATGCACGTAAATGTTTCTGCAAATGGCCAATCCCCATCGTGCGTGCACTGATTTTCAACCACTCCTAACAGTTTGAATTTTGTCCAATCCGGTACGAGCAACCTCTACACGAAGCTTGGGTGCGCGTGGTAAAAAATATGCTGAAATAAAATACAGCATCGACCTGGTCTTTTAATGCGACAACGGTATCTTTCCAAGTAAAGCTTCTAGAAATACCCCATCAATTAAAAAAGGTTTCTAGAAGATTTTTAAACCGCTACCGCCAGTGCCGGTATGTAACTCTTCCTGCCACTGATTACGGAGGGTTTGCCAGCATTGACGTGCTTGCGTATTCAGCAATTCGACACAAGGGACGCACCCGGACGCGACCCCGCACAACGATGGAGACGATCCAGCAAAACGAAACGACGATGCCCTACTACAGCCAGAGCCCCCACGCGATGCTCAGCTCCTTTGTGACCCTCGGCGACGACGACGAGACGCGCGATATTCTGCAGGTACGTACCGTGCTCCATGACGCTAACGGTCTCCTCATCGTCGCACGGTAGGAGTTGATGTTCCGGAAGCCGCTCACGATTCGCGTCCCGACGCCGCTTTTGACGCTGGCACGCGAGAAGGATCTCTCATGCATTCTCGAGGAAGACGAGTAAGAGGCCGAGAAGAAGAGTAGTCGATAGTCATATAAGTATAAAGTCCCATCTTGGGATTCGAGCAGTTTGGTGCAAAGTCAGTCGTGGAGCGCGGATTTCAGGGAATCAAAGCAGACAAAGGAGACCAACCGAAAGGCCTCGATGCACCCTGCACCGACGGTAGTAGTCATTTGGTGGCGGCTATCACTTTCAAATCCAAAAAGCCTTCGCTTCCGAGCCCAGCGAAGTGAAAACAAGCAGGCGACCCGAAAGGTCCCGACTTCAACCAACATTCCCGAAATACCTGTCAAATATGATGTGATGCCACGTGGAGAACCTCTGTATATGAATACTCTCGGCTCGGCGTGATCGGAAGCGCATAGAATCGCCCGAATTGTCCATGTGCAATTTCGATGATTGCGCTAGTTGTGTGCGTGACGACATTCTTTCCTCGTCGACCAACTCTTTGGGCCAGTCAGTGGATGCCTCCTCGACACAGCGCTGGAGGTCCGCGGTTCAAACCTCGTTGGCCAAGGTCTCTTCTCTTCCCTTTTTCCAATTGTACTGGAATATAAGAGGATCGTGTCAGTGGTAGCCCGTCTAAAATACGCGATCTTTCAACTGGCCGACGTCCAAAGCGCATGCGCGGCATGAAAAAGGACAGTTCTGCGGTGCGGTTCGTCGCGTCGTTTGCGCGGGAACCGTTCAAAATACGTTGAAAGGGCACGATTGGGTGCGCTGATTGGTGCATTCGAAGGATCCAAGTGCCACCGGATCACGCGGCAAGCGACTTCGCCCCTGTCGCCGTCCATTCAATGGTGCGTATGACGCTTGCATTGGTCTCGATCCCCCATCGCCGGCGAGTTGGTGCATCATTGAAACTCAACGGGCCGTTTTGACGTTCAGAATGGCCGCCACTTGATGTTTGTATGGTCCAATCCATGCATTTTCGCGCCCGACCTCAAAATCGCCGGTGCCACCCAGCAGCAGCAGCATGGCGTCGATGCTGCACGTCGCATCAAGCTCGATCAACCCGTACATCACATGCACGCTATGCAACGGCTACTTCCGCCAGCCCTACACAGTGCGCGAATGCATCCACACGTGTGCGTACGGTAGGCCATCGCCGGCGAAGCTCATGGACCCACCTGTAGTCTGCAAGAGCTGCATCTTCAAGCACATTGTGACCCAAGACAAGCGCGCTTGCCCCGTGTGCGAAGGCCCGTTTGGCACGTATCCGCTCTCGGGCACGAAGCGCAAGCCGCCAGAGATTGTGTACGTCGGCGACTTTCTTCGATTTGTTGCCAACTCATGCGCTGTCCTATAGCCAAGACCACGCGATGGAAGGCCTCGTCAAGAAGCTCCTCTCCAAGCTCGACGTCCAGGACGCGCAGGATGGTATGCATGCGACGACGCTCTGCATCTTCTGATGCAGTGCTAGAGGTGGCCTTCTATGCCAAGCATGACATTCCACACAAGTCGAGCGCCACTCCCGGGTCGTCCCAGCGCGAGGTCAAGTATAAGAAACTCAAGGGCAAGCAGCTCCACGTGGTGCTGCGCCCGATGCTCGAGTGCGTCCACGTCCCATACGATGCAATGGACTGTCCCTTGTCCTAGGTCGCTCGGTCCACCCGACGGCGGCGACGAGTCGGCGCCGTTGCGACGAAAGCACTTTACGTACCTCTGGCAACTTACCGAGCGATACCGCGTACACCCATGCATTTTCAGCAGTGAGCGACCTCGTCATGCCCCTTTAGATTTTTGACGTCAAGATTCTCATCCGCAAGATGTTGCGGCTGCGCGGGCGGCTGGTCGAGCCGCAGGATCTCGAAGTGCACTGCGCGGGCCAGCTCCTTGGCAAAGAGCACACGCTCATCTTCATTCAAAAAGCCATGTGGAAGAAGGAAGGGCCCATCACGCTCGAGTACCGACGCGTCAATCGGTCGCCGACGTGAGCCCAATGTGAATGTCGTTGTGTGCCTCCAATATGACGGAGCTTTGAAACACGTCCGCTCCATTTCGCACTACAACCGCTATAGCGACCACCATCTCTGCCCTTTGAGTCGTCGTCTTCGCATCGCTAGAGTCGGCCGATCGAGCGCTACAAGCACGTTGCGCAGGCAAACCAATGGTCGTGTTCATGGTATAGAAAAAGCAACACCTCCGCCCGTGCGACCAAGCGCTGGCTTCACCGCACGCGGCCTGACGATGCCTGGACGCGGCAGAGCGGGCAAGTCGTTTGTCGCTCAAGCCAGGGAGCCACGCAGTCTTCGTGGAGCTCGTGGCCGCACGGCAGCTGCAGTCGGCGCATCCCCCGAGCATACCACGGGTTGTCGATCCACTTGGGGTCCAGTGGGTCGAGGCAGATTGCACAGGCGTCCTTGCAACCGGCAGCAGAGGCAGTGTGAACGCTGTCTCGGGTGGGCGTGTCGTCAAAGAAGGCCTCGATCACCGCAGCGATACCGTCCGTGGCCGGGAGGCGTCGGCGCAGGAGCAGCAGGGGCGCCATGAGATCGCGGAACCCGCGTTGCCGCTCGAGGCGAATGAGCACGTCGTCGTGCCCGAGGTAGCGCTGCGGAAAGGCCGTGTCCAGTACGGGCTGCAAAAGGGCGCGGATGGCCGGTGGCGCCCGCGCATAGCGCCGACGCAGTGCCTTTCGGAGCGCGTAAAACTGCGAGTAGCGCTTCTTGAGGACGAAAAACTCCGTGACGTCGACGACAACGAGCGTGTAGAGCGTGTACTTGGGCAACGCCGTGTACGAGATGCGGCGGACACACGCGGTTGGCGCCAAGTACGCGTCGCGGGCCATGACCAGTGGCCGAGGTACCCGACGCTCGTACCCGACGCTTCCGTCCAAGCAGCCGTACGTCCACGCGAGCGGGTGGAGCGTCAAGGTCGTCGCCATGGGAGGCCAATTCAACAGTGTGCACTTGGGAGGCCGCTTCTTCGATATCGAAGGTCCAGCATGTTGGCTGCCAACGTCACCGTTGCCGTAGGACAATGTTGTCACGGCTAAGTATAGACACCCAGTCCCGAGCGTCAGCCCCCACCAGACTCGAGCGAGCTCGAGGCAACGACTTCTTGTGTTCAAGTTTCTACTGCATTCTTGCCAGCTCAACCTGAGCATGCAGAGGACGAGTATATTTCAATGCTGATGAAAGCGGTTCTTGAGTTGGGCAAGGTATTGGGACCAGGAAAGGCCGAGTTGCCAGCGACCTTCGGAGACGCGCCGACGCCAAGGGTAGAAACTTTTGTACCGTGACTACCCTCGAGCAATGCACGCCGGGCCTCGTGATTCAAGCACAAGACAAGTTGAAGGACTTGAAGACAACGTCACCGCCAACGAGTTGCATCATATAAAGGCATGCCTGCAAGTTTGATACCGAATCGTCAATAGGACCGAGCGGCTCATCTGCCGGCGTCTCCATGAAAGCGCTCCAACGTCCGAGAGACCTCGTGAGCCTTTAAAGAGGAACGCTACACTGTGCATTGACATTATTCAACAAGATAATTGTACAAGAAAAGGCGAGAACGACACCACGGAACACGACTAGGCACGGGCTTGGTACACGACGAGCTGGCGGCAGATGGGGCACGACTGGTGCAGCTCAAGCCATGAAAACACGCAGTGTTCGTGGAACGCGTGCTTGCACGGCAAGGTGACGCTGGTCGCTGCCTCGTCGTTCTCGTCCTCGGACGCGAATTCGCAGAGGCAAATCGCGCATCCTTCGTCGTCGTCACTGTCACCGCTATCGTCTTCGACTGCGAGCTCGGTGCCGGCGCGGGACATGCGGGGCAGTGGCGACAAACAGCGGGCTTCGTGCGTCTGACGGTGCTTGGGCACTTCAAGGAACGCATTGACAAGCTCAAAGATCGCGGTTGTCGCATCTTGGGCGCGCAAGTGCCAGCGGAGGGCGACGAGGACCTCGGTGAAGCGTGCAAGGCCGACGCGGCGCTCGGCGCGGATGGCGTCCGTGTCAATGCGCAAATGCTTCTTTGGAAACGGCGTCGCCAAGAAGGTTTGCACGATCGGCGCCGTCTTCTTGTGCTTGGCCGACGTTGCCCAGAGCGACGGCGCGAGCGCCTTGCGTAGCGGCTTGTAGAGGCGGTGGAACTCCGAGTAGCGCTTTTGGAGCATCCACTTTGTGCTACCCCACGTAATGTGCACCGAGTACGTTGTGAAGGGCTCGGAAAAGGTGAATTCGTTGTAGCAGCCGCAGACGCTGGCGCTTGTGATGGCGACCTTGATGCTGTTGTTGTCGTCGTGCAGCATGAGGTAGTACGACGAAGAGGCAGTAGGCAGCAGGCGAGGAGGGAAGTACTCGGCAGAAGGAAAATGGGAACCACGGCCAAGTCTTCGATCTGTGATTTCGCCGGAGTGACAGGGCGCGAAAGATTCGGACACCATCGTGTTTGAATCTCCCGCGATCTTTCGCTGACGTAAAAAAGCCAATCAGAGCGCGCGGCAGTTGACGCACTCGCAAAGCCATGTGCCCGCACCATAGATCAGACGCCGACAGTTGAAGTTGCAACGCTTTGGATGCCATTCTGGTAGCTCATTCTGGTCCTTGTCGCCGTACGCATTCAGATCGACAATGCTGACCGATGCGATGCGCTTGCGATGCCATTGCTGCTTCATGGACTCGACTACTGATAACGTGCGGCAGACTACACCGTGTACAGTCCACAACTGGAGGCGTACCACATCCAGCAACAAGTCAAAAGAGCGTGTACCCACATCTAGTGCGCACTGAACGCAAGCAAATGACCCTTCGTTCCAGATCTTCCCAATGGCATTTTCGAGTACGAGGGAATCTCCAGAGACGCTCACGCCATGTGGCAAAGACATGGTTCGCCAAGCCGTTCCAAGGTGTCGTTCTTGGTGCAGCTCCATCGTACCGGTATAAATACATGTATGCTACAAAATCTCAACTTATACAGGTGGGTGCCTTGACTTGAGAGCACGAATGCTCGACCTACCACGACGGAACCGAAGAATGCAGGTGACGTCATGTGTAAGTGTTTGCATAGCCGCAATCCTAGCTGGACTATATACCGGTACCCGCCTCCTGGTGCAGCAATATGGCTTGTGCTGACTGGCATCGACGCCCGACCGAAGATCATCGTCTGGTCGTGTGAGTCATTCCGGGTGGCAGATTCTTAGCAATCTTGACGGGTTCTTTACGCGCGTTATAGACAATGCAGTTGTTGACATCAAAGCGCTTGATTGAAAAAAGCATTAGAAAACATTCGAGCGGAACCGGTATCCGTATTCCGGATACGAGACCACATCTGGGCGCTTGACAGGAGCACGCCACCACAATCACACGGATCAGACGGCAAGTTAAGCAAACTCATGCGTTGTCGTCCTCGCCGGCACCGACAGCATGTCCTGCAACGCGAGAATTTCCATTTTGTGCATGTTGCTCGCCGTTTTCGGCCATTTCGCAAGCACGAGCTTGGTGCTTTGTTGCAGCGTGTACTACACGAGTACTCATGTTTTGCGCTTGCCCGCCCATTCGTCGGAACTGTTTCCAAGTGAGGTGCCTACGTGTACTTTTGGCTCGTTGCGTGCGAGGCCACTTTGATCGAAGAGTGCTCTGCAGTAGCGAAATACCAATGGCAAAGACATGGCTTTGCTTTGACATGTGGGATATATCACGCATTGCAGCGACGCATGCTTGATGGCGAACCAACGACTCTGTTCTCAGTTGCTACTGGTGTCTTTTTCTCGCTGCTGGTGCATTCGCTTGCCGTCAATTTGATATGCCTCCCATTCCACTCCACTACGTATCACATTTATGGAAGGCGTACCTCACACTGCATGGGAGGCTCGCACCTGCTAGACCCAGCTGCCGTAGTATTCTCGTCTCGAGTAGCACGCCAGACTCTGATCGGCGGAACTGGTTCGCTTCGTGCCCGAGCCATCTCTCGTCGCTCTTCAACGCCCACGGAATGCTGCGTTGTTGGTGGTGATGGTGCGTGGTTTCTCGCGCGGCTTGTCGCGGATGTCCTTACAAGCCTTTGTCCACCAGTCGTCGTTGCCATTCCGTTGCGGAGACTATGCGTCAAGCCATGGCGAGGAGGCTGCGTGCCCCTTTCCTCAGGTTCAACGATCCACAGACCAGATGGCAACCCTCCGCAACCAAAAACGAGAAAAAGAACCCGACAGTCTTTTCGTATACGGTATACTCTGGCTCAATATAGGGCACCCTCGCAGCGCAACGTCGCAGCATTTTTTCTTTTGCACCGCAATGGCCGCATCCGCCCACCTCCTTCCGCAGACAACCCTCGACCGCACTCGCTTTGACGAGGCGGCGCGCGCGCTCAAGGTTTTCCCCAGCGCGATGAACGTTGTCTCGCCGGCCAGCGGCCCCTTTGTCATCTACACGTTCATCGTCTCGTGCCCGACGACCAAGACGTGGTGGGTCGTCACGAAGCGGTACTCGGAATTTCTCGCGCTTCGCCGCACGCTCGTAGCGCTTGCCAAGCGCGCGTGCGACGATGTCCGCATCGTTCTCCGTGCGGTGCACGCGCCGACATTTCCCAAGAAACACCCGCTGACACCGATCCACAACGCCGGCAAGATCCTCGAACGCTTGACGCTCTTCAAGCAGTACACGGCGATGCTTGTGTCCTTGCGCGAGGCCTGTGTGTTGCGCGCACTGCAGCTGGCGCCGTCGGCCGGAAAAGACAGCCTTCTCGAGCTCTACGACCTCGTGCAAGATTTCCTGAGCATCCCCGAGGCGCTGCGCCGCGACGAGCTTCGCCGCACGATCGCCCTCGTGTCCCCCGAATCGTCGTCGGTAACGGAGGAGGACACGGAATGTGACTGTGAAGAGGCATGTGCCATCTGCCTCTGCGACTACGAGCATGGCGTAACGAAGCTCCAAATGCCGTGCAAGCACGTCTTCCACCAAGAGTGCGTAGTCCGGTGGCTCGAAAAGTCCGCGACCTGCCCGTTGTGCCGCCAAGACGCGACGCAAGGGTACCTGTTCTAAGCGGCCTTTCGTCGTCTTGATTCTATTCGTCCTATTTACTAAACTGTTAATTATACTGATTGGAAGACGTCATTCGGAGCATAAGCAGGATGATGTGATGGTCGATGCGTTGATGTCCTCTTCTTGCCTCGGACTGTCGTGCATCAGTGGTCGTGCATGTTGTAGAAGTGGATAATGCTTGATGGCACATCACATGGCGTTGCCGAAGGAGCTGGAAAGCAAGACGATTGCTTGTTCCTGCGTAGCCATTCGCACCCTTGGAGCGGTGCGTATGAGTGAAGGTTGCCGCTTGGTTGTTTTGACGCGGCCAGAGGTGCCATGCGTTAGCTCGTGTGCACAGAGATGGTTCCAGGTGCTTGCACTTGGCGCGCCACAAGAAACGCCTTCGCCCGCGGTAAAGTGATCCCGTCCACATGAGGTCAGATCAGAACCCAGCTGCCTGCAACGTCAAGGACCAACGGCCAATTGCATCCATCGACTAGCAAAATGGCGGCGCCTCATTGGCGCCTGCGGTCGCCACCCAGAAATTTCTGGTTCGCAGGCCGCTTCCCTTCAAATCGTCTGGTGCATGTGGTCCTTTGGCAACTTTGGCAACCAAAATAAAGAAGCGCACTGCGTTTCAGTATGTCAATACAAACAACAAGATACAACCACAGCATGTCGCAACGGACTTCGACGCATTTGATTGGCGCATTCCGCTAGTATATCGTTCGGTACCCGTAACGTCCGGTCCACATTGCCGTTTGATTGGCTACCGTAGAATTCGGCTGCATAGCGCAGCTGCCTTGGACGATGTGGCAGAGGGCCTCGGCGCCGTTGATTTCGTCATTTTCCAATTTGCCTTCGACTGCAGACGCCAGCGACACCCGGAGCTTAGCTTCCACCCCAAACCTTACAACCCCCCAACGCCGCATGGACCACTCTGCCCGACATGAACATTACCTCGCTTTGCCACGATCTCGCCGCCCATGAGCACGACGCCTCGATCGAGCGCCTCAAGACGGCGCACGAACACGATATGAAACAAGTCAAGGTGCACTCGAGCGCCATGAACGTTGCCTTCCACGGCAGCGGCCCCTTTACCATCTACACGATGATCGTCACGTGCCCCGGCACCAAGACATGGTGGGTCCTCAAGAAGCGCTACTCGCAGTTCTTCTCGGTCCGCAAGCAGCTACTCCGCCACTTGAAGGCGTGCAACAACAGCCGCTTCGCCGCCCTCGCCGACATTCTCGCGCCCGCGCTCGAGATGGACTTTCCCAAGAAGCACATGCTCGTTAGCATCGACAACAAGGCCGTCATCAAGGAGCGCAAGACGCAGTTCCAGCGCTTCACGGCTGCTCTCATCGCTCTCCGCGCCTCGTGCATCCTCGCGTCGCTCGACGCTGACCGCACGGACGCGCAACTCGCCAAGCTGGACGCAGTCTTTGACCTGCTCCAGGAGTTTCTCGAAATCCCGTCGACGCACGACCCGCTCGCGGGCTCGTCGCCGACCTCGGACCGCTGCAGCGAGACGTCCAACGACTCGAGCTGCGACTCGTGCTCGATCTGCCTCAACGACTTCCAGGCATCCGGTGCGACGTACCACTACCAAACCCCCAAGCACAACGCGGCGCCGGCCAAGAAGGTCCGGTTCGCCCTCGACGACGACGACGACGACGCTAAAGCCGCCGACGAAGAAGAAACGGTGCTCAAGCTTCCTTGCAACCACTACTTTCACGAAGAGTGCGTCATGTACTGGATCGAACAAAAGAACTCGTGCCCGCTCTGCCGCGCCGACGCCTTTGAAGGTGTCATGGTCTAAGCAATATATAAATGAACGTGTTTCGCGTTATCTTCGTTTTTAGAGTTCGCATACGTAGAGACTAGCAATCTCCTTCTTCATTCGTTCGCCGGGCCGTGGCTGCGCAGGCGGCGGCGCGGGGGCTCGTCTTGCTCTTCTATGGTCGTCCAGGGGCGCTTGTGGCCGCGGTTGAGGCCCATGACGACTCGCTGTGTAAAGGCCTTCACGCAGTGTGTTGAGGTCCTCGAGAGACGCCAGCGACTGAGGCGGCGTCAACGACTGGAGGTCGCGGTGCAGGACGATCGGCAACGCGATCTTGGTGTGGCCCGAAAACGGGGCGCCTCGGGAGCGGCAAAGAAGCGGGCGGCGGCAATGTTGGCAGGGACGTCTTCACTCATGCGCAGCACGTGTCCCAGCAGGCGCCAGCGCTGGCGGGCGACGATCTCGCTCAGCGGGACGCTGTTGCAGCGGTCGTAGAGCGCGACGTCGCCGAGCTTGTTCGGGTGAAAGATACCTAAAAGGCGGCGCAGCTGCCGGCGATGGAAGCTGTCAAGGTCCGCCAGACTCGTTGGCGTCAGGGCCCACGTGCCACAGTTGTACGAAAAGCCCGGGAGCTCGCACAGTAGCAAACTTCGTCATCGTCGAGGAAGCCCCGAAGGACCGTGAGAAGCTTCGCGCGGTCGATCGTGTCGAACGCGCGTGAGAAGTCGATACCTAGGATAGAGAACTGCTCTTCGTATTGGCGGATCCGGGCGACGCACCACTTGTGTGGCCATACGACGTCGGCCGTGCTGCGTCCAGGGCGAAAGCCGCTCTGATACGCGCCAATCTGCTCGTCGAGCTTCGGCTGGATCCGCTTGAGCACCATCACAGAGACGGCTTTGCGGATGCAGTTGAGCAAAACGATCGGGCGGAGGCTCGAGCACACGCCTTGGGGCTTGTTGGGCTTGGGCAGGCAGATCAGTGTCCCGTCGCCGAGCTGAATCGGCTGTCCTTTGGCAAAACCGTCGTTGAGCAGCTGTCCGAGGGGCGCGGTGATGAGGTCGGCGGCGGCCTTGAGGACTTCGGCCGGCATGGTGTCTGGGCCGCAGGCGCAGTTGTTGCGGAGCTTCTTGATCGCGTCGTAGAGTTCGTCAGGCGTAATGGGCTGGTCGAGCGGTCGGACAGTCGTGTCGTGCTGTACGGTGGCGTTGGTCGAGCTGGCGAACTGGGCCTGGAAGTGAGCGGTCACATGCTTGGCTGTCTCCTTCGTGTCCATAATGATGTGGTCGTGCTGGTCCTTGAGGCGAAACTTGGACGTGGGGCGCCGGAGCGTGGCCTGGACGGCTGCGAACATCTGCGAGGTAGGGCTCAAGGCTTCGATCTCTTTGACGAGGGCGTCGGCTTCCGCGTTGGCCAAGTCGCGGCAGCGCATGTGGATCCTATGCATGACTAGGTTGCGTTCGATACGGAGGTCTCGGGTAGCGGCGGGGTCGGCGGTCTTCATGTTGTCGATGCGTAAGCGCAGCGCCTTCTGGTCACGAGCCAGAGACGCCAAGGTTGCGTCGTCGTACCTGTAGCGGCTCTTGGTCTCAATGTGGCCGAGCGTCGTGCCGGCGGCAGATACCAAGGCGGCGAGAAGCTCGCGCCACGACGTGTCGGGGGGCTCTTCGGCGGCGTCGTACGGCGGCAGGATCGCAGAACGCGGACAGAGTGGTTTCGTCCTTGAGCTTGGCGACGTCGAGCTTCTTGTATCTAGTGCACCTGAACGTTGTCGCGTAGACCTTCTGCCCGAGCGCCTGAAACAACTTGAAGTCGGCCGTCACGAGCTTGTGGTCGGAGGACATCTGGAGGCCGCCCCACTGCTGTGCACGTCGAGATACGACTCGACCATGGCGCGTGGGAAGGCCTCGTTGGCTTCGCGCTGGCCGAGCTTGGCGTTGAAGTCGCCGCCGATGACCGTGATGTCACGCGGAGGCAGCGCTTTGAGCACGCGATCCGGATCGTCGTAGAAGCGGTCACTTTCAGCCAGCGGCCGTCCCATGTGCGGCGCGTTGACCGAGAGTACGTTGAGACATGTGTACCTGGAAACCCTGAGCTTAAGGAGCGCGATGCGAATCGTGGCTGCTAAGACACGTACGACCTTCGACGAAGCCGACGCCGTGCCATCGCGACGGCTTAGGCAGGGCGTAGATGACGTACTCCTTGGACTTGCCGATGCGTTTCTCGAGGCCTGTAACTAGGTGCGTCTCTTGGAGACACAGAACCGAGATGTGGCAACGGGCGAGATTGAGAGCGAGATCCTTTTGCGTTGCCTCCAAGGCGAGAGACTGACAGTTGAGCGTGGCGAGGCGCAGGCGCGGGAACCGGGAGCGAGGAAAAGGGGAGATTGCTAGTCTCGCAAAGGACTGACACAAGCGGTCGACGACAGGGTCGACCGCCTGTGAGGAGAGACGCCCCATCATCGATGCGACGCCGTTCACTCTAGGACGGAGTCTCCCGAACCCACCAAAAGATGCCCTTGGGATAAGTTAACTAACCTTGCGCACAGGTAGCAATCGCGTTCCGACGCACAGTGTACTGTAGCTTGCAGCTTAAATAGCTTCCCAAGCAGCAGCTCAAGCAACTACAAGCTTGGAAGGCTTCGAGTCTGTGCTTTGTCGCACCGAGCCAACCAAGGGAATATTTTAATATTCCCGTGGGTGGGTCAACGCATTTTGAATCCGCGCGACAATTGCGACAATGTTCCCATGTCTTGTCCGAGGATCTATCGACACTCCAATCCTGGTACAGTTGTACGATGCACAGTCGGCCTATCAATCCGAGCGCATTAGAACGCACGCTGTGGCCAGGTTCTGTGGGCAGCTCGATTTTGACCTACATTCTCCGCCGATGTGGCATGGCTTTGCAACGCTGCCACGTCATCCTCGGGGCGCTTGCCCGAGCGTGGCATGCAAAGCGTCCATGGCTTCGTATTGCAGCCGCGCTCACGAGCGACATTGGGACTACGACCGCGGCATTTGCGAGCTGTTGCGTGCGTAGGCCAGTCCGCCGCCTCGGACGGCAAACTCAACAGCGACATGTACGCGCCAGTCCTTCTCGCGTTTCTTCGGAAATGCTCGCAGGTGCGACCTGGTTCTTCTAGCGTTTGTGTATGTACCTCTATCCACGGATTCGATGCACTTGAAATGAGTATACGCTCGCAATCGGGTCGTGTCGCCGTGCGCACCAACTCTGCTTTGTCGTAATCGGATTTATTTGCAAACTTGAAGTCGAGTTCAGTTTTGATTTTCATCCGTCTCGGCAAGAACAGCCTATTGCCATGACCATGCTCGCAGTGGACGAAGCGTCGTCCAGTATCGTCGTGCACCCCCACGCAGCGTCCAGCTACGTTGCGTACACGTTTCTCATCACGTGCCCCAGCACCAAGGTGACGTGGACACTCACAAAGCGCTACTCGGCGTGCTACGCACTCCGAAAGGCCCTCCAGCGCCTCGAAAAAGGCATCGAGACCGAGCTCTCGCGGCCGCTGCATACGGCGCTCACGATGCCGTTCCCACCAAAACACCTCTTTGGTCAGAGCGCAGACGTCGTGGCCCAACGCGCGGCGGCGCTCAAGCACTTTGTCGCGATGCTAGTTGCGATCCGCGCCACTTGCTTGCTCACGCTCGTCGCGCACCGCGGGCGTACGACGGCGCCGAGCGACACGCTCTTCTCGCTGCTGCAAGAGTTTCTCGAGGTGCCGACGCACGTGTCGCCCAACGAGCTTCGGCAGACGGTCGCGATTCTGTCGCCGGACGAAGCGGCCGCGTACGCCATGTATCCGGACGACGACGACGAAGCGAGTAGCTGCGGCGTGTGCTTGGCGCCGCTCGTTCCTAGCGCATGCGACACGGTCCATGCGCTGGCGTGCGACCATCACGTCCACGCCGCGTGCGTCGTACACGGCCCCGCGCACTGCGTCCTGTGCCGCGACCGGATCGCATAGCCATACCTCTCCTGAATTCTTCTCTTCTTGTACAATAAAAAGATACCATACCCCAACATCATCAATCTCTCTCGCTTGCTTGTCAATGGACGGGTTCCGCAGAGTGGACCGAGAAGAAAAAGTCGTGAGGAAAAGGCCTCACTCGGTCTGATCGGCGCGCCTTCCACGCGCTGCGATACCCGCTGCGCATGTCCCGGAATGGGCTCACATACAAATATCAAGTACAAGAAAGGCCGGTTCACGACATGGGCTCAAGATCCAACCCAGTTCAAAAACAACTCCACGGAATTGGTGGCGCATCCTTTTTTCAGAAAACATATAGCAAGTTTGTATTCGATTGAAATCGCGATCCGTGATTGGTTGAAAAGACTGGATAAACTTCAACGAGCATGTTGCGTTGCGCCACACACACGGCACTTTGCCTTTTGCCACCCACGACGCAGATCTTATCCAACACTAGTATGACCACAGCGCTGACCGGCCGCATGCACGATCTTCAACTCGACTCGGTCGACAAGGTCAAGCTCGCCCACGAGCACGACCGCAGCGACGTCAAGGTGCACGCGAGCGCAATGTGGTACGCGCCGCGCGGCGTCACGCCGTTTACGATCTACACGCTCATCGTGTCGTGCCCGGGCACGAAAGCGTGGTGGGTCATCCAAAAGCGCTTCTCGCAGTTCCACTGCCTCCGCAAGCAGCTGCAAAAGCTCCATGCGTTCTCGACAGGAGCGATCCGGAGTCTCCTCAAAGACATTGCCAAGTGCGAGTTTCCGTCGCGCCATCTCAGTTTTGACACGGCGACGATCGTTACGGAGCGCAAGACGTTGCTTCAGGACTTTACGACCAAGGTCATTGCGCTCCGCGCCGCCTGCGTCCTCCAGTCGCTCAACGCCGAAACCACGTCGCTTGGCGCCAAGCTTGACCATATTTACGATATTCTTCAGCGCTTTCTCGAAATTCCGGACGGGCTCCGCGACGAAGACCTCCGGCACACGCTCTCGGTGAGCTCGCCCACGTGCAGCAATGGGTCGGGCTCGCCGTCGACGGCCAATGAGGACGACGAAGAGTCATGCGCCATTTGCATGAGCGCGTTTGATGCGAGCGAGTCGGTGCTCACAATGGCATGCCACCACTCGTTCCATGAAGACTGCATTATCCATTGGTTTGAAGAGAAGCTCACGTGCCCCCTCTGTCGCGACGAAGCCGTCGGTGGCCACGTCGTTGGCTGCTGAACTTTAGGATTTCTCTAGGTATTTAGTTCTTCAATTTATAGTCTCTTCAACAATCTCGCTCTGCCCGTTCGTTCCAAGCTTGCGTTCCATGGCTCTCAGTCGCCCACTGGATTTTGCGACTGGCACATGCCACGACACAGCGAATTCCCCAGTTCATGTCGCGCGTTCCAAAGCGACGCGGATTGGCCAAAACGAGCATCGCAGACCGGTAGATGCGAAATGCCGTCTCGTGATTGGCGCAAAGGCCACGCGCCATGCCACTCGTGATCGGCCAATTTGGTGCTGTCCCATTGATGTGGCCGCTTGCGCTATTGACGACGTCGGCGGCGATCTCCTACGTGGTCATGGACCGCTGTCCATTGGACAGCCACTGCATCGAAGCCGATGCAAGTGATCATTTCCCATTTTGCCGTCTTCCTAGCAAGCCGACATTGTATCTCTCATGTCTCTCGCCACCATGAGCAACCACTCGCAATCCACCACGATGATGATGCCCAGTGCACTCCACCTCGATGACAATGCAATCAAGGTTCACACGACGGTCAAGAACGTCATCCAGCGCGGCCTCTCGCCCTTCACCGTCTACACGTTCACGGTCACGTGCCACCAAACGAGCACGTGGTGGATCCTCCAGAAGCGCTATTCGCAAATCTTTGCGCTTCGATCGACGCTCCTCAAGTGGCGCAAGCAGTGCAGCTCGACGCCCGGCATGGCGCCGCTCGCTGACCTCTTGACGACGACGGCGACCGTCGCGTTTCCCCGCCGCCACATTTGCTTTGACCACCCGACGATCATCCGCGACCGGAAGCGTGAGCTCCAAGGCTTCATCGCCGCCCTCATTCGCCTTCGCCAGGCATGTCATGCACTCGCGCAGCAACCGGGTGCGCCTCGCCGCAAGGCCCAGGACGTCACCTCCTTGGTGCTGCATTTTCTCGAGATGCCGGTGGCTGTGGAAGACGAAGAGCACCGTCTGAGCTGTGGCCGCCCACTGCATTCGCACACGGCGCCGACGGACGATGCGTGTCCGATATGCATGTGTGAGTTTGACGAGCTGTCCGACGACGACGCGGTGCTCGAGCTCACGTGCGGCCACGCATTTCATGAGTCGTGCCTTGTGCATTGGCTGGACAAGAAGATGACGTGCCCGCTCTGCCGCTGCGAAGCTGTCGGCGGCTTCATTGCCGCGTAGACGACGGTTCCTAACTTATAAATTTATATCTATGGCGTACCCGCATGGTAATGATGCTTGTTTATGCTGCCAAAGAAGCAACCAAGAGGCCCATGCGAGGCGGTTGTGGTGTGAGCTCTCTGTACGAGACCCGAGGACGAGCCAGACGAAACAACTGCGGTTAGGGATCGCGGGCGTTGTCCACTTTTATTCGAGTTGCAACGCGACTGCCGTGCGAGAGTCCAATTATATCAATTCGCTCGCAACGTATCAACTTTGAAAGATCTTTCCGCTGATACTATGAGGAAAGGGGGTGCTCCAGAATGTTCTGCGGTACCGATATGTTCCGGCGCATGCTGTGGACTTCTATTTTGCCACTAGTTGGTTGGATGCTGGGCTTTCCGTAGGCATATCCGTCGAGACCATGAGAGTACCTCGCACGGCAAGAAGCGGGATCGCTCATGTAGCGGCGCGGAAGGAAGATGCTTTAAGGTACTAACAGACGTCGTCGCGCCGTAGTGGAACGATGTGGCACCTGCGACCCAGTTGCACCAGACTGATCTAGCTACTCATCTGGTTCTTTTTTTTCGTGTCGTTCAAAGGTGTCCTTCTTCCTGGTCCGTCCGTGTTGCCCACGTCAGAGCGATGACGTTGTCCAAGTGCAAACTGGAAGGAGCGCAATAATTTAGGATATCAAATATCGACATGTTGTCCACGTTTCGATCCTATCAAGCTCCCTGAACGCTGCGACGACGGAAAAAAGAATGCACGTCTGCGAAAGGGCGCTTTGCAAAAGGCAGCCAAAATATCGAATTCAACTTGGCATTTGTATGTGAGGGGGGTGCGTGGACAGGCACTCGAATTGAAGTTCAAGCCTTTTTCTAGCACGCATCTTGGACGGCAACTGGCACCAACCAGATTTTTCAATTTACCATCTCGGACAGACTACGAGCATTCCCACACGATTAACAAGAAGCACACCTCATGCCTCTCTCCGATCTCGTCCACGACCATCTCCTCTTGCAGGACGACGTTGCGTCGCTCAAGGCGGCGCAGGTCAGCGATCTCAAGCAAGCGCGCGTGCACTCGAGCGCCAAGAACGTAGCCTACTATGGCAGCAGTCCGTTTACGGTCTACACACTCATCGCGACGTGTCCGGGCACCAAGGCGTGGTGGGTCCTCAAGAAGCGCTACTCGCAGTTCTTCTCGCTCCGGAAGCGGCTGCTGCACCTCGCGGCGACCGCGCCGCCCGCCATCCAGACGCTCCTCGCGCCGATCGCCGACGCCGACTTTCCCAAGAAGCACCTCCTCGTGAGTGTCAACAACAAGGCGATCATCAACGAGCGCAAAGCGACGCTGCAGCGCTTTACAGCCACGCTCATTGGCCTCCGCGCCGGCTGCGTCTTGGCGACGCTCGAGCACGCGGCCGATGATGTCGTGCAAGGCGTGCTCGACACGCTCTACGACCTCCTCCAAGACTTTCTCGAAGTACCGCACCACGAAAACGACGGTCTGCAAAAGCACAGCGACGCCAGCGACGACGACGACGGCGCGTCGACGAGCCTCTCGTCCCCGGACGAAGCGGCGTCCCCCAATGCCACAAGATTGGCGCCTCCAGCCGAAGACGACACCACGGTGACGGCCGAGGGGAGCACGATCTGCACCATTTGCCTCTGCGAGCTCTCGACCAACGACGACGAGCAGGCGCCAGCCAAGAAGGTGCGTTTTGAAGTCGAGAACGACGTCGACGAGGACGCGGTGCTCGCGTTGCCGTGCGGCCACAAGTTCCACGAAGAGTGCGTCATGTACTGGGTCGAGCAAAAGAACTCGTGCCCGGTCTGTCACACCGACGCCTTTGACGGCACCGTGCTCTAAGTGCCACTTCTTCTGTTTCTGCGTGCTCGATGGAAAGTACGCACACGACCATCGACTATTATAACTATCTGTACATTATATAATACTAAACTATCATTTATGAATTCGCACATTTCTTAACGCTTCGACGTGGCGGCGGCCACAGGCAAGGGGCAGTCCAGCGACAGCTTGGACGGTCATTTTTCTCTTTGGAGCCTGTCATTGGCAGGAGTCCCAGGCTTCGAGGCAAAGAATGACTGGTCGTCGCGAAGTGCGTTGCCTTTTGTGCTGTGTCCATCGTCGTCGCCAGCAACGCAGGTGCTTCGGAACAGGATGGATGCCCACAGAGCGCCACGTCATCGCGTGTCACAAACAACCCATACAAAAACCAAGTTACATTCTAAATTGGCGCCACTTCGTTGATGGCACATCCTTTATCCTCATCGACGCTTTCCAGAGGGCGAAAGGCGGAGCGTGGAGACGCATCTTGCGTCCAGTATCAACCAAATATAGTACCAACATGATCAATAATGCGAAGCGAAGCCTACTCGATCGACTTTCCAAGAGTACCAGACCAAACTCTAAACCGCCCACTTGGCATTCGGATGAGATTCCGAGTCAGTATTCATGTTTCGAGCACCGGTGTTGGGTTCTAGCGGTTGCTTGGCGTAAGCAATACCAGTGCACTCGTGCACGCTTCAGTATCGTATGCACGTTCCACGTGGCGGGTCCCACTCAATGCGGCCTGTGGTTGACACGGAACTGTGCATGTGACGGCCCATGGCCATGACCCAGATTCGAAATACCAGATCCAGTTGAGTGAGCCGCGCTGACCACACTACCCGTACTCATTCAAACTTTTCTCGAGCAAACTCCAAGTAACCAGGAACCACCTCGAAAACCACCTCGGAAATCAAATAGCGGCCCCTTCATTCAGGTGTACATGCAGCTGTACATGAATACGTTATTCTGGATGTGATACGGCCGCGTTTACAAAGCCCACTCGAATGATAGAACCACTATAACATGACTCAAGTAGGAATGTAATGTGTATATGAGTACACTGTGCACTACAGTACTAATCGCACACGCCTACGTGAACAAACCCATTTCTGACCTTCAAGTGGCGGCACACACGCAATAGCAAGGCCCAAGCGACCTGTCTTTTGTATACAGGAGTAACCTCTAAATACCCCGCACCCTGGTCGACGTGCACAATGGTATTATCATGCGTCGTGCCTCGGATCATCCGCTCGTGGCCGTCCGTTTTGTGGCCATCCATCACGTAACGCTTCGACGTCAGCTGCGGGGAACTGAACACCCAAGTGAGCATCGAAGGCTCTACACTGTCTTGACGCTGACTCGATGGCTGCTGAACGAGTAATCGTGCGGAGACGCACAGTCTCTTCGCCACGGACGTACGAGATTCCTTCTGCATACAAACAAGGGTACATCAATGAGACCCTTCTTGATACAGAGTGCCTTGCATTTGGCTGTGCGTGCTATTTTGCGACGCTGTCGCGTGGGACTGTATCTGGATGCACGTTACGTACGGCCGAGTTTGCACTTGGCACTTTGCACTGTGGGTGCATTTCCTATTTCGCAGGATGGTGGCGACGACGACCCGCGTGCACGTCCGCGCACTCAACGTCATGGCGCCGGCCAGCGACAAGCTCTCGGTCGGCAGCGAAGCTTTTACGGTCTACGTGCTCGTCGTCGCGTGCCCCGAGACGCGCTCGTGGTGGATGCTGCAGAAGCGCTACTCGCAGTTTCGAGCGCTGCGGAGCGAGCTCGCGCTCGCGCGGCGCGCCGTCAAGGCCAAAGTGCCGGTCCTCGCCGCCGCCATTGCCGACGCACTCGACACACCGTTTCCTCGCAAGCACCTCATGCTCACGACCGACTGTTTGGCTGTCATCAACCAGCGCAAGCGTGGTCTGCAGCAGTTTACGGGTCATTTGGTCGCTCTCCGCGCCCTCTGCCTGCATTGGAAATCCCACGACGACGACGACAAGGTGCGCCAGCTCGTGCAAACGACAGGTGCGCTGCTGACCGACTTTCTCCGCGCGCCGGCCATGGACGCCCCTGCGACGACGGCCACGCGCGCGCTCGACTGCTCCATTTGCTTGGAGCAGTCGATTGAAGAGGACGAGATGCAGACGCCGCCGGTGGCACTCGTGATGCCCTGCGGCCATGCCTTTCACGAAGCGTGCCTGGTCAAGTGGCTCGAGACCGACTGCTCTTGCCCGCTCTGCCGCACGCGTGCCACGCACGGCACCGTTGCTTAGGACGTCGTCGCCTCTATTTATTTCAATACATCGCTTGTCCCAACCAAAGCGCGTGACTCATGTTGCTTCCATCATCCCATGAATGTCTCTCGTTCGATGCGCCAACCGACAACAGTAGCACCCGCACACTTGCTGCCATTTTGTGCACAGTACTCGCAGGGAGAGGTTTGGATAATACGGTCTCACGCCAACTCGATGCCATCAAAGCATGATCGTTGCCGGCGCGTGTGATTGGCTATCTCATATCCGGATGACGTGGCAATTAAGTCGCACAAAACCAAAACGCCTGAATGCGTGAAGGTTAGCATCGACACTAGGTCGTGGGGAGAAAGCTGCGTGCTAAAAAAGCCATCCCGTTGTGGAGCCCACTCACTTCACCAAGGGTCCAACTCGGGGTGAAGCTGCACGTTGTTGTGAAAGACCTGCGTGGAATTTGAAGCGTGAAGGCGGCCCCAAAATACTTGGCAGTGGATGCATGTAGCAGCAGAACGGGCAATGCAGCGATGCATGGACACATCGATGGCGCCTCCTCTCCGATGTGTCGGGTGCTCGCGGATCGGTGACCCGAACACAAGGAAGAACATGTATGCATTTGCTCCTTGTCCCCTGATCTGCGAGCCGTAGAGATGTGTTTGCGTTCACATCCAATGAGCGAAATTAGCTCCGAGACTTTAGAGACGCGTTGCTCATCTGCATACGTCGAGGCTGGCACCAGCACTTGGTCGCTCCGAGGAAGCTCCGAGATCCATTTCGTGGCCACATCCGGAAACGTTACCGGATAACGTGACGTGGCAGCGCCCTGCGCGCATTTGAAAGCGCACTGCGCGCATCGAAGCGAGGGGTGGATTATCCGGAGACGTATCCGGATAGCCCAAGCTCGGTCTTGGCAGTTGTGGATCATGAGCTCCGAGGCCGCGCTCCTAAAGGACGTGACACGGGCGCTCGCGCAGCTACGCGACGTCGCTAGCGCCGAGCACATGGACAAAGATGCGATCGAGGGTAGCGTCTCGGTGCTCTTCCGGCGGACGTCGGCGTGCGTGGCGGCGTCGCGGTCGGCGGCTGAGCTCTGCTGCAGCGCGCTCTTCCAGCAGGCGTCGACCTCGGACGATGCCGCCGACGACACGAGCCTTCTCGCGCTGCTCCAAGACACGAAGCAGTCGACACAGGCCTTCTTCTACGTCCTCGACTACCTCAGCACGTTCCTCAAGAAATTCCATCTGGACGTGCGCGCGGCGATCGTGCCGTACTTGGCGCCTCTCGTGACGACGTGCCGGGTCCTCTTGACAGGCGCACTGCCCTCCAAGACACGCTGCGCCGCGTCGGATCTCGCCAAGTACATCATCAAGCACTACCCACGCAGCCTTGGCCCCGCCGAGTGCCAGCTCCACGCGCTGACGTCGCTGCTCTTGGCCGAGCTCAGCGCGACCAAGTGCACGCAGTCGGCCAAAGGCGCCTTTCTCGAGCTTCTCGGTGCGCTCTTGGCGCAGTTTGCAAGCGATATGCACACGTACGTTCCCACGCTGCGTCACTGGATCGAAGCCGCGCTGGAGAAGCAATTTACGAGCTCGTCGCCAGGTAATATCTCGTCTTCTCGTGCCTTTGGTGTCGACTGCGTTCTACCGCTTCGTGCTAGAAATGACGCTCATCAGTGGCTGCTTTGTGTGTTTAAACCAGCTTCTGCGCGTCGATCCCGTCATGACTGTGCACCAGCGCGACCAGCTCTTCACGTTGGCCTTTCCAATGCCGTGCTTGCATTGTTCACTGGGCGTTTTAGGTACATCCAGCGGACACTGGCGACGACGATGGCGGGGTCCCTCACACGCCTGACGTTTGTCAAGTCGTGCCTCACGCTGCTTCGGTTCCACGCGTCGAGCTTTGAGGCCAACTTGGCGGCCGATCCGTTCGCGCTCTACACGGGCCTGCGGTTTTGCTGTGCCCATAGTAACAAGACGGTGCGTGATACAAGTCTACTTTTGATCGGAGAACTGACTTGGAACCATCAGATTCGCAAGCCCGGCTACGACGCTCTCCCCAACGTCCTCGAGACGATCGCCCGGGCTCTAAGCGATGCCAGCACGACGCCCGAGCCACTTCGGAAGCGATATTTTCAGCGCTTCTTGAAGGACTTTCTTTCGGGCTTGAACGACGCGACGAGCTTGGACGCACCGTGCTTGGCGCTGACCGGGCTGGCGGCGTTCGCGCATATTCTGCGCCTCTTTCTGGACGAGAATGCTCAGCGCAAGATCCACACCCGGCTCCTCAAGTACGGCGAAGACGTCCTCGCACTCCGCGACTCGCTCGGCTCGAAATGGCTGCTCTTGTGCCAGTACACGCTCTGCTTTGGGCGGTTCGCGACCGAGGTGTCTCTTTGTACGATGGACAATATTGTCATACGCCATGTAGACCGAAACACTCGATGTCACGGTCGCGTCGTTTGCGACCGACTTGGGCTGTCGCGTGCTGGATTTGTACCCGCACGCGGCCGTGTATACAAAGTTCCGGGCCGAACTCGCGCTCCTCTCGCTCTTTACCGGGTTTCCGCAGAGCGTCTCGGCCGTCGTCCGCCACGGCATGCTGCTCGTCGTGTCGCATCAAGTCGTCGTCACCGAGACGGTATACAATACGACATGTCGATGCTCCTTGCAGACACATGTATTATTGTCTATCCTTTTGTAGACGCTGTTGTACCACCCTGAGACGGGCGCGCCAGACACGCGGCTGCTCTTCGTGTACGAAGCCCTCTGGAAGAATGTCGCCAAGAAAAACAACCATATCTTCGACGCGTCGATGCTGGCGCTTTTGTCGCTTCTTGAGCACTTGGACGTGCGCTATGAGACGTCGGCGACCGAGGACAACGTGAACAGCGAGACATCGTACCAGGTTGCAGCTTTGTATCACGTGTTTGATGACTCATAAATTGGGTGCACGTAGCCGATCGTGCCGCGCGACCACACGATTTTACTCAACTTGACCGAGTTTGCCGAGCGCTGGCTCGCCGAGGCCCAACTTGACCGAGTTTGCCGAGCGCTGGCTCGCCGAGGCACACGCGGCGGCGGCGTTCGCGTCCTGGGTGCCTCTCTATCTGCAGTGGATCGTCGATGTGGCCGGCGCGTCGCCGCTCGTCTCGGCCGTCTACCGGCTCGGGCGTCTTTGCGGCCTCGCCATCACGGCACTTGGGTCTAGCACCGTGGCCGTCGCGAGCATCCGTGACGTCTACAGTCGATTCATCTCGGACCTGGTGGTCGCCCTGGAGCACTACCAGGACGAGCTCCTCCTCTCGGCATGCCTCTGCGTCCTCGCGACACCGATCGAGTGGGCCGACGACGCGCAAATCGTGCGCGCGCTACAAAAAGCGCTTGTGCTCGGATTGCAGCATGCGCCGACCGCTGCGATCGCCATGGACGTGCTCGAAACCTGGCAGGCGTCGCGGCGCCTCGAACACGCGTATCCGGCGCTGCTGCCGCTTCTCGGACCGTACTTGGAAGCCAATGGGCTGCCGCTCCAGCGCCGGCTCCTCCGCTGGCTTGGTTCGCTCGGTGGCCACGCGCGCTTTGTGCTACCGACGACAACTAAGTCGACCGCAGCGGCACCGCTGCTCGCGCCATTGGAGCTCTCGCTGGGCGTCTCGGCGCTGCAGCTGCGCGTCTCGCTCTCGAAGCTCTTGCAGCCGCTCATCGACCTCGCCCTGCATGCGATGGACCGTCCGACGAAAGCCGCGGCCGCCGAAGCACTACACGCGATGGCGCTTCTCCTCTGCGGGAAGACAGCGACCTTGCCACACACCAAGAGCCACCGTAGCGAGAAGACGGTCTTCTTTGGTCATTGGCAGCTGCTCTTGCCCGTCGTCGTGTCCCTCGCCTCGGACGCAGACAGCGTCATCCGCGCGCTCTTCTCGACCCTTCTCTTCCAGCTCGTGCGCTGGTTCAGCGGCGTCGCCGAGCTCTACCCGTTTGAAGTGCAGTCGTTTTTGAACGCGCTGTTTCGCGCGCTCACCAACGTTGACGGCGGCGGCCGTGAATTGGCCGCGCAGGCGATCGCGAGCTTTCTCAAGTACGCAGCCAAGCAGCCCGCGACGTCGCTCGTCTCGGCGAGCGCTCTCTTTGACCAGCTCTTCGCCCTCTGCGGCCACCCCGGCGTGACGCACCGGCTTGGCGCTGCGCTCGCGGTCGAGCATATGTACCGCGACTTTCGCGAAGATGACGCGCTCGTGCAGACGTTTGCCTTGCCGTGGACCAAGCACTTGCTGCTCGCGCTGAAGCGCCAAGACAACGGCCTTGACGCGACGCACGTGACGACGACGCCTCTCCTGCGCGCGATCGACCACTTGGAAAAGATCGTCGTGCGCAGCAGCACGCTGCTATCTGCGCCACGTAATGGCGACGCCGAGTGCGCCAGTCTCGCGCAGTTTGTGACGTGGCTGTTTCAGCAGAGTGCGAGCCCGCAAGCGGCATTCCGGGACCGCTGCCAACGCCTCTTTATGGTGCTCTCGCGCGCCAATGGCACTGGCTCTCGCGCGTGGCTACAGCAGTACCTGGACACGCATGCCGGCGTCGTCGATACGGTCGTTGCACCGACCGAGCTCATCGCTGCCGCCGATCCCGATGTCTGGTGCGACAATCTCGCGGCGCCGACCGAGGCCGTGGCGTGGCTCGCAGCACCGACGCTCAACAACCAAAGCCTCTTGCCCGATTCTGCGTGGGCAGCACCAAAGAAGAAGCGCCCGGCCGACGGCGACGAGAGCGTCGAGCAGCCAACTCGCCTCTGGGCAGCCGTCAAGCGGTTCGTCGACGATGCCGGCTATACGGGGTCGCCGGCCGCGCGGTCGCGCGCGTGGCGTGGCCTCTGCCGCCTCCTCGTGGTGCTCGTCGAGCACAAAGCTGTCGTGCCGACGCTAGCCGAGCAGTGGACTCGCACCAACTTGAGTGCGCGGGTCATGCATTTGCTCGTCTTGTCGCGCCTCGACCCAGCGGCCGTCGGCATGGAACCGCTCTCGCGTGATGCCGAATCCGTGTGGGCGGCCTTGAGCGCCGCGTTCTTGCGCGATCTGGCGTCGTCGATTGCGTTCCGGTCTGTCGTGAATCGGCTCCTCCATCACGACGAGACGTACGCCCGAGGCCGCGTCATGGCGATGGCGCCGTCGCTGGCCAACGGTGTCTGCGCACTCTACCAGCGGGTACCATTGTCCTCTACCGTATACATGAAAACCACGTTCATGGATTGCCCTCTAGTTGCACGCGCTGCGGTACTGGAGCGGTCTCGACGACGAAGCGTCGATTATCGCGGCCGAGCTCGGCGACCGTGCGCTAGCGTACTTTCTCCAGAGCCAACGGGAGCGGTCGCCCATGACGGACCACGTCGCGTTGCACGTTCTCGAGGTCGGTCGACAGCTGACATGAGCGCTTCTGTAATCCTCGGTGGTCGTAGACAGCGGTCGTTCTCGGGTGGGATCTTCCGGGGCACCTCTTGGGCGAGACGACGCAGCATCTAACCGCGCTGTCGCTCCCACGCCTGCAGCACCTCGTCGTCGCCCATGCGCCGCTCTGGCTGGCGCTCACACTACGCACCCTCGTTCATGTGCAGACGCATCCGTCCTCGTGCCGCTGCTGGACATGCTCTTGGCGGCTCGCGCGCCGACGAAAGCCGAAATTGCCGCGTTGGCGCCGAGTGTGGTGCCGTTCGCTGCCGCGTGCTTTGCAGCGTCCGATGGGACACTGCTCAGTGTGCTCGCGACGTTCCTATCCCGTCTCGATGGTCAGATTGCCGACGCATCGGCCGACTTGGCCGCCCGTGTGCACGCATCGCTGACGTCAACGTCGACACCCGCCCCGTTCAAAACCGGGGTCTTGCACCTCGTCCCGGGCCTGGCGCGCCACGATCGTGCGACGGCCACGACGATGGCGGACGCGCTGCATCACCTCGTGGTCCACGACCTCCCGCTCGTTTCGAGTGACGTGACCAAAGGCACGCTGGCCTACGACACTTACTCTGCACTCTTTTCTGCCGTCTTGTCGGCGTGCAGCGAGAGCCATCGCGTGGCGCTGCTGCCGCCGCTGTACCCAAGTTTGAAGGAAGGCAAATCGCACACGCTTTATGCCGATGTCCAACACGCCTTGGCTCACTTTGTCGCGTCGATTCCGCTCGACGATGTAAGCGCCACGAGCATGGACTCGCTGCATATCCTCTTTGACGGGAGCGTCGAAGAGAGCGTGCGCTGGCGGGTCTTCTTGGACGTCACGCGGCCGCTCTTGCGTCGGCTGCCGGCTCCGGACGCCTTTTTCGTGCGCACGTTCCAAGGAGCGAGCGTTGTAGCGACACTCATGCAGTCGCTCGACCGCCCCGAGACGTTTCTTCAGCGCGTCTCGCTGGGTCTTCTCGAGTGCTTGTACGACATGGTACCGCCCGAGCGTATTCGGTCGCACGTGAACGAGGCGTTCCTGCCAATCGGCACGAAGAATGGGAAGGGCAACGAGCTCACGATGCGGCTGTGCAAGGCGGCGTCGACCAAGATTGGGTCAACGGAGGTCGCCATCGCTGCGTACCGGTGTCTGCTCATGACGGTGCGCAAGACGCAGACGCAAGAGAAGTTTTACACTCAGCTGCTCTTCCCCGACACGATGTGGAGTACGATTCTCGCGGGCGCGGTGTTTGAGCTGACGACCGAGACGAACTGGAAGACCACGACGCGGCGAGAGGCGCTGACGACGACGCTGCAGCTCGGTGGCGCGTCGCTCTCGAGCCAGTTTCTGGAAGGCAGCAGTCTGAGCCAGACCCCCGAGACATCAGTCTCCGTGCCGACCGAAGCACCACCACCGATGGATGCCGACCTGGACCTCGAACACGATGTGGTCAACGCGCATCCGTGCATGCAGCCCCTTCTGCAGACGCTGGTGACGATCGAGACGCTGTTTCAAAGCACGTGGTCGTCGTCCGTCGCACCCGCCTGGATGGAGAAGCTTCGGACGCAGCTCCAGTTTTCTGATGCGCTGCCCGTTCGGACGTTCATTCTCAAGCTCGTGCTCAATCGACCCCGCCTCTTTGCACCGTACGCCGCGGCCTGGCTCGGTCCCATGACGGACGCGGCGATATCGCTGCCGCACACGGATCAGTTTCACTACCTCTTGCGCGACGTGTGCCATTTGCTGCTGAGTCCAGTGACCGACGACGCAACGCTGGGGCTATGGACGACCGCGGCGCGCGCGCATGCCTCCGACATGTCGTCTTTTGTGAACCACTTGGTGCGCGTCAGCGTGCATGCATCCGCGTGGATCTTACGCGACAACTTGTACCTGATCGAGACTGCGCTTCGGACGTGGTCGTGCTATGCTATCGATGTGCACACGATTCTCTCGTACTTGACGGACGAGACTGGCGAGACCAAGGCGGTGGCGGCCAAGCACACGACGGGCCTCCACCTGACGGCGATGCTCGTGTCGATCGGGTTTCTCGAAGCGGCGCCGAACATCCACTACCAAGCGGTGGTTCGAAGCGCCCACTTGTCGCTCGAAGATGCGCTTCTGACGCGCATCTCGGGGACCCACAAGGCGACGCCGGCGCTCGCTGCGGACGTGGCCGGACGACTGCTCCATGCGCTGCCGTCCATTGACTTGGAAGAGAAGGTCCAGCACCTGCTTGTACAGTGTTTTCAGAACGACGACAAGCCGAACCGGTGTCTCATGGTCCTCAAGCAGCTCTCGGCGCACGTACCGTCGCTCGTACTCGACGAGGCGTGGCTGCACCGGCTCCAGTCCATCCTGCCGCGCGTGTGGTCGATCGACGCGCTGGCCTGCGACGCGCTCGACATTCTCGTGCATGCACTGCAAAGTACCAAGCTCCACGCCAACGATGTGTTCTTCTTGCTTCGCCCGTCGCTGCCAAAAGTACTTGGGCACCGGTCGCCGCTCGTGACGCAGCGCGCGCTGGCCTTTCTCATCGGTCTCTGGCCCGACTTGCCGGACGAGAGTCGAGCCGTGGTCGTGCACAGCGCGGACGCGAGCGTGCTGCGCATGCACTTTGACGACGACGAGACGCGCCGTCAATGGTTTGAGTTTCTCATGTCGTCCGGCTACAGCCATGTCCATAGCGTCCAATCAATCCTCCTTCGCGGGCTCACGGATGCCAACGAGTGCATTCGGTCGGCGTGCGTCGGGTTTTGGGCGGCGCAGCTGCCATCTGGCCACGATCGCTTGCTGGCACTGGCGTCGGCGAAGTTTCAATGCGGCGACAACTGGGTGCGCTACGTGCCGACGCTGTGGCTGCAATCGATCGAGAACGGGGCCAATAAGCTCTTTGACGCGCCATTGAGTGCGTCGGTCGTGTTTGAGCCCATGCGCATTGACACGGCGTGGGCCGCGCGGACCCAAGGAAGCCTCACGCCGCTCTTCTCCCAGGACGCGCTTACTCTCCAAAGCCAACCGGTTCTGGAGCAGCAAGCACGCCTGGTCAAGGCGACGCAAGAGCGAGCGTGGTCTCAGACGCAGTCGCAGCAGTACGTGCCGTCCACCGGTACATCTTTTTTTGTTGTAGCGTGACGAGGTCTCTTATTCGATGGCGATTAGCGTACGCGGTTACCCACGGTAGCGTGACCAAGCGCTTCTCAGCGGCGGCACGAGCCTCGTCCGACTCGGCGCTCTCGACGTCGGTCAAGGACAAGCTCTTCTTTACGCTCCACGCCAGCCGCATCAAGCAATTTGCCTCGGCGCAAAAGCGCGCTCAAGTCCACCAAGGTGCTGACGTTCCCCTGTACCGAAGCTACCGCGCGGGCGAGCTGCCCGACATTGAAATTGCGCGGTCGGACGTTCTTCGACCCCTTCTCGCAGTTGCAGAGCTCCATGCCCAGACGGCGACGCTGCTGCTGTGTGCGCTGCTGACAGCGTTTCTTGAGCACATGCCGGCGACGTACGCGACCGACTTGGCCACCCATTTGACGGGTCTTTTGGCCGCCTCGCCCGACAAGGCGGTGCTTGTCGCGAGCGTCCAAGAGTGCCTCTTGACGCTGGTCGCGGGTGGCGGGATCGATCCCACGATCGTTGGTGCCGCCAGCGTCGCCTCTCTCAACGTCGTGACGGGCCAGCTCCTTCTGGAAGAGCTCGTGCTGCAGTCGCCGACGCCGTCGGCGTGGACGGAGCTCCAGCATGTGCTCCAAGTAGTCGAGAACGAACCGCTGCGCATGGCCGTGGCGTCGGTGCTCAATGCACAGCTGCCGGAAGCCACAAAGGCCCTCGAGGCTCACTTGAAAGGGACGTTCTCGGCGCGATCAAGCTCTACGACGAGGCCGAAGCCAAGCTCCAAGCCAATGTCGCGTCGTGCTCGCCCATGGAGCGGCAACGCTGGGCGACGGAGCGCATGAGCTGCATTGCGCAACTCAACAAGTGGGACGCGCTCACGTCCGAGCTCGTTCTGGATGATGTGTGGTCGCTGCCCGAACCGTTCCGCGGCCAGCAAGTGCGTCATCTCGTCATGGCATATGGCGCGACGGACCAAGCCGAGACGCTACTGACGCACATGACGCCGGAGCGCGTCTCGGACGTCACGCGAACGTGTCCGGAGCTCTTTGGCTTTTTACAGCTGCAGGGCCCACGACCACAGGACGCGATGGCGACCGTCGAGCACTTCTTCGCCGAGTGCGTGGCGCAGTGGACGAGCTTGCCGACGTGTTACCGCCTGCGCCAGTTGCAACGACTGCCGCTCATCGTGCATCTCGAGTCCCTCTTGTGCGTGCACGCAGCGAAGGACATTGCTCCGTGCTTGAACCAGTGGGCCGCCGTGACGCCGCGGCTCCAAGACGATGCGCTCTCCGTGTGGTCGGCGTACTACTGGAGTCGCACGCTCGGGTACGAGCGGTTGACCGACTTGGGCGGCGAGTGGGGCGGGCTTCCCGACTTGACCCATGCGATTGCGACCCTTCGCGTGCAGGTAAAACCGGTTCCGACGCCTACAAGGCCAATGAATACGACATAGGACATGCTCACGTATGCGCACGCGGCGGTCTCGAGCAACGTGCTGGCACTCGCGTCGCGGCTCCTCAGCGACTACCGGCAGACGTGCACGAGCGCGCAGCTGCCCAAGCTGAGCGTCTACATGGTGCAGGTGTACGTCGCGCAGGTCTCCAAGCTCGCCACGCGCACGTTGCAGCAGTCGCTACTGCAGCCACCGACTGCCCGCGCGAAAGGCCTGGCCCAAGTCGCGCAGTACTATGTCTCGATGCTGCGGCTGTTTGAGAACGACGAAGTCGCCGCGCTCCTACCAACAATGCCCATTGATGTGCAGCGGGACGTCCGAGGTCTCCACGTGCACGCACTCGCGTCCGCGTCGAGCTTCCACCAGCAGCATGCTGATGCAGCCCTCGGCCGGCAGTGGGCGCTGGACGCCCTTGAGCGCTTTGACGCGGACCAGCTCCCCGGCGCGCTCTCGTCCATGCACGGCCCCTTCCTCTCGTTTCTGGACAAGTGGGTCGAACATGCGCCTACGGACCTTCGCCTCGGTCGGTCGTTTGTGACAAGTGTGCTCCACGGCATGGCGATGGCCGACGAGATGAGTGCCAAGTATCTTCCCCGCGTCCTCGATCTCGTCAAAGCCCGAGGCGAGTTGCTGCCGCTTGTCACCGAGAAGATGGCGCACGTTCCAATGTGGACGTGTCTGCACTGGTCGGCGCAGATCGTTGCGCTTCTACAGACGGACCCGACGCCGTTCAACGAGTTGATTCGAAGCCTCCTCGAAAAGGTACCGTGCCGATCGTCTCGAACGCCACGCACACTCTACCTAGTTGGCCACCGAGTACCCGCGCGCGCTCTACTTTGACTTTGCCCTCACGTCCGAGTCGATGGCGCTGGGCCCTCGCTTTGATACTCTGCGCGCGCTGCTCAAGGATGCGTCCATGGATCAGTTTGTGGCGGCGCTGAACGGGTGCGAGGCAACGATATCGTCCATGTGGAGGCTACAGCGAATGTAGGTTGCACCACCCCGAGATTCGGTTCAAGGAAGGTGTGCGGCAATTGCTGGACGCGATCGAGACGCAGCCACCGGCGGTGGTGACGACGCTGGCGAAAGCACTGGTTGCCAACGTGCTGGACGGGAACGGCGACGTCCTTGGGCACTCGAACGTCGGCGCCTACAACCGGTCGTGGGCCAAGACGCACCGCAAGAGTGTCGAGGCCTTTCTGGCCAAACCCACAAAAGCGTCGCTGACGCAAGCGCGGGCGTGGATCGCAAGCAACTTTCAAGTCATACCTGGCAAGTACGGCATTGACCGCCAGTGGAAAGCCAAGGTTGCCGACTTTTCCGAGTGGCTCAGCCGCTTGGACCCGACCAAGACGCGCCTTGAGCTCCCGGGCCAGTACACGTCCCGTAGGCGTTCTCAACCGCGTTCTCGAACGCTGAAATATGTACTACTATGGTCTAGGCTGGGCCAAGCCCGAGCCGACGGCGCATGCGACCATTTTGAGCTGCGACCCGCAGCTACTCGTGCTCGCGTCCAAGCAGCTGCCCAAGCGCATCACGTTCCACGCGAGCAACGGCGCGTCGTACCAGTTTCTCGTCAAGGTCGACTGATGGCGCTCGCCTCCTTTCACATTTCACGGTACTACTGTCTGTAGGGCGGCGAAGACTTGCGGCTGGACCAGCGCATTGAGCAGCTGTTTGAGGTCATGAGCACCATCTTGCAGTCGCACCCGTCGTGCCAGCGCCGAAACGACTTGGCGATCCGAACCTACAAGGTGTACCCCGATGGCATTTCCGAGTCTGATGCGTACCCAGGTCGTGCCCATGACGACGCGCATCGGGCTCGTCGAGTGGCTCGGCAACACGACAACGCTCAAGACGAGATGCAGCTGGCATCCAGCGCCAAGCGCGCCACGAGCTTCCACCTCCTCAGCTCTCCGTCGGGCGAAAAGTACGAGGCCTTTTGGACCAAGCAGCAGAAAAGCAAGCTTCCGTACGGCCACAAGATTGGCGCGGCGTCCCAAGACGACGTCGTCCCAGCGTTTGAAGCTGCGCAAGCCCTCTTGCCACCGAGCCTCTTTCGCCGGCGACTGCTTCGGATGGCGTCGTCGCCCGATGCGTTCTTTACACTGCGCAGCACGTTTCAAGGAACGCTCGCGGCCTTCAACGGTGCCTCGTACATCCTCGGCATTGGCGACCGGCACTTGGACAATTTTTTGCTCGACACGACCAACGGAAGCGTGATTGGCATCGATTTTGGCATCAGCTTTGGCGCCGGCGCGAGCTTGCTGCCCGTGCCCGAGCTGATACCGTTCCGCTTCACGCGCCAAATGGAAGGGGTGAGCGCACCGTACGACGGTCGCCACCTCTTGCAGATGGACCTCGCCGTCGTCCTGGAGGCGTTGCGCGAGAACCAGTCGCACATCGACAGCGTCATGAACGTCTTCTTGCACGAGCCGCTCCTCGAGTGGCAAGCGATGCCGAAGAAGACGCAGAAGAAGGAGCGCAAGGCGGCGGCGGCACCACAGGAAGAGGAGGCGGTCAACTTGGCCACGACCAAGATGCGCTTGGCCCGCGACAAGCTGCTGGGAAAGCCGCCGCGCGCGATCGTTGCCGACGAAGTTCGGCTCAACCCGCATGTGGCACCGGTGCGCGCAGCGTTCGAGAAGCTCTTGGCGTGTGAGAATCCGCACGCGCTCTTGTCGCCGCTCGACCAGGCGCAGGCACTCATCGAGCTCGCGACCGACCCCAACATCCTCGGCCGCACGTTCCATGGCTGGAGTCCGTGGGCCTAGTCCAGCTCGTCACCATGCAGATACTAAAGTAGTTGATTCTTTAGCAGCACGACGGACAACTTCTCTTGCGCGATGGCGTCGCACCGGCTAAATGCACCACCGAGAAATTCGAACCGTGCGCAATCATCAAAGGCATCGTGGATTGGTGGATCTAAAAAATGACCCGCCAATGGGATGTGGCGGATCGGGCAACAAGCGGCGATGTCACCAACCACGTTGGCGTGCTGGCTACTACCCCTTTGCTGCGTTGGCAAAGGATGGATGGATACAGGTGGCTGAACATGGGACTGTCTGTACTTGGTGTTAGTGACGGCTAATGAAGGCTACCGCGGCAGAGGGGGCACGAGTGGTCCTTGGCGAGCCACGGCAGGACGCAGTCGCAGTGAAAGACGTGGCCGCACGGCAGCGTGACCGGAGCCGCAAGTCCAACGCCATCCATATCGAGCTCGCTCAGGCAAATGGAGCAGTCGCCGTCGTCTAAAAAGACGGGCGCCACGGCGTCGAGAGCGACGAGGTGCGCGGTTCCTGCTGCAGCAGAAGCAGTAGCGCGGTCGCCTTCTTGCGCAGCTCGTCCTTTTGCAGCGGTGGTATTTCCAGAAACGCGTCGAGGAGCTCGAGGAGCTCGGTGCAGCGACTGTGCACGCGCAAGTCGGCGTTCGACTCAAAGACGACCGTATGGAGGTACAAGGACGTGCGCACCTCGAGGCAGCCGTAGAGAAAGAGCTTGAGCTTGTGCTTGCGCTCGCCGACAATGCGCTTGGCGTCAAAGAGGCTCTTTTTCGGAAAGTCCAACTCGAGCACCGGCGCGACGTGGATGGCCACGTTGGGTGGCACGCGCTCCATGGCCCGCAGCAACGTCGCCTTGAAGCGGTGGCACTCCGAGTACCGGCGGTCAATCGCCCAGCGCGCGTTCGGCGACGCCACAATCGTGTACGTGTAGTTGGTGTAGGCCGACCCGCCGCGCAGCCGGACGCGTGACGCCTGCGCCGTGAGCGCAACGTGCTTGAGCGTCTCGTGCTCGAGGTCGCGGAGCCGGCCAAACCAGCCGTGGCGCGGATCCCGAGCCATCTTGGTCGCGACGCAGAAGATGATCAACTGCCGCCAATCAACGTGCTAAAAATATGCACCCGCCCATATATACCTGGGGTTTCGTATCGGTCCGGATCAGATAGTCGATGCTCGGCGTACAAGGAGGAAACCACTCGAAGCAACTGCGACCCGGCGCCGCTCCCCGCTTCTGCCGACTGGCGCAGAGAAGACCAGGAGCTCGATAAAATGCACAATGAAATCGCGCCTGCGACCGCTGTCCATGGCGACGGCTCATCAGCGTCGGTGGGACGGATGCAATGATGCGTTTCGAGTTGAAGTTGGGTCGCAGAACACACGAGCAGGAGAAGCCATAGCTACTTGCAAGGCAGCGCTTCAAGCCGGTGTCCGTGCTCCTGTTGTAGTAGAGTTCAATGCTCGGCAAGTGGTGAGAGCCATCTGGATTCATGTCCGATCAAGCAAAGCCCTACCAAGGGACTCGGTCATATCCGATATCCGATCGACAAGCAGACGCGTTCACGTGCGACTGCGCGGTATTGCTATCGTCAACGCCTGCATTTGTTGAGCCACGCGCCAAAGAACTAGAGACGATCGACCCATCCTCTCAAAGCTTCTCGTGCTTGAAGTTGAAGCCGTCGGTTCGCTTCCACACGAAACGGCGCACCGCCACACGACGGCATGTTTAGCGTACCATCAAGGTCGCGACCCGAGATCGCGCGATCGCTCGCTCGTGCCACCTGTACGTGACTGCACGCTTTCGAGGCGTGGGCGTCCACGTGGCAGAAAACAGAGTTTGGACCACGGCTTTTTACCGCCACTTGCGTGATGGCCGTGGACCATGCAGAGACGATAAAGTCCATTCGATTGCAAGACGGAGCGGTTGCCTCTCTCCTCGACCAAATGAACTTGCACGACAACGACGTCATCGACAAAGAAGCAAGGAGGTTGTTGACACGCATCGGTTTCGTGTGGTGTACAAAGTGCGATCGACTCGGTAAAGTGCGCTTTGCCCAATAAATAAACTGGCATGGCAGACAGGCCAGACGACGACGCGTATGAGCTCGAGGCCGCGCTGATGGACATGGACCAGAACGAGGTCGCGTACCTTGGCGTACCACTTGTGCACGTGACGCTTCGGACGCTGCGGCAGCGCGACGAGACCACGTTTGTGCTGCAGTACCGCGAGTCGCACGAGATGCGCCATGATGTCATTGGGATCGTGCGCGACGCCGCGGAGACGCGCCGCCGCGGCCGCCTCGAGAGACGCAGCAGCAACGTCTTTGGCGGTCTCTTTACGTCGCTTGCGCGCGTGGAGAGAAACCCGTATGCGCAGCATGCCGACGAGATGTTTTTGGAGCTCATCTCGGCGCCGTCAACGCCGCCGCGCCCAACGACGCCACCGCGCGCCCGGTTGTTTGATGCAGTACCAAAGACGAGCAAGGTGCGGCAGCACTTTCAGCAGCTCTTCCAGACACTGCCGGGCCAGCGCGCCGCGAGTCTTCTGGTCAAGCCCGTCCAGCACTCGTTGTGCAGCGTGCTCTTTGAGTTTGCCGAGATTTTCCATACCTTGTACGCATCGGCGAGGTCGCGCGAGGATGCTGCGCACGCCGCGCTTGACGTGCGCGAGTTTGGCGGCGTATTGCTGCAAGTGCTAAGCTTCAAGTACCCGCCGCTCCAGCACGATGCCTCGCTTTTGGAGGTCGCGGCCGAGAGTGTCGAGGACGCACTGTTTCTGCACTTGCAGCCAACACTCCACAATGTGTTTGCACAGGTCTACGGCGCGGACGACGAAGCGTGGAGCACCAAGCTCGCGCACTTGAAAGCGTTGCCACTCGACGCGTACGACATGCCACATCGGTTTCAATCTCCTTGCTACGACGACGCGATCACGGTGCTCTCTGCGCTCGGGAATGCGCGAACACCAAGTGCGAAAGTCCGCTGCGTCGCTGCGACTTGCACGAGCATTGACCGCTGCATCAAACGCCATTATGCCTCCGACCCCAGCATGGCAGTGGATCGGCTCAACATGTACGACGCTGCTTCTCCTCGTCTTTTGTCTGAACAAACGCTACTGATGGTAGCTCGGCCGATGACTTGCCCTCGGTGCTGGCCTATGTGGTGGCACAGGCTGTCGCGACACACGGCCACCTCGCGTCCTACGTTGCCCTTATGGACGCCTTCTTGCCTCCGCGACTGGAAGCTGGCGAAGAAGGTTATAGCCTTGCGATGCTCCACGCCGCCTTGACGCACCTTGAGAGTATCGAATAGCTACCTCCAGTGCAAAGATAAACAAGTACGAGATTGTCGTCTCTCATGTGACAGCCGTGTCGACGGCTCATCCGTCGGTGCAATCTGGGCACCCAAATGCAATATTTTAAGCATAGTTCTCTTGGTTTAGCAAGCTTGCTCCATCTGGACCCAGGAAATGAAAAAAAGTGTACTCTGGCGAATAGAGAGTCCAGCCGCGATCGGCGACCTACCGAACGTCGCACCAAGCGCTGGTGTTGTGAGCACCTGCTCGAAGGGTTTTAAGAATTAAGAATAAAATCTGTCAATCGACCAAGATTGTCCAGTTGACCAAAAAAGATGGTACCATACCACTCTGGTCACGACTTGCCGGACAGTAATGGAGGCGAACTAGAGTACTAACTCTTTCTTGACCCTTTGCCTACGCACGACTTGCTCGGTCCGGATGTAATCCGACGAGCTTTTCCTCGTCATCTCGCTCCTCCTGGCGCATGACGATCGGCTCCCACTGGAGCTGCTTGAATAGGTGCCACAAAGCGATAGCGTAGGGCATCTTTCTTGGCCCGTCGGCGCATGCATCCGGCTCCAAATGTTATAGTGCGGTTAGTTCAAACGCGATGCTTGCTGGATACGTAGGGGTAGGTGTTCGAATCGAGGGTTAGGGTAAAAACGACATTGCGATTCTTTGTTCCTCAACGTGTTCGTCCTCCGTGTACCCGCGTGGGTAGTTACGGATATATCCAACCATGGCACGGACCGTATACGCTTCTGGAACTCTGGAATGGATGAATGCACGCGACCTGGGTGTGAATGTCGTGGAGGTGGGGTGCTTTTACCGACTTTACACCCTTTCCGAGTACAAAGGGTCTGTCGACAGTAGTTTTTCCACTAATATAGTGGTATTTTGGAAAGCATTTTCACTTGTTCATCGACATCCGAACCATGTGCATGACCTCGTTCTTCGTTGTACGCGTCACGACGGTTGCCTTGACTGTCGGGCTCGCCTACATGATCTACAATTCCGGCACCGCACCTGGCGAGGACGCCACCGCAACATCATTGATCACCGATGAACAACCTGCCCTCGACACCGAGACGCCGGAGCTCAACGCTTCTGCCATCTTGGAGCTTCTTCGTGACACACAAGAGCGCCAGCTGAACGAGGTGCAGTTGTCTCTTGACGCATCCGCGCAAGCCACAACCAATTTGCAACAACGGCTCGATGCCTCCAATACGGCCGTAGCGGCATTGGAGGCCACGGTCCGTGCTTTGCGGAACGAGCGAGACGCGATGGCAGCAGACCACCGCCGCACGATCGAGACACTTGGTATCGAGCACCAGCGCCAGCTCGCATCAGCGCAAAGCCATCTCAACGACTGCAAACAGGAGGTTACAGCTCTGCGAGACCAGCTCGATGCCTCGATCGCCTCCCAGGCTGCCACGCAAGCATCGCTCGATGACGCTATCCAGCAGCATGAGACGTCAAGCAACCAGCAAGCAGCTACGTCATCCGCACCTTGCTGCTGGAGTAAGATGCAGTGAATGCAATGATCGATACCTTGAGAGATGACGTGGCTACGATCACCGACGAGTGGCACCGCGCCGTCTCGAGCCGCCTCTTTGAGTGTCCACGCTGCGGAGGTCTGGACGCCACGCCCTTGATATGTCGCCAGACCCGGATATCGAGGAAAAGGCGCGGTGGCCGTGCCTGAACGCGCTGCCGTTGTCCGCCATCATCGCAGTCCCACCGCAGCTGGCACCGATTCTCGAGACACCCGAGGTCGACAATGACGACGATGTTGCTGGCCCACACCGGCGACGACAGCTGAGCAAAGCTGGTCTCTGGTCGATCAAGTTCAAATCGAAGCGCAAGCTGCCACCAGTCGCCCTGCCAGTCACCCATGACTTGGTACCTCCGTAATCACGACTCGACTTTATTCGCATGCTGCGTTTTGACAGAGTACCTTGAGCAATCGAGACCCTGATCAAGACCAAGTTGTGGTTTTTCGTCTGTTCTAATAACGTTAGCGCAGACAATATGTCAATGGCTGGACATTTAGACGATCGCTCCATACAAGATCCCGCAATGTGCTTCCTCTAAACAGCTCTAGATGGTTTGACTGCTTCTGGTGCATGAAGATCTGGGAGAGACAGGGACCTGAGACGACACACGTCCGGGTGAATGGCAATTCAGTTTGCAGAATGCTGGTCTTTAAAATCGAAATACAACGGCGTTGGCGTCGCTTGCATACAAAGAGCAAGATGTCAATGACAATGGTGTAAAATAATATCGAGGGCGACCGTTGCTTACGCCCGCGGATGCCTCGGATTGGCCAAAAAGAGCGGTCCGGCGATCGAGGATTGGTTGAAAAGGACGTTGGGAAGATCGTAGACGTTGAGCAATTTTTTGCATCGCGGCGAATATTTATTTTATTTTATTCGCCGAATTTAGCCACCATTTCTCGCTCGACGCTCCCGACCGAGGCCAGCGGCCGGACCATGACGACCATCTTCGACGGCTACGACGAGGAGTACAAGAGCCTCGCGCAGTCCATCTCGATCAAGATCAGCGAGATCTCTTCCTACGAAGATGCGCCCGGTACGCAGGCCATGGCTAGCGTCCTCCTCATGCTCATGCGCTACGTAGACAAGAAGCGGACCGCGATCACGCACGTAGGCGACTTAATCACGCAGGCCACGCAGCTCGTACGCACGCACAAGCGACTACTGCGAGGCTCATGCAATAGCTGCGTAGATCCAGCAAATGGACCTTGAAGTGCGCAGCCTCGACGCGGCCACGAAGCGCGAGCTCTCCAAGAAGGTCGACCAGTACAAGAAGAGCCTCAAGTCGCTCTCGGACGATCTCAAGCGCATTCGTGAAAAGGAGGAGGAGAACGGGCTCTTTGGCTCAGCCGAAGCCCGCGCACGCATGCAAGGCGCCACGCAAAAGTACGTGGACGTCCGTCCCGCCACGTGCATCACGCATGCTCCTTTAGGCTCAAGCAGACGGGCGATCGCATCTCGGCCGCGCACCAAACCGTGCTCGAGACGGAGGAAACAGGTACACGCTCGCATCTCACGAGCGTCATCAAGAGCTCATATACCGCGCTGCCTAGCCATTGGCATTCAGGAAGAGCTCAGTCGGAACCGAGAAAAGATCGAAGCGACGCACCACAAGGTCAAGTCGGTCAACGACATGGCACGCGCGGGTGGCCGCATCCTCAATCGCATGTCGGCGCGGGACAAGCGGCAGAAGCTCATCTTGTACGGCGTCATGGGCTTTATGATCCTCGCGATCCTCATTGTGCTCTTCTCGACGATCTTTGGTCGACGTCGCTAGCGACAATCGTCGTCGTCGAGGCTTTCGTACAGATTATCAAGCAGTGTTTCTTATTTTTAAACCGCAAAGCGCTCGTTTTGCTCGTGCGAGTGGCGCAGCACCTTGTCCTCGTTGCGCGGAACCGGGTTCGCATGGCGAAGGTCCACCCGGCGCACTTGCTTCTTCTGGACTTGGGCGTGGCGCGAGATGGCGGCGTACCCCTCCCGGCGCGTCTTGAGCGAGTGCGCGACGACTGCAATCATCGACAAGAGACACGCTGCGACGACGAGCACATGCAGAAAGAGCTGCCCAAACGGCACCGCATGCGACTCGGACGCGTCTTGCACGGGCAGAAAATCAGGCAGCGGGCGCAGCTCTGGCTTGCCACCTTGCTTGTCAGAATCTACCGACATATCCATTGCTGGTAAATGGTGTCTATGGTTGTTACGCACCAAACACTTGAAGACTATCGACAAGGGTCCAGCGCTGGGTGGCGTTGGCCTGCGAGAGCAGTAGCTGGTACTTGGCCACTTGACCAACGTCAAAGTCGCAGGCATGGCTATATACGCGCTGCATGAGCCACCCTCGATAGAGATGACTATCGTACGCGTCCTGCGGCCGAGTTGTTTTCTTGTCGTCATGGTCAGGCGTCGCGAGGCAAGGGGCGACTTGCACTTGCAGCTCCAAGAGATGACTCTCGTAGTCGCCGGCCACGGGCTTGTCGATGGCCGACACGATGAGCATTGGCAGCACGGGTGACGCTGTGTTGATCATATGGTTGAGCTGGTCAACGCCATAGCGTGTGGCGTCCGCAAGCCATGCGCAGCTCGCCGGCGTCGAGGCCAAGAGCTGGCCCATGCACGGCGAGAGGTCGGTGGCGTGCGTGGCCGTCGCGAAGGCCACGACTGCCGGGCTGCCAAGGAGGCTGGCGGCAGAGGCAGCTATGGGCGCTAGCGCAAGACCGAGGGCGACGCGCATGCTGTCGGCAGAACGAGATGTGCCAAAGCTTCGGCCAGATCTTTCGAGCTCGAGTGTTCGAAACGGTGCCGATTGGCTCTGTATCCGGATATGAAATCCTTAATAGTGTATTGGTATTGATGTCGATATGAATAGTGTCATACTAGTATCTAGCAGAAGACGAGCCCTTACGCTGCAGAGCTCAAAGTACACCATCGACACGACACAAGACCATGAACACATCTAGTCAACGCGCAGACAACCGGTTGTAGTGCAAAAGAGCTCGCTGGATCCGATACACGCGGTCTTTACCCGACATCACACTATTTAGGGCATATATACTGTCGGAAACAGTGCTCGAGGCGACATGCATGTCCGGATACTCTGGACAAGCATATGTGTGTTTTACGTGCGAAACTAGTTTCTCACTACTGCCGAACAATGCTTGCCACCAAGCTGCTGCGGTGTTGCACGTGCACGAGGGCTCCCATGAGTAGCTTCAAGGTAGATCATAATGGATGAGCCATCTACACGCATATTATGGTACTTGCAGGGGAGCTGCGTTAACCCAAGCGAATGCGAGGCGCTTTGTTATTTTCACGTGAAAATATATTTGTCCTCGGTGATATTCACGACCCGTGAAAAAGGTGGGACACGTAGGACACACAATCTTGTTGGAGCGTCGGTCATGGCCAGCACGACGACGACCTCGCCGCTCCGGCGCGAGGCCGAAGACCGCGTGCGCCTTCGCCGCGAGGAGCTCAAGAAGCTCTGCGTCGTGCAGGACGTCAAGAACCACGTGTCGCTCGACAAGTACTTTCAGCGCGCCCACGTCATGTACCGCCAGTGCCAGCTCTACGCGATCCAGCACGACTACGACCACGCGTACGCCGACGCCTTGCGCTCTAAACGCTCATATGCATGTCAATGCTGCGTAGGTACATCTACCTCTGGCTCATGGTCCTGTACGTTGCGCCTTGTGCCTGCTTGCACGCGTCAAGCGCCGTCTGCTTCTGTAGGCTCTTCCAGTACCGCATCCCGCAGCATCGCGAGTACCACCAGGCCAAGTACGCGGCCGAGAAAGCCCGATTGAACGACGTACCGCGCGTTGGCATCGTCGTCCCGAGAGCTCATCCGCCGCTGCGCGTAGAAGTGCAAGCAGGCGATGCAACTCCTCGACCAGATCCTCGATGGCATGCTCCGGGAGGAGCTCGACCAGCTGCAACAGCACCACGAAGACGAGTACTTTATCCTCCAACACGGAGAAGACAATGAAGAAGTTCAAGCAGCAGCATCGTCGGTATCGTATCCCACGTCGTCGTCGGCTGCCGCCAAGGACCCCGCCGGCCTCTCGCTCGAAGCGCGGCTCCAAGCGCTGCGGATGCTCGCGCCTCAAACACCACCGCCGCAGCCAAAGCCGACCAGTGCGAGACTGGACAGCCATGCGCGTGCCAAGGCCATGGACGCTCTCAAGATGCCGAGTCGCGCCACGTTGCCGCCACCGGAAATGACGCCATCGACAAGATACCCCTCAACGTCGTCGACAGTCGCTGCGAGGGCAAAGCCTGCCTCGGATTCCATGTCGTCTCGGCGCCAATCGCTCGAGAACCGAACGCTCTCGCTGCAGTACGTAGCGCAACGCTCACTGAATAATTGTCATCTCATTCGAGTAGAAATGAAGTGCGCGAGCTCTCGATTCCCGCCAACTTGATCCAAGATTTTATTCGGATCGCCGACCCCAATACCCGCAAGCCGCCGTACGGTATCGAGACGTGCGGCATCCTCACAGGCACGCTCGTACGTTCATGCATCGGACGACTCTGCGCTGACGCGTGCTGTCTCTAGACTGGCTGCAAGCTCGCGATCTCGACGCTCATCATTCCAAAGCAAACGGTGCTGTCCCTTGCAAACTTGTCGTCGTGACGAGACATGATCCTGGTAATGATGATGATGACGATAATGGTAGGGCTCGTCCGACATGTGCACCATGACGCACGAAGAAGAGCTCTTCGAGTACTGCATTGCCAACGACCTCCTCACGCTTGGCTGGATCCACGTACGACGATGCGAGCGAGTCTTTGCGTTGATTCTCTTCGGCCGAGTAGACACATCCGTCGCAGACGTGCTTTCTCTCGTCCGTGGACATCCACACGCAGTGCGGGTTCCAGTCGATGCTGGCCGAGGTCAGCGCCACGCAGGCCGCTCGTCCGCTCACTCGTTTACTTAGGCCATTGCGATCGTCGTCGCGCCCCGGGACGCGCAAAAGAGGTGGGTCGAATGCGTTGATCAGGAGGAGCTCATGGACGCGTAGCATTGGCGTCTTCCGGCTCACGTCGCCCCATGGCATGGAGCTCATCCAAAACTGCAGTCTCTCGGGCTTCCACGAGCACCCGAGCAACCTCGAGATCTACTCGGACGCGTTGCAGATCGTGTGGTCCCATGCGGCGCACGCCCGCGTCGTCGACATGCGATATTAATCGTGATATCGTCTTCATCTTACGAGCTGCATCGCGCAACTACTGCTTCTTGAACTTGCCGACAGCGGGCACCGTCTCCTTGCTACTTGCAGCGGCGTCTTCGCGGAAGGCCTCAAGGATATAGACAAAGATAACGACGTTGACCATGCCAATGGCCCCAAAGCCGCTAGCACCAACATGCATCAGTCACACTCGAGATACGCTTGCACTACCTCCACATGGTGCGGTTCTCCCAGCCTACATGCACATGCCTCAATCCTTCTGTCGGTTGTGAGATGGAATGTATTACCCGCGAGGAGTGTGTCGTGCAGGACATAGTAGGTCGCAATGGGCACGAGGAACATGAGCACCGTGAAGAGCGCGAGCTTCATGATGACGGCGCGGTTGTGCGCCTGGTTCCTACGTCCGCGAGCGCGCTAGCACGAGGGGCGACGGCGACGACGTACGCTGCGCTTCGGGCTGCCAACGCTGGGGCCATGTCGCCACTTGGATTTTCGCCGCTTTTGATTGGTCCGTGCTGGAATTCTCATGTGGGCATTTTATTACTGGAGGTTTGTAGGACGAGGACGCGATTTCGTGTATTTTATGACCAAAGGTCGCAATCACCTTGGAGCTGGAGAGACCACGCATGGCGGAGACGGTGACGCGCGAGGCCGCGCGCCGGCAGACGCTGCGGCGCCGGTCGTCGTCCAAGCTCGTCCCGCGACGGCTCTCGTTCCCGGCGCCGACGCCGAGCCAGAAGAAGGCGCGACGGCGCGAAAGCAAAGTGTTTGAGTTTGAGGCGAACGCCAAGGTCGAGGACAAGGTCGCGTTGACGCCCATGGAGCCGCTCGCCGTCCCCATGAGCCCCAACGTCTTCGGGCCCATGAGTCCGCCACGCGTGGACGCTTTTCGGCTGGATGTCGTGGACGAGCATGCGTCGCAGTCGACCATGTTGCCCTCGATCTCCGAGGTGCCACAGGATGAAGACATGAGCTTTTCACAGGCGAGTCCGCGCCCGCGGCGACGCACCGTCAAGACGCCCAAGGACCGCAAGGTCTCCCTTCCGCCAAGCGACGACGACGACGATACTGCGCAGCTGCTGGCCGAGAACCCACCGCCCGTGTGGTCGGGCGCCGAGTCGTCGTCCGACGAGCACGACGCCTACGATGACGACGCACCTTTGTCACAGAGCTTCAAGAACGAAGACGACATGCGGCGCCTTAGCCAACGGCTCCGCAACCAGCTCGCCAGCGACGACGAAGACCACGGCGACGACGAGACGTTGCCGCAGCTCTCCCAGAGCGAGATTCGGTGCGCCATGGACTGACTGGTCATTGTGCCTCCTCATGCCTCCACGCTAGCTCCATGAAGATTCGGCTGACGCGCGAAGCCAACCGACATTTTGGGTACCGCGAGTACTCGGGGCGCATGGAGCTTCCGTCCCAGTACGCGGTGTACGCGTCGGCATCACCCACTGCGCCAGCGCCGCCGCCACGCAGCTCGTACGTCCGCATCGGCGACACGACCAACCGCTCGTAGGCCTCATCCGCCCTTATGCGTGTCCTCCTCTTATCGCCTCTTTAGACCGCCCTTTACGCCCGACGAACTCAAGTATCTCATCGACATGGCGCTCGAGTATGGGCCGCAGTGGGCCTATATCCTCCAAGAAGGCCGCGCATGCGGACGTCTGCTGCCCTGTCGCACGACAAACAAGCTACGGGTACGGCCCCTCACAGACGTCTCGAGGACTCGGCCATGGATTCGATGCCCATTAGCACAAGTTTAGCCGGCTTGCGCGCAAGGGGGTTCGCATGTCGGCGGCCGCCAAGCGCCGCGCGAAAGAGACACCCGAGATTCCCCGCAAGCACAAACCGTACACGCCCGCCGAGCTCGAGTATCTGCACATGGCGTACCAAGAACTCGGCCACAGCTTTGCTGCGATCTTGGACATTGGACAAGCCATGGGGCTTTTGAAGGGCCGGACGCGCCCTGACATTACGGTCCGCCTTGACTTGAGAGATGCTTGATAGATCCTGCTTCATATTTAGGTCAAGATCCACAGTACGATCAAGAAATTTGCGCGCTGGGACACGGCGCTCTTGGGCAAACACGCGCCCCGATCATTGCGCGTGGACGTGCCAGTCCGGTTTGGCACGCTCCCGCCGATGCTGTGCAACATGCGGCTGAAAATGAAGGTGTACAAGCTCAAGCGGTTCATCCACGCCGAGTACAACCTCGAGATGCCACTCTCGTACTTGTATGTGACGCTCGACGGCGACGACGACGCGCTGGTGCTGGACGACACCATGACGATCGACGAGTGCGTTGGTCCCAACGACATTGAGCACGTCTGCTTCCGCGTCGCGATGACCCCGGGCGCCGTATGAGCCCTTGTAGCAATAAATGAAAGTATAGATAGTGTTTGGATTCTACTAACACCCGGGCAGGAAAAGCAAAGCAGCTCGTGACGACGCATCGCGAGAGCAGCGTTTTTTGTGTCGAGAGCGACACGATGCGAGTCCAAGTGTGACGGCTCCAATGTCTCGAGCGCGATCGCATCACCTGTAGCGCCAACCGGTCAGAAGACAGGCCCCGAGACACGATCTAGTGCCACGGAGCCAGATCACATCTTTTGCGACCGTCGACCTGTCCAGCGATCGGCCGTTTTTGACGTCGCTTTGATCGCGGTACGAGAGGTCAATTGACAGGAGGGTGGAAGGGATGCAGTAGCGTGCAATGCAACATCGTTGTATGTGACTAGCGATTCTTGAGGTGCCGAGAGGTGGCCTGCAAGCTGAGCGAATGGTGGCGGCGCGCGCTTCGACTGTAAACTTCAACGGCCAGAGATCCGCTTGGCGCAGTTGTCGTCCCTGGCGTAGGTCGGAAACATCGTCGTCCTGGCTTGTTTTTCTTTCCTTTTCTTCTGGAATTTTGCTCTTCAAACTCCACAATCGACGCGAGAACGTCTGGCGCCTGCGGTTGAAAGTCATTGTTCAATCTATTCGTATTCTCTCGATCTGCCCAGTGCCTGGTCGTCACACAAGTTGTGCTCCTACCAACGAGCCTACTCCCCCAAGTATCGGTTCTGGTGCCGATCAAGTGTAGTGATGTCGACGGACCCGTTGTACGCGGAAAAAAGGTACGACGCTAACGTCGCCTACGCTGTGACGTACAGGGTGTCCAACAATCCATCCATTCCACAGTTCCTGTAGACGGTCGTTGCCATAGTTGGATGGTTCATGAGAGAGGGTAGTCAATAGCATGCCAACACGAGAGCAAGGAGCTCGCATCGCCAACGTCATTTTACACGCAAAGTTACACCTACCCCTACGCACCTCTCGCGTTCCGTTGCATGCCAATGGCCACGATCGCTACTGAGAGGAGCCTCTCGTCGACCTCAGATTTGGTCTCCTGTCTTCCTACTATGTGCCTCTATCCGCCCAAGCGTCCAATTTCGCCGCCATATTCGAATGAGAGGATGGATCTCCGTGCGCAGCTCCCTTTCAACGACCAAGTGCTGGTGCCACCTCCCACGCATTCACGCGTACTACATGTAGCACTACTATTAAGACAACATGTTCCTATAACTCTTGGAATGAAAAGGATTATAGTCGAATGAAACGCAGTAAACTGCTATTAAATATACACACACAACGCAACTCAGCCCGTCGAAAACTCGACCGACTTTTTGAGGTTGTTGTTGTAGTACAAAAAGTCGTGGAAGCGAAAGTACGCGAGCATCTCGAGCGTGCCGACCGTGCTTTGCTGGTGGCAGTCGCGGCCGCGGTGGCCATACTGCGCGCAGACGCTGCAGCGGTGCTCGCCCGTCGCGTGGCGCTTGCTGCCGCAGAGCACGCAGCCCTCGGCGCGGTACGGGCACGCGTCGCCGCGGTGGTCCCCGCGCCGCGTGCAGTACCGGCACCGGTGGTGGTCCGTTTCGTGGTCGACGCGGGCACAGAGCTTGCACGGCTCGGTCGAGCGCGCCTTGGCCGCGTCAATGAGCTTGTCCATGCGGCGCGAGAGCGGCAGCATCGAAAAGCGCGTCGCGCGGCGGCGGCCCATCGACGCGCCGTCCTCCTTCAAAAACACCTTGAGCATCGCATCGGCGTAGCCTTCCGAGGTCGGCGGAAATGCATGCACCGTGTCGAGCGGGTGCATGACGTTGAGCAGCTGGTACCCGCCGTAGAGGAGCTTGAGGCGGGCCGCAAACCCCGCATCGCCGACGCGCGGCGTGCCGAAAAACACGCCCGTCACATTGGCGAGATTGCACTTGGGCACATTGCACTTGGCAAACGCCACGTCCGCGAGCTTGAGGCAAAAGAGCTGGCCGAGCATGCCGCCCATCGAGTACCCCGTCACGTGCATGGGAATGCCGTTGGCCACGTAAGGCAAGACGGCGTCAATGAGCCCTTCTTGCACCATCTCGTCAAAGTACGAGAGCAGCGCCTTGTGCACCTTGACGACTTCGGCGCGCGCATACTTGTCGTCGTCGCTCTCGCCGTCGTTGCTGAGGTCGCCGCTGCCCGAGCGCGGCTTGCGGCGCATGGAGAGCATCTCGGCTTCTTGGCACGTCATCGTGCCGCTGCGCTGGAGGGTCGGCACGGTCGAGGCCGCAAACCGAAGGTCGTCCACCGAATGCAAGTCAGTCCACTCGACGAGACCGCGGTTAAAGTTGACGGCCAGCATGTTCTGGATCGCTTGGCGAATGCGCGTCTGCTCGCCCTCCGACCACGCCGAGCCAATCTTGGACGCAATGTAGCTCAGCATCTGGTGCGCTTGCGAGTAGTCGCCGCCGACGGTCGCCGTGACACCCTGCGCGAGGCCGTACAGGGCCGAGCCGAGCGAGAGGTGGCCGACCTGCTCCTTGAACTCGGCAATCTCGTCTTCGGCCCAGCCGCCCCAAAAGTCGCCCCAGAGCGCGCGCACCGTGTCGGGCGTACCGGCCGGCGAAAAGGCCACCATGACATCCATGTCGCCGTCGACGCGCTGCCAAATGTGCACGCGGGCGCAGTGGCTGCGGTTCTGGAAAATGTGCTTGAGCTCGTAGATCGGCGACGCATCGCCAAGCGACCGGTCGACGCGGACGCGGACGCCAATCTTGAAGGGCACGTTCTTGTTCCCATCCGCGTCCACGTTGAGCGTGTCGTTCTCCTTCATCATGGAGAATTTGGCCGTCATGAGCAACAGCGCCTTGCTCTGCTTGAGGATCGCGCGCGACGTGGTAAAGTTGCGGTGGGCCTCGACGAGCGCGGCCGCGCACAGCGTGTCGAGGTCGACGTCGTTGTCGAGCTTGGGTGCGACGATAAACTCTTCTTGCTCCGAGATGAGCGCGAGCTCGTCGGGCAGCATCGGCGAGTTGGCGACGACGAGGTCGACGCCCCAGCGCTCAATGTCATTGTACGCCGCTTCGTGCATGAGGTTCTTGTCGGCCACGGCCTTGAGTGTGATGAGAAACGACGTTGGCGCATACTCCTTGCGGATCTTCCGGATCAAGTTGGGCGTGCGCACGAGGTTGAGCGTGAGCGCGTTCTTCTCCTTCTGGGACGGCGACGTCGGCATGCTGTCAGCGTTCAAGTTGGAGTAGATCGCGGTCGTTGTCGACGACGGCACGTAATAGTCGAGGACCGACGCGCCAAGCAAGATGAGCCCGCGCGTGTTGACGACCTCGAGCGCCATCGAGGCCATGCGGAGGTAGTGCATGTACTGCTGGACCGTCGTGAAGCGGAGGTGGAAGAGCCGCGCCGACGTGGCTTGCGAGCTCTCGAGCACCTCGGCAATGAAGGCCTTGCGGTCGGCGTCGTCGCTGCGGAACACCAAGCTACCTTCGTCGTCCATTTGGCACATGGACATGAACACGTTGTCTTGGATGTAGCGCTGGAAATGGCGCGAAAAGGGAGCGAGCGAGCCCTGCCGGTGCAGAAAGAGCACAGCGTAGCCGGCGCGGAGAAGCTGCTCCGCGCTCGCGGCGCCGCGGTCGCCGTATGAGACGGCGTCCATCGATCCTTGGTCGTTGAGCGGCACGGTCGCCGAGCCCGACGTGACGAGCGCGACGCGGCGGCCGTCGGCCACGTGCTGCGTCACAAAGGCGGTGACGGCGTCGCGGTAGTGCGCGAGGGCCCAGGCGTCCTCTTCGGGAGTCGCATCAAAGAACTGCTGGACGTACGCGTCTGAGTCCGAGTCGACGGCGCCGCCGCTGATCTTGTGGCGCAGCGTGCCCCAGAGCTCCATTCTCGGCGAGGTAAAATAAGATCTGGTGCTGAGATTGCACCACAACGGCTTGATTTTTAAACTCGGATAAGAATAAAAATACGCGGACTGTCCCAGATTTTTTCTGTTTCCACGCGACGGCCATAGCCAGTGGCTGTTGACGAAACAGACACGGCGTATTTTATTATAACGTCACACTTGTTTCGCGTAAAGTTGACGACGTATATCATGTATGTTCTTTTGGGTCCAAAATAAGCACGGCGGAAATATTGATGTTGCCGTTAAGTTGTGGCCGTGCCGGTGATCAGGATGACGGACGCAAGACCGCGCCATGCATTTTGGGTGGCCAAACTTGAGCACTGCTTCAAGTACCCAAGCTGCAAGAACCCCTACAATAAAAGTACCTTCTCCACAGAGGCACAGGTGTAGGACGCGGACTCGGCTCCTCGTCGTCGTCGTCTCACATTTCACCGCTTGCAGCCACCGCGCCCGAGCGATGGACGACCTCCCGACCACTGTCGCCACGAACCGTGCTGCAAGGCACCGCCCATGAGACGCTCGTCATCCAGGCAATCAGCCGCCGCTGTCGTCGACGTAAGGTGTTGCTCACGGTCCATCAACAAGCATCAGCCATCAACATGCCTCCGCATTTGACAACGCAGCCGCGTCCATCGATGGCCAACGACGATGTCCCAAGACGGATCACGCGAGAACGCCTCGCGTAATGCTACTGCTGCTTGCCAGTGGCGACCTGCGCTGGCGACTGCATAGATACTAGAAGAAAGGACCTGCACTAATGACGGTGATGCTCAAGGGGCGCGGTCCCATGCGCCTGTCTGCCGCGTCAACAAGCACACTCTACGCGCGTTCGCCGACCTTTCTTTGCGTAAGGATACGAAAAGGCAATCTTGTGTTGCGTGTCATCATGTATCGTCAGGAGTCGCAGCACACTATTTGAAGACACCTCACAGTATCTCGTGATCTTGACATTGCCGTTAAAAGTATCCGTCAATTATCCGTAAAGTGTCGTAAAAAGACGTAAAGATTTGCGCCAATCAATGCCGGCGCGACGAGAAAGGCCGTCATTGGCCAACGGTCGACGACGATGGACGCTGCCGACGACGTCGACAGCAAAGGGCCGTCGCGCCTGGGGCGCAAGCGTGGCCCGGTGTACGAGCACTTTACGCTCGCGTCCGAGCGCGGCAACATAAAGCGCTTCAAGTGCAAGCACTGCGAGAAGGAGACGAGCCAGAACCGCAAGCGGATGGAGCACCACCTCGAAGAGTGCCCCGTGCTCCAGCCTGCGCCATCGCGCGAACCGTCGCCGTTGGTCTCCAGCGGCGAGACGACGCTCCAGCCAGGGCGCAAGCGTGGCGCCATCTACGAGCACTTTGTTCTGAGCGCCGAGACGCTCAAGGGCAAGCGCTTCAAGTGCATCCACTGCCATAAGGAAACGAGCCAGAACCGCAGCCGCATGGAGCACCACATTGCGGTCGAGTGCGCCGCTGTGGATGCGGCCGCCAAGGCAGCGGTTCATCGCGCTCTCGAGAGTAGCGAGGATGTCGTCACCAGCGCCTACAGCGACAAGATCGTTCTCGCCCTCATCACCGACAACGTGCCATGGACGCTACTTGAGAATCCGTTCTACGTCGCGGCGTTTGGCGCGCTCCAGCCACCGGGGACGGCGCCGCTGACAATGGCGGCGGCGCGCTCGATCGTGCTGCCGCGGCTGCAAGGCGCTCTGCACGACGCCATGCGCCGCTTTGTCGAGAACGCGCAGTGCCTCACGCTCGTGCTCGACACGCGTGCCGACGAGTACACCAACGTCGTGCTCATCAACGAAGACGCGACGGCCTACCTCTTGGAACGCATGGCGCCGAGCATGGACGGCGCAACGATCTTGGCGACCGTACAGTCGTACCTCTCGTCGCGGCAGGCGACCGTCAACGTCTGCAGCAACGAAAGCAGCGCGCACGCGATCTACGTCACGCTCACTGGCATTTGCATGGGTCACGTCTCGCTGCGCCATCTTGCTGCGCTCTTGCGACACGTCCCGGCGGTGGCCGCAGCGTGCAACGCTGCCGTGCGCGTCACGTCGGTGGTCGCGTCTCGTCCCGAGCTGCTGCACGCCTGGCCACACCCAGGACAAATGGCCATCGGAGCGCGGTCGTGGCTCGAACACGCGGTGGTTCTCAAGCAAGCGATTCGGTTGCAGGCCGAGCTTGGGGAAACGCTCCTGCAAGCGGACGATGGCCCTCTTCTCCGCCTCGGGGACACCCTTCTGGCACCACACGTGGTGCTGTCGGCGCTCTCTGCGATGCCCGGTGTGTCGTCCGGCATGGTGGCTGCGACGTGGGCGTGGAGCCTCGGTGCCGTCGTCCACGCCGTAGGACTCGCCGACGACGTCAAGGCCGCGTACACGTCTGCGATTGAAAACGAGCTGGTGACTTTCGGCGAGCAGCACTGGATGGCGGCGATGGTGCTAGACCCGCGCGTCCACGGTGCAGGCTTGTCCCCGAAAGGCCGGCGCGCCGCCGAAGCTGCGATCGTTGAGCTCGCTTCGTCGCGGTATCCGACGCTGGAACCGGCCAAGTTGCTTGCGGGTTTGCATGCGTACACGACCAAGACGGGGGACTTTGGCGCAGCGCTGCACTGGGAAGCCTTTTACGTGCGATCGCCACGCGTCTTTTGGGGCCGGTTCAGCGACTACGCCGAGCTCTGCGCCGTCGCGAGCCTCGTGTGCAGCTACACCCCGCTCGCCGCGTCCATCGAGACGTATATGCGGCGCGCCCAGGCAACGTCGCCGTGCATCGAGACGGACGCAAGTGTCGCGAGTCTCCGGTTCGCCCATGCCTGCCCGGCCGACGCCACCGCAGTCGCTGACGCGTACGCTGTCGCCACCGATGTGGCCAATGCGCTTCCGTCGCACAATGTGTTTCGCCCAATCACGGAGCTCGAGACGGCTCGCAACGACGAGCGCTGGTCGCAAGACGGCCGCCCGCTTCTCGAGGCGCTGGCCTCGGTCGCATCGAATTCTAAGAGCACCCGTCCTGGCACCACCCCTGGGCGATTTTCCGTCGACTGCTTGGACACCTCGGTGGCGGGCTGCGCCAGCGTCCAAGCAGCCATGACGGCGTACCTCGATCTTGTCCAGACATCGCGATAGTCCGCATGTACACTCTGTGAATGGTATCGTGTGTTGGTGGTGTTGATCTCTCGCCAATTATCAAGTTATCGAAGCAAAATGTCAAAATTCGAAAATAGGATCTTATTGCATGGCGCACCTCGCACCAAGGTTCTTGGCATATGTACAAGCAAACGTGTCCGACATGTTGTCGAGCGTCGACTGCGCTGCTAGGAGGGACATGAGCAGCTGCTGCTTGCCCTCTGGAATGCTCGTGAGCATCGGCGACTCGACGGGGTCGTCGAGTGTGTGCAGGAGCGCGTTGAGGTCGCCGCCGTCGTCGAACGAGGCCACCATCGATGCGATCACCTGTGCCTTGTGCTCGACCCGCAGCGCCTAAAAGCACATTTCAGTGGTTTTAACGACCGATCAAATGACCACCGACCTGCGTGTACAGCTGGTCGAGGTCAGTGAGTGAGAGGCGCAACGTCGCGTCGCCGTTGTCGTCGCCAATCGTTGGTGGTATCCTCGTGTCTGTCAGCGCCTTTTCGCGCTCGAGCTGCTTGATGCGGAGCTCGAGCGCGGCAAGCTCTTCGTTCTTCCGTCCCACTTGCTGCTGCAGCTGCTGCACCTACAACCGATGCGCCTAGCACCTTTCGACATAGTATGTACATACCGCAGACGTCTGGACGTGGGCGAGACCGGGCGTTCCAAGTGTCTAGACCAAACTCTCCAGTGAGAGGGAGAAGAAGAGATGTGTGCGACCTTGTAGTCGGCTTCGAGGTCGGCAATGTAGTGGTCTTGCTTGCCAATCTTTTGCAAAAGACTTTGGACCTCGCTGTCGCGGGCCGTAAGCGTCGCCGACGCCTCACCGAGCTGGGCTGCCTTGGCCGCCAGGTCTGACTGCAGCGTTGCAATCTCGTCGCTGGCGCGAGCGAGCTAGGCACGGATGTGAGACTCCTACAGCGGGAACACGAATGACAGAGCACCTTGTCGTTGGCTTCTTGCAGCGCGGCCGACATGGATTCTTGCTCGAGCGACACCTTGCGGAAGCGGCCTTGGAGGTCCGTCAGCATCTGCTCCATGCTGCTTCTTTCACTGCTCTCATCGAGCTTGCGCTTGAGCGTCTTGATCGTCTTCAATAGTTTGACGTTGACAGCTTTCTGCTGGTCGACGTGCGCCGCTATCGCATCGGCCTCCGCGCGCTCGTCCTCGAGTTGCCCAAAGAGCTTGGTGACCTAGAAAGCGCAACCGAGTCGGCCACCGCTGGCCACTCGGCAGACGTACTTGCTGCTCGAGCGCATGGATGCGCGCATCGCTGTCGCGGTCGTTGCGTGCGTGGACGCTGCTTGTCTCGTCGTCGTCCGTCTAGGTCCCGGCAATAGTTCCCGCGACGTGGTCTTGCGCTTGGGGAGCCTACCTGGTTGTTGGTCGCGTGCGTGGACCGAGAAAACGAGCTTCGCATGCTCTTCTTGAGCGCGTCGGTACCATTTTCAATGATCGTGCTGTACATCGTCGACGACTGCTTCCGGTACGACTCGATGAGCTGCTGCTGGAGGTCCAAGTGCTTCTGCAGCTGGTCAATCTTGACGTCGCGCTCGAGGATCGTCGCCTCGACGTGCTTGCGACTGCGCTCGAGCGTCGTGTTGGCGATGCGCAAGCGGGCTTCTACTTGGGCGTACTCGCGCGAGAAGTGGTCCTTCTCTTGCTGGCAGCGCAAGCGCAAGAGCTCGTTCTCGTCCGTCGCCGCCTTTAGCCGCTCCTTGAGCGTCGCCCGGTCCGCGCGCAGCCTAGCCTCGGTCATAAGCTTGCGTGCGCTGGCAGTCGCGTCCACTTTTCAATCGTAATGTCTCGCGGGTCGGCGGCTCTCCCATGCGGGAACCGAGGCCGCTCCATCGGCTTTTTGCCGTCGTTCCAAATCGGCTCGTGTGGTCCAATTCGGCTGAACAAGGTTTGAAAATCGGCAATTAGGTCGAAAAAGCCGACTTTTACTTGTTTAAGGGCTTCACCGACCGAAATAAAAAAAGGTCGCCAACCTCGAGAGACGAGACGCGAGATGGCAGGTGTACCTGCTTGGGCTTGGGTCGCGCAGCGTTCAAAAGTGAACTCGATTTGGCAAGAACAATCGATTGCATTGACTTCCATTCGCTCACATCACTACTGAGCCGTCAAGCCAAGCATCTCGCGACTTGTCTGTTGGGCAAGCCGCTGGATCCTTGGCTTGACGGCTCAGTGTTCTCGTCTTCGCTGTCGCTCTTGTCGGCGCTGGAGCTCGCTGGTGTTGGCGCATCAACCACCAAGCAGCCGTCGACGCTCGGCGCTGGAGCTCCCGGCAGGCGATAATGCTGGCGCAAGGTGCTTAGGACATTGCTCTTCTCGCCTGAGCTGGGCAGCTGTCAACAAAGCTTGCGCAGATCCTGTCGTTGCGATATACCTTTGGATTTTTAGCTAATGACGACGCGCTGTGGAGGATCGCCATGCGCGATGTTGGAAAAGGCCGTTCCCAATATCTTCTATGAACGAAATTGGCGTTGCGTTTTCCCGATTTGAAGTTGAGATTGAGGCTCGCACGATTTCGCGCCACTTCCGATCGCACCGGCATTGCATCTTATAGTGTCGGTACCGACGTCAACAAGACTCCATGTTGCCATCAACTTGTTTAACTGTCCTTAGGTCTGGGAGGGTTAAATGAAACCTTGCAAGCGAGAGCACTGGAAGGAGTCAAGGCAGCAAGAGATTAGAGCACTCTGCGTCTTAGCACTCGGACGCATCGTTGTCCTTGTGCAGCGGCTCCTGGAGCGTTCCTTCCTGGTCAGCGAAGCAGGTTTCGAGCGGGAGACCAGCGTTTTCCGGGCTGCACACCGCTGCGTAGTTGAAGGCGTGCGCGACAAAGGCCGACGCAATGCCGATGAGCGCTCCCACCTATTCCATGTCGTCGTACGTTTCGTCCGGTTGACACATTGATAGATTACCGCAATGTCCGAGTAGTGGTGCCAGTTGTCTTGCGAGCGCGTCAGCGCAATCCACGTCGCGAGCAAAAGCGGAAGGCATGCGCCAAAGAGCTTGGCCGCCGAGAGCATCGAGCGTGTGCCGCGTGCAAAGGTCGCGACACCTGCGCGTCCGAGGAGGTAGAGCTACGTGCGCACTGAGCATGCCTCTTACTATTCTGCAGCGATACCGAAAGGAAACAGAGCCCCGAGAAGGCCGTGGACGAGTGGCCCGACGGAAATGACTTGCGCCCCTGCGCTTCGCCCGCCGCATTGCGGCAAAGGTTGGCGACGCCGTCCCAGAGAATCTCCGTGTTCCAGTCACACATGTCGTAGAAGCTCGGGCGGAAGCGACCGGCAAGGCTCTTGACGATGTTGGTGATCAGCTGCGTGAGGGTACCCGAGAGGAGCAGCGAGAGGACGAAGTCCCGCGTATCGTTGGCGATGCGGTGCTTCCACTGCACGACTGCGTGCACGAGCAGTGGCAGCACGTACGCCAGCACCATGCACACGATCGGCGAGACTAGTTGGTCATGCCAGCCTCGTACAGAAAGATCGTTCCGTCTACCTTGCTCCTTGCGCATCTTGAGGTTCAAACTCGGATCACGGAGAAAGAGGCTGGACGTGGCGTTGAGTGGTAGCGTGAGGACCGGGATGTCACCTAGCTCAGGCAAGGATTATGTGCCGTGTGTCATGTGGGGTGGAGACGAGTACGGCGGAAGAGGCCAAACGAAGAGATCGTCATCGCGACAGCGAGCACGACAAGCGTCGCGGCAAAGTCGCCAGCGCGGTACGTACGAGCGCGCTCTGCCCAGGATGCCATTGTGGTCGGCTTCGGTTGCGCGCAACTTGAACAATGGCGATCGACCAATTCGCACCCGTCCGCGAAACGCCTTCGGATTGGTGCGTCCTTTCTTGCACGCGCCAATCAAACGCGGCGAAACGCAATCCATGAAAAAGACAGGAGCGAGATTCTTTGGGGCGGCACGTCTATTGTCGTTGGTCACGTCACCCGCGGCTGGAGACCGTGGCCTCCCGAACGCTACGCGCGCAAGCATCGCGGCGAACGTTCCAGCACCCTGCGCGATCGCAACGCGCTCCGAAGGGTCCCACACTCGAACGACGCTTCGGTCCATTCAAGGGATTTGATGTGATTCCCTTGATTCGCACGACTCGAAACAACCTTCATCGTACTGCACACTAGTCAGGATCATGCAGGACGCCAGCAATGGCGCGTACCGATAGCAACGATATGGCAGTGCAGGGAAAAAAGCAGTCGCAGTCGGCGAGACATCCCGAGTCCAGCTTCTACGAGCTGTGTGGCACTCGACGGCTCTGATCTGCACCCACGAACGGCTACGTGGACGCTGCAGTTGCGTCTGTTTCGCCCGTAGGACAACGCCCCGCAGTCGTGTAGTACCTCAATGGAATCTGGGCCACGACGTGGTATCCTTCAGCTTGCTCATTGTATCAACTACTACCCATTCGCGCGGGACAGAGTTAAACATGTGACAAAGAGGGGCTCTTGTCCTCGAGCAAGGGACACGGTCCAAAGCTGCCCGAGAATAGGGCTAGACGACGACGACTAGGGAGCAGTATGCTTTAGAAGCGTTTACGAGAAGTGTCGGCGTGTCTGTATTACGCAGCCGTGAGCGGCGCCTCGTGCGAGTCGCTCTTGGCAATCTTTTGCTCGTGGTACGTCTCGAGGGGGAGGCCCGACGACTTGTACTTGAAGAGCGACGCGTAGTTGTACGCATACCCAAGCACCGCCGAGACGATACCAATGAACGCGCCAGCCTAAAAAAGCACAAAAGTGTCAGCACCCTGCTGGCCCACAAGTGCACTCTATACATACCGCAATGTCCGAGTAGTGGTGCCAGTTGTCCATCGAGCGCGTGACCGCAATCCAGATCGCGAGGACCGTGGGCAAGAAGGCGATGAAAAACTTGACGTTGGCGAGGAAGTGGCGACCGGCCGTCGATGTTGCGCTGTACTTGTGAAGGGCGACGACGTGGAAGCGCCCGAGGAGGTAGAGCTAAAGAACGCGCGCGTCAGAATACAAAAAGGGGGGGAGGAGGAATGTACGCTGAGGAAGAAGAGCGTCGAGAACGCCGTTGACGCGTGGCCCGACGGGAACGACTTGCGGCCCTCGGTCTCGCCGTGCTTGTCGGTGCAGAGGTTGGTGACGCCGTCCCAGACCACCGACGTGTTCCACTTGCACATCGAGTAGAAGCTCGGGCGGAACCGGCCCGCGAGGTTCTTCATGATGTTGGTCGCGAGCTGGCAAATGGCCGACGAGACGAAGAGCGAGAGGAAAAAGTCCCGCGTGTCGTGGGCGATGCGCTGCTTGCACTGCAGCAGCACGTGGACAAGCACGGGGATGCCATACGAGAGGATGACGGCCAAGTACATGGGCACTGCCACCATGGTCCGGATGAGCCATTGCGTCGTAGGTCGTCGTCGTCTTACCTTGCTGGTCGAGCTTGGGGAGGTTCACGCTCGGGTCGCGCACGAACACGGTCTTGCCATCGTCGAGTGGGATGGCGACAACGAGGAGGTCGCCTACACCGCTCGGTCAAGAGAGGTACTAGCACACATGCATGCAGCTACGTTGATAGAGGCCCGCGAGCGAGATGATGAGCGAGATGACGAGCATGAGCGTGCTCGTAGCGAACTCGGCGAGGCGGAAGCGCGCCAGGGTCTCTAGCCAGGCCATCGTTGTCGTCGGCTCTCGGCTGGTGGGCGAAAGCCAGAATAAGTTCAAGAGCCGCCAACATCCTGTAGCATCCGGATAACGCACGCCACTTTGCACACGACACTACTTTGCACCTTGCACCTGGGTGTAGATACGTCGACGAAACCTCGGCGAAGCTACCATAAACGTCTGCCCACGCCACTCGCGTACGCTGGGCGGACAGCAGCGCTCGTGACGGTGACGGCCTTCCAAGAAGGCCGTCCTCAGAGGCCTACCATCCGGATACCGACGTTCCGTGCACATCAAGTTGCACTTGGGTTTTGCAAATTTCAGCGAAGTTGACACATTTTCGTGTCCCACGACACATGCAGGGCCAACTGCTAGTCGGCGTCACCGTCGCGCTGCTGGCGCTACTCGTCCACGTCTACATGCATCCCATGACGCAAGGTATGCGTGGCAAAAGGGCATGGATAGTGCAATGAGCGAGTAGGCGGTGAGCCCCTCGTGCAACTCGGGTCCGTCACGACGTCGTCCATTGCACTGTGGCTATCATGGCGCAACGCCACGTGGGTGCGGGTGCACTATGACGCTCACGTCAATACACAGCCGCCACACGTGTTGCAATCACTTCTTAGCGGCTCGCCAGAGACGCTTTGGCTCGAGGGCCTGGCGCCGGCCACCACGTATCGCCTGCACGTCGAGCTCTTGGACGAGACAGATGTGGTCTACGCCAATGACATGGAGGCATCGACGCTGCCGGCGGACGTCTCGGCGCCCTTCTCATTTGCGTTTGGCTCGTGCACCATGGCGGTGCCCTTTCTGTACGATCTCGTCGGTGCGTGATCCCGTCATACTCCTCATGTTCCGGAAGCATGGTCGATGCAGGCTTTGGGGGCAACCTCGAGTACATTGCCTCTGTCTTGTCGCCCGCCTTTATGCTGCTCCTCGGCGATCAAGTGTACGCAGATGTCGACATGTATCCGCGGGACACGGGCGCCTTGTACGAAGCGACGGTCCACGACCGGAGCTACAAGGCGCTCACGCAGTCGACGCCGATCTTTAGCATGTACGACGACCACGAGATTTACAACAACGTGCGTGCATGCGTCGCCTTGATTTTGGTGAATTCCTCCATCCTAATAGTGGAACCAAGGCGAAGACGACGACCCGCTGTACACCGAACGCGTTGGTCTCTTCCATCGGTACTTTGGCCAGCGCAACCCTCGGCCGCTGCGAGACGGCGATCACTACTATGCGTGGCAGGCGGGCGCGGCGTCCTTCTTCATGCTCGACGTGGTAGATGCCATCGTCTCGGCGACTCTGAGGTTGTGCGTCAAGTAGCGCAAGTACGCGTCGCCCAAAGCCATGGTCGACGGCCCGCAAAAGACGAAGCTCGGCGCCGTGCAGAAAAGCCATCTCCTTTCGTGGCTCCTTGCCGCCGAGACGCCGTTCAAGTTCATCGTCTCGCCCATGTCTGCATCGCTTCGCATGCGCTTGGTCGTCTGAGGCATACTACTGCGCATTAGGGTCGTCTCGAGCCTCGGGCTGCACAGCACGGACGAGGGCTGGGCGCTGTACCGAGCCGAGTACCACGAGATCTTTGATGTTGTCGTGGCGCACAACATCTCGGGCGTTGTCGTGCTCTCGGGCGATCTGCACTGGGCTGGCTTTTTTCAACACGGCGCCTACCCCTTCTTGTTCGAGGTACGACCCACCATGAACGTGGCGTACATGGATTGCGCTCGGTATTAGATGGGTGCGTCTCCGATCGCAGCGCTGCCTGTGCCACCGTTTCTGCCGCGCTGGCTGGTCAACTCGACCGACACGCTGCATTTTAGCAGCTGTACGGGGACCCACTTCGGCCTTGTGGACGTGGCATCGACGAGGCTGAGCATGACCATATACCGCGCGCGCTTTGGATGGCCCGAGCCCGTGTTTACGCGGGAGCTGCTCTGGACCGATACGATTCCCGTCCCCGCGCGCTAACAAAGACTCGCGAAACACTTTTTTTGTGTCAACGCCAAACGAAGCCTGATCGTCGTTGAAGCGTCGTCTCGTCAGACATCGATGCCCTTTGAGGACGCATGACGGGTGGAGAGAAGCCATGGGCTGGTACCTTGTACGCCAGGTACAGTGCGAAGATGGTCAGCAGGGTGCGAAATCGAGCGTCCACAGTGCAGAGTTCGCAGCCACTCTGTGTGGACACCTTTGGCCCGCGGCAACATGTGTTTTTCAAGCTGCGGACCATCCATTCCGTCTCTTCTCTTCTTTGTCGATGGCTCAGTCCACACGCACAACGCATCGAGAGCTCCATACCACGTTTTCTTTCTTCAACATCAACTAGGACGACGAGTGCGTCATCGCGCCACGAGCGGCGGTAAGATGGTCCACTTGGGTGTGAACACGGACCACTTGGCGGCTTCGGTTGCCGCCGCCTCCGCGCGCGAGAGCGCGATCTCGGGCTCACGCCGCTTGACGTACTGCACGCTGTCCGAGTACGGCGACGGCGTTTGACGTGGCGAACGATACATGGCCGTGTCGTCGCGCGGGTAATAGTAGTTGAGGGCGTCAAAACTGCGCTTCCGCGTGCCGAGAGGTTGGTGATGATGCTGGTGGTGCTGGTGGTCCTGGTACATGCCGGGCATCGGCGGTATCGGTCGTCGGTAGCTCGCAACGCGCTGGGGGCTGCTCGACGACGCAAGAGGATGCATCAAGTGTGCCGCCTTGTGCTTTGGCATGCGCGTCGAGCGGAGCTCAAACCACGTCGAGTGCAGCACGTCGACGCAGACGCCGGCGTCAAAGAAGTAGACACTCATGCGGTGGCGGCGGTTCTTCTCGATGCGGCTGTCGTACGCGTACGACCAGCCGCGCTTGTTGACGTCCGGGTTGACGATAAAGCGGCGCCCGGCGCGCGTGTTTCCCGTCTCGACGACCGGAAACTCTGACGTCACGTCCACGCTCGCATACTGGCGGCCGACGACGAAGCGCTGATTTTCGTCGAGCGTCGAGCTCTCGAAGCGGCAAATGGCCCCGTCACAAGCAACGTGCGTCGTCGCGAAGACGCTCGAGCCGCAAAAGCCCGCGCTCTTGTGGCCGCCGCGGCCGTCGCAGCAGTGCGGAAAGCACCGAATGTTCTTCTTCTTGTCCTTGTTGTTGCTAAAGTGCAATGTGAGCCATCCACTTGATATTCGAGAAGACTGCAGTACCGCTGAAAGATGGGTTTGAGCGCGACCGAGGTTTCGCAGCCCGTGCAGCCAAGTCGCCCGAGGCCGTGTCGGTCCATAGTAGTGCTGTGCGGCGAGATGGCAAGTTGACGAATGATGCGCGATGACGACGCACATCGCAGCGACGTCGGACCGTGTGTACACCGAATATTTCGAACCCAGCTGCGGTGGTACGCCGGTCCACAGTACGTCAAGTGGTGCCGATCTTCTGCACGGCTGCAAACGTGCCACTGCACAGTAGGGTGTCCTCCTCCTCTTTCCCAGTGTGGCTGCGCCATCGCGCAGAGGCAATCTCGCGACATTGCCGTTGCCTTTGCCTCTTTCTTGGACGTCATGCACGTCATGTTTACAGTAGTGTAATTATCCTTCTCCCAGAAATCGTTCATTGGCTAAAATAATGCATGCCTGTGATTGGCCAGTTCTCAATTAATCCCTTTTATGTGCGATTCCCAGAGTCGGTCTGTCGACCGACCCTGGTAATTGCGCACCGGCGTGTCGCATTCCTGGATCCCAGCCCCGCACGGTCGGATTTCTGGGAAGGTGGGTATTACTCCCATGTAATACCAGCGGATTATACTTGGAATATGTATGTAGACCGACGTTTGCGCGCATTACACCGCAAGAAGAGCAATTTCCCAGAACTTGTTTGACTTGGGTTGTATGTGAAGAAATCTGGGATGCCAAATTCAATTCCTAGAAACACAATACAAACTCTGAGATACCAACACCAACAAAATCACCACGATATGGAAAGCAACGATGGCGATGATACTAAGCGCCAAGAGCCCTATAATGCTTAAAGGAGACACAGAATGGCCCTCAACACCCATGCATGAGCCCCAGTAAGCCGAATTGCGGGGTCCGTCCCGGTCTCACTACTGTTAGTACGAGATCTGCCGAGTCGTCCACGTACTATTAATAGAACCGGCACCAACGGGCGTTGTGAGTCACTACATTGCATAGCATCCATCGAGCATCGAATATTGGGCCGCAATAAATGTCTATAGTCACTGCAGAGTGCGTTTAATGGATTTGGATGTCGCAGTACATCGGCAATCGACGCCGTCACTGATTGCCGCGCGGATTCAACGGACCCAGGGTGGTCCGAGCCGAAAACTCTAACACGACACTTTTATGTCACGTCCAACTATTCACAGCGTTAATAGTTGGACGTGATACCTAAAAATGCGCGTTTTATGTCAGGTGCCACAGTTCACGCTGTGAACAGTGGCACGCGATACCTAAAAATGCACGTTTTATGTCAGATGCCACTGTTAAAGCTGTGGACCATCGAGGAATAGCCGATAAGTATGCAATGGTAGTGTTAGATCACCTTTGCGCGTGAACTTCACGCCGTGAACAATATAAACTAGTGTTAGATGATACATTTTTCAAGTTTTTACATAAACTACAACACTATTAAATGTGAAGTGCTTTTCAGTGGCTGGCATTTCGCGAGTTGCCTTGAGCGAGGGACCTCATAACATGCCGCCAGAGAATGCCCCGCCGCGTGCGAAGCGGGTTCAACAGGCAGCTCGGACCGGCACCGCCCGCAGCAAGGCATTGTCTGTGCTCCAGCAAGAACGAGTCGCTGCGTCCCCGGCCCCTACCGAACAGCGAAAGGTCGCGGCAAAGCGAAAGATGACCCCTACCAAGCTGGAAGAGGTCGCGCCGAAGCGGAAGAATGCCAAAACCGATGGCGCGGTACTGTCCGAGCCTGTATTTTACAACGATTCAGCGAGTGCTTTTAATAGAAGAGTCGCAACAACACGAGCGAGATCAAGACGGAGCTCGACAACAATCGCGACGACAAGGTTCCTCGTCTTCAGCCTTATGTGTACATCTAACATGACCACGGCCTCAATAGGGCGATGCTATGCCAAAGCGCAAGAACAACATCTCGGTGTCCCAAGGCGCCAAAGGCCAACAAGATGCAGCTGTGGACTTGTTCAACGCTTTCCTTCGGTCGACGAATCAGTCGTGGCAGCACGTCAAAGCGACTTGGAAATTGATGAAGGTCGCCGAGAACACCGGCGAAGAGCGTCCGAAGCCTGATATCTACGACGTACTCGAAGAATTCGCCAAGTTCTTGTACAACTACGACACTGCAAAAGCACGCAACGCGAACCGCTGCTTTTCTAGTCAAACAGCAGACAACTACTTGTCTCAGGTACGCGTGATAATTAAATCATGTGTTTTCTGTGGATTCCAATGCTTCTTTGTGTAGGCCAAGACCACATTGATGCAGCACTTGGGTCCATTGGACCAAACTCGGTGCTCGGCCATTCGTAACTCCATGAAGAAGATCTTCGTTGAGCGTGAAGTACAACTCGCTATCGCTAAAAAGCAAGCACCTGGTATCACTGTCTCGGACATGGAGGTCCTCGGTAAAATGCTGCATGCCCAAGGTTAAACTTGCGAATCTACATTTCCTATGTCTCAAGGTTCGTAGGTAGCTTTGAGGACGTCGAGTTTGCCTCGCTACTAGTTCTGTCGTGGCACATGCTTGGCAGAGCCATAGACTCAACATGGCTCACGCGATCGCAGGTATACAAGCGCATTGGGATGTCGAACCTGACTTTCTACATTGCAGCTTCAACTGATGAGTGGAGGAGATCTTTTCATCACATTTGCACGCCTCAAGACTGCTTCGCTTCAAGGCATATCTATCTTCAGGCAACGCGATGGCTTCTTACTTTGCCCATTCCAAGCCCTTGCTCAGGTATACGAGACAACAATACGTATGTTTGCGACTGAGGCTCTGTAGATTTTAATCCTCTCGCCACCGAGTCCTCTCGTGTTTTCGATCATCAAGATGAAGGACCTTTCACCCGAAGTTGACGGCACTCAGGCATATTCGCAGCTTGATGCCAAGCTGCGCGGCGTAACAGACGATGCTGATGGTATATAAGACGGCGATAAGGTAGGAAGGAGAAGATAATCAATTTTGTTTAGAAGAAGGCACTGAAGAAGCAAGCGGCGATACCACCGCGATCCACGAGAAGGTCCGAAAGCGACCATCAATTGCGCAGCATATCAATGCCGAGCTCAAGAAGCTTCAGGCCAAGTTTGACGCCAATTTCGACAATGCGACCCATCGGGGTCTCGAAGATCGACACTTGACGCCAGGTATGGCGTAACGTGCTGTGGCCTATTTTACTATTTACTTTCTAGGACTACAGTCGCATTCAATTCGACGGGGAGCCGCGCAATGGGCGGCAAGTTGCGCGAAGATTGCTATCCAATGGGTATGCACGAGAGGGCAGTGGGCCATGGACTCGCTTAACAAAGCCTTCGCATATATCGGTACTTTTTTCTCTTTGGTAAATGGCCTGCCTTACATATTTATAGGTACCACGCTGCTGGACGATCAACGCATCGCGCGACGGCTTTCGCAGTGGGAACCTGACGACGATGTTCTACCGATGCGCTCGCACATGCTTCGTCAGCAGTTGTCGCCAGAAGAAATGGACAGCTTAGCCCGGTAAATCGTGTATGTATGACTATCCCGACTCATCAGTGCCGTAGTTTGCGAGACGTTCTATTTGAAAACTGTCATAACTTCGGAGGACTTTCAACGGCGTGCAACATCGCACTGAGTGTCGAAGACGTACTCTTCTGCACCATACTTTCCAACTTCGATGCGATGCGCGACCTCAACGACGCAAGCGTGTACGTACGAGCGGTATGTGATGCGGCCGGCGTCACTCTTTGCCCGCTGGAGCTGATTTCCAAGGCTGGCAGCATTCTTGCCGCTTCCGTTGCACGACCGCTGGCCAACGCGATCTGCGAGAAGTGCGCTTTGTCGGATGAGCTGCGATTGCTTCGACTCGAGGTCATGTCGCTGCGTCACAAGCTCGACGTGTACCATGAAGTCGTCGCGCCAACAGCTCCGCAACAGCAACCCGACGGGGTGGCTGTCGCCCAGATCGTCGAGAACCGGCTCAAGGCGTTCAACGTCTCCATCTCGGCATTCATCTACAAGTGGTACACGGAAGCTCCGTGGAAGCTAGCCACGCCAAGGGTGAAGGAACAGCAGTTGTCGGCTGCCGAAAAAAAGTGCGGAAGAGCGAGCAAACTACGCTCAGTGACATGAAGACACGCCTTGCAATCGTCATGCACGTTGCGCAGATGGACATCAACGTTCGGCCGCAGCCTCCGTCAAGCGATCGAGTCGCTCGCCGCACGTGGAAATCTTCCATTCAACAGCTCGGCGAACTCATGGAGACTGCCTTCAATGCCAACATGCACGCTCTGGATGGCAAGAACGCGACCAAGAAGATCCAGGGCGTCCGCAAGCGGTACAGCTCGCTCATGCTCAGCAATTTGCCGGCTGGACACAAGATGTACTTGGCCACCTACAACAGAATCCAAGCCAAGAAGCTGCAGGACAACGAGACTCCAACTGAAGTTTTCGTGCTCCCAAAGTTCGTCAGCGCTGGTCTAGCTGGTTGCGATCCCGAACTGTAGTTTAAAAAAGTAAGTTCCCTGCTTGACCAGCAGTACAACCCGTATGTGCAAACGACACTAAGAGAAACAATACTCTATTTTGTGTCATCACGCCGTGAATAACACTGTTTGGTTGAAAAACGATACTCTATTTTGTGTCTTCACGCCGTGAATAACACTATTTGTATACAACGTGTGGTTCTGACGTGGCCATTTTGCGTCAGAGCTTGCAGCGACTACACGTGTTGACGCGATGGACATGCCTTGCCCCGAGGCTGCTGTTCCGGCCGCCCTCCAGCCCGGGAAGCCGCCTCAGCTGGATGCGCAGCATTTGCTACCAGTACCCGCGCCATCGCCGACGATGTACATGTACCGCGGGCCTAGCTTCGTCGAGGCATTCGGGAACAAGTTTCAATCCAAGGAAGAGTTCAAGACTGCCGTCCGTCAGTTCAATGCGCTCGCAGCCCCAATGTCCTTGGTCGTAAACAGCGCGCGGTACCTCAAGTGCAACCGAGGAGCCAACAAGCAACGATACAGATCCGTTCCAGATTGTCCTGCCGGCGTCAAGTGCGACATAGTCCAAGGCCAATACTACCTCGGTGTCGAGTGCGTAGACCATACGCACCATGTCCCGGAGCGACTTGCGCCCATCGCTCTTCTGCGATATCAACCAACCAACAAGGTCGCGCCTACCATCGTGCCCGAGGCCACCGCGCTCACGGTCGAGCCCGAGGTCAAGCCTACGGTCGAGCCCGCGCTCACAGTCGAGCCCACGCTTACGGTCGAGCCCGAGGTCGAGCCCGAGGTCGAGCCCACGGTCGAGCCCGCGCTCACAGTCGAGCCCACGGTCGAGCCCATTGTCCCGCCTGCACGAACCGACATGCTCGAGGCGGACATCAGACGTGCGGGCCTGACCACACCACTCTATCTAATCCATACTGTCATAGGCGAGAGGCACAGGATTATGCGAACGGTGCACGAACTGGAAAAGCGACTTGCTATATCCCTCGTCGGCCCATGCCTCGAGTCGAAGGACACGGAGAGGTTGGCACCTCTCCTTCTACATGGTACGTATTTGTCTTGAGTTTGGTGGATTTCACATGTATATCACTGTAGACCCCTTCGTCTTGTATCGAGGCTGTCTCAGTGATCTAGTCTACAGAAAGTGGATAAACGACAGTGTCTGTGTTCGCATGCATACTCGTTCTAAAAAATTCTCATGTATTTCTATTCACGTAGATTATCTCGATGTGGCTGCACATGGTCGTCACGCTCTCGTCGTGTCTTGGGAAGAATACGACCTTTATTGAACCAGGACTGTGGTTCTCGCTAGTCAAAGAGACAGCGCACAATCAGTACTGGGAGGACAACATCCTCATGCTCGACATTGTGTTTATCCCGGTCAACGTTGGCAACAGCCATTGGTTTCTCATTGCGATCGATGTCTCTCGGCGTCGCATTCTCGTCTTCGACATGTTCGCACAAGACCGAAGAAGACGCGGCGCTGAGGTCTTGAAGAAGCGCGACGTTGCTTATGCATGTCATCTTGTCCAGGCAGCGAGCGATGCGGTGTTCATGCGCCGACCAAGTCCGATCTTTGAGCAAGGGCCGATTGCCACGGAAGTTTTTGAACTCCACACGCCGGACGAGCCCTCCGAAGAAGAAGAGCCTCGACCCCGCAAGCTCCCACAGAAGGCCAAGCGTACCAAGCCTATCGCGGGTGACAAGACTAGCCCGTCAGAGTCCGGTTCCATGAAAAAGTGGCTTCAGACATCAGCATCGAGCTCGTTGCCCGCATCGTCGTCTGGATCCGGAAAGAAACGACGCCGGCGAGTTCGGTCCCAGATCTCAATTGACCGCGCGACAGCGGCTGCTGCTCATGCCCCGCTTCTCAGGTTCGAGTATTGCGAGGGACCGACGATTCCAAGCAGCAAGGACAATGTGCCTGCCGATCGATCCGCTTGGCGCGTACTCTATCACCGGACACCGCAGAAGAACGGCCTCGACTGCGGCATATATGTGTGCGCAATTGCCGAAGCAATGGTGCGCGACCAGCCTATCGATCACCTCAACGACAATGCCATGCTTCAATATCGGTATCGCATGACTCAGCTTCTCTACCAGCGTAAGATACCGACTGACTATCATTTATTTTAACAACACCAATATGATTCGGATCTTCCCCAATTGTGCTCTAGCCAGCGTCCTCTCCCTTGAGATTGCATTGCAACGCACAGAGAATCGGTTCATGCGCCAAGGTATTGCTGCCATTGCCACACTACTAGATGGACACCAGAAGATTTTTAATAGTCGAAATCGTATGCTCACAACGTGAACAACACTATTTTAAAACTAGATAGACGGCACGATACGTATTATCGTCGTAATTGTATGCTCACAGCGTGAACAACACTATTTTAATACTAGATAGACGGCACGATACTTTTTATCGTCGTAATTGTATGCTCACAGCGTGAACAGCACTATTTCAATACTGGATAGACGGCACAACACTTTTATACTTGTAATTGTATGCTCACAGCGTGAACAACACTATTTGATTACTAGCACTAGGGAAAAAGTGTAATATTTGGACCGTGATGCCTCTCACACAGGACTACACGCACACCGGCTTACTGTGTATGTTGACCATGGATCCTACTGCAAGAAGCTGGTGTTGTTAGTGCACCGCTTTGTGCGGACGCAAGTGTAGAGCCGATCCAGCGATCCAGCTAGCTGAAGCGCATCTACGCGGGCCTGCATCATGTCGACAAAGTACGACCTCGGTCCTTTTGGCCAATGGAATGGCTTCCGAGAAGTATCGGACGTTTCTGATTGGCTATCGATTTGACTCGGTTTAAGTATTGAAATTGGCCAGATTTTTTTTCTTCGACTTGACATACAAATTTCAAGTCAACCCTTTCCGGGAGTTCTGCATTACAGTACGTCGTAGGAACCAGACGCAGCGATGGGCTCCTTGGCCTTTTCGTCGATTACATGACACAGCCCACGCGAACGCCCCTCTTCTTCTATACAGCACGCGAGTATTCATACGTGTCTACCAAAGTGCAATCCACTGGATGCCACCGACGACGACGACGACGACATGGACTCGAGTTATCATGCGAGGCTCCGACACCGTCGTCGCACATGGCGCGCGACATGTGCTGCCGATTAATCGCCGTCAACAGCTTGGGCTCGACGTCCCACGCTGCACCAGGATTTGCACGGTGCGAACCAACTCTTATTCTTCTTCTGTTTTTACTTGTTCGGAAATGGACGTTCTCGACACCGATGAGCGTTGGCACTACGTGGTGCGAATTGCGCTTCCTACCATCTGCAGCATTCGCCCTTTCAATCCTCAAGTGACCGCGTTTTTGGAAGCGTCGTGTTGACAGGTGCAACGAGAGAGATCGCCGCATCGTACCCAGTACGTGCACCGCCATTACAAACAGAGACGACGGCGATCATGACGACGTCTGCAGCCACGAGCTTGAGCCTTCTGGCCGACGCGTGGGCAGACTCGTGGCGCGATTGCGCGCCTACCTTGTGCAACGCGCCGCAAACCGACTTTGCCCCGTGTATGTGGCACGTGGGCGCGCTCGCCTCGAACAGAAGTCTCAACTGTACGTGGCGCTACGAGGACGATGCGAGTGACGGCGCGCCCATCCAGTACGCGTCGACGTTGCCGATCCCGCTCGCCCTTCACGTCCGGGCCGCGCCGCTCACAGTGCGCTGTGCCTTCAATGCGACAACCTTGGAACGCCGCTTCGACCTGCGCACCTGCGATAGTGTGACGCGCTACGACGTGTACCACCCGCTGCACCGAGGCGCCTTCTTGGAGCAGACGTGCGCGAAGAAGCGTGGGCCGCACCAAGCCTGCGCCGGCCATATTATCTCGTGGGACAGTGCTCGCACACGCTATCAAAACGCCACACGGCGGCCGCTCGAGTGCTGCAACGCCCGTGGCGTGCTCCCGGCCTTCTCCTGCGATCTCAACACCACCATTATCGACGGGCTTGGTGTCTGCCAAGTCGCTCCGTTCGCCACGTATGGCCTCTACGACGTGCACGTGCTGCAGATCTCGGTCGACTTTGCGTACGCGTACCCCAACATCGCGATCGGCTTTGGCGGTTTGCTTGGGCTCGTCGCGCTGCTCGGGACCTTGGTCTGGGTCGTCCAGTTGGCCGCGCTTGTGGTCAACGACCACGACGAGACGCGGCGCATGGAAACGAGCTACTACTACAAGGAGCTGCCAGCGTAACTCCAACATGGCATTGATTTATACAGCGTTAAAGCGTCTCTTGCGCTGCATCTAGTACTGGCGGAGGATGTGTCGTGCCACAGCTGAAGATGAGGTGTCGCACGCCAAACGAAGGCATCGCTGGCTCTGGCAGCGACGCGGACGTGGCGGATCTGCTGGGTCGGGCTGTACAGTAGGATGGTACGTGCTGCCACGCACCGAATCGACGACCGTCAAGGTATGACGCAGACAATCTTCTTGCGCTTGGCTACCGAACCAACCCACGCACGAGCCTCTAACGCTCCTCACTTGACGCACCGGCCATGCCTCACGAGCGCATGAGTAAGTTCTCCATCTTTTTATAATTGCATGGAATGACTCATTACAATGACGCGTGCGTCCGATGCGAACGCGACGCTGCATCTTGACGATGGCCATCAAAATCTTAGCGCCAAAAGCCACCAATCACCGTCCGGGGCGTTGGTGGTTGATGACCAATCACAATCGATCCAGCGGTACAGTGAGATTTACAGGCGATGAAGCGCAAGGCGGCGACGAAGGGTGCCAAGGCGACCAAGCGCCATGCGAAGGACGGTACGTGGCCATGCTAACGCGTTAGCGCACAAGCTCTGCGTAGCCATCGCGAGCGACGTATTGACCCTTGTCGCCGACGCCGCCACCGACACCTACCCGATGCTGGACGCAGATGCCATCCTCGCCAAGCTCGTGCACCCGATGACGACGGACGCCTTTATGACGACGCACTTCCGCCAGAAGGCCCTCGCTGTGCACACGTCGCCGGCTCGCTTTGACCAGCTTGTTGTGTCGGGCCTGTGCAACTTGGACGTGAAGGCGCTCCTCGAGGTCACGTCCTCGGGCGAGTACTGCAAACCACGGACAAGAAGATCGAGGCGGTCAAGGATGGGACTGTCAAGCAGGCGCTCGTGCTTCACCGCGCCGGCCACTCGCTCTACATGCGGTCGTCAGAGGCGCTCAGCGCGCTCTTGATTCCGGCGCTCGCCAAGGAACTCGGCATGGGCTTTACCACGACGTCGCTCTTTGGCGAACTCAACGGCGAAATTGAAATCGTTTGCGGCAAGGCGGGCCACACGACTGATTGGTCTCTCCAAGGTATCGTCGTCGACGGTTGTGCTAACGTATGCGTAGGCGCTTTGACTTGATGGAGAACTTTACCGTCCAGCTCGCCGGCTCCCAGACGTGGAAGCTACAGAAAGGGACAGTGCCGCATCCCGTACTGCACTACAAGACGCAGGACGCGGTCGAGCAGGAGCTCAAAGTGCACTGGATGACGGACCCGACCTTTGCCGACGCGCCTCCCCTCGACGGTGGCGACGACTACGTCAGCGTCACACTCCGCCCGGGCTCGATGCTGTACGTTCCTAGTGGCATGTGGCACCGCGTCGAGTGTGCGGACGACGAGGACTCGATCTCGATGAACTTGAGCATGTTCTCGACGCCGTACGCCGACGCTGTCCGCCAGCTCCTGTTGCAGACGGCAGCAGGTCGGGCTGGTGTCAACTACGAGTCGATTGAGGACGCCCACGCGCAGCTCGCGACCGTGCTGGAGACGCTCCGGACGCAGCTGCAGTCGATCAAACCCGCCGACATTTGCCCGCGACGCCTCTTGGTGCACGGTCGGGACGGCCAGCTAGCGGTCACCGACGAGGTCGACCACGATCATGAGCACGAGCATGAGCATGGCAGTTGCCAAGATCATGACCACGACCATGACCATGCGGACGACAACGAGAGTGACGACGACAGCGCGTCGACGGTGCTCGATGCGTGTGACGCGCAGCTCGTCAAGGATCCGTCCGTGACGATCGCGGGGAGCGCGCGCTTCCGCTTGAACCCACTGGCCAATTTCCTCGCGTTCCGCGACGTGCCGTCCATCCGTGCGCGCATGGACCACGACGTGGACCGCCTCTATGTCCTCAACGTCGGGTACGGCCATGGCAGCTACGCGTCGAGCTTGGCGTCGAGTTTGTCGTGAGCGAGTCGCAGGTCGACGCGCTGAGAACGCTGCGATCAAAAGCGACGAGCGCACAGTTTACGCTGCGGGACATTGCAAGAACGCCGACGCGCGACGTGGAAGGGCTCGTCCGTTTCCTGGCCCACGTCGGCTTTCTCACACGGCTTGACGCGGACGAGGTCGGGGTCGAGCCCTTGCACGGCATGGCCAACGCCAAAGAGAAAGGCTTCAAGCAAGGCCGCTGCCGTGTGTGCAAGGCGCGAGGATCGGCACAGACCGGTGGGCGCAAGCACCAAACGTACTCCTACTGCCCAAAGTGCACGGAAGACAACCAAGGCAAGATCTTCTACCTGTGCAAGGACGTGCACTTCAGCGACCAGCCGATTGATAGGCGACAGTACAGCTGCCACGACTTGTGGCACTACGTCTGGAAGTTCCAGGTCCCAACGTGATGGCTTGGACGGTCCGTTGCGAACGCACCAACCTTTATATATGGAATATTCTCTTACATGTAAATCGCTGTGGCCGAGAATCGGCCACTCAGTCCTCGGAGGGTTGAGCGAGTCATCGATCCGACCGCGATGAGTCCCACGGGCAGGAAGATCGTTTTTCATTTCGTCTGGGTATCTGAGTTGACACAGCCCTTTTCTTACACCAGACGAGTGGCACCGCAGCGTGACGCCAACGCACGGACGACCGTCGTAGCTCACACCCTCTCTCGAAGCTCTTCCGAGTCTGAAGAGACGGGAGATCGAGGGGTGAGAGCGGGCGGCGAGAGACAGGCGCCGCGCTCATGGGTCCTACCGCAGGACTAATGCCTTAGAGCTAGGCCTTGGACCAAATCACGCAGCTTGGCCCGAGTAATCACCGCCATTACAAGGAACAGTTTAGCTTCGCCGCTCATCGCTACTAGAAAGGATGCCAGCAGCTCCGAGAACCTCGACAGGCCTCACCTCTGCGGTGCGAGTCAGCTCCTAACCTCCTCCTCACCTGGCATTTAGCCATAGGACTTGCATGCTACAAGAGCCCTTGTCGAACGACGACGGGTGCTGGAAGCGCGCCAAACGCGCCAGCGGCGAAAAGGCGGTGCCCAGGTTGGACACCGGATAAAATTCGTAATTTATCCGGATTCAAAAACCCGCGAACCGCCCGAAGTGTATCCGGACGGCCGGATTTAGCATTATTCGCGTCGGCCGGGCCTCAAGATGGCACGCCCCAAGCAAGCACCCAAGGGCAAGGGGAAGAGCCGCCAAGGCGACCCCGCGCCCGCCAAGGACAAGGCTGGAAGAACCAAGACGAGCGTCGCCCAGCAGCTCACCGCAGACCTCGAGCGCCTCCGTGGCCTCGGCAACGGCGACCTGGACGCCGACGAGGCCAAGGCCATGGCCCGCGACCTCAGCGCCGAAGAGCGCTTGACCCACGCAGACGCGCACGTGCGCCTTCTCGTAGCGTCCTGCGCCGCCGAGCTCCTGCGCTTGACGGCGCCCGAGACGCCGTTTGCGTCGGACCAGGCGCTGCATGACGTCTTTGGCCTCGTCATTCGCGCCTTGAAGGAGTCGACCAAGGATACGGACATTGCGTGGTTTGGGCTTCTCGAGACGCTCGCGTCCGTCAAGAGCTGCAATCTCATGGTCGGTTTGCAGCCCGAGTTGCTGGAGACATCTTCGTCGTCCGACTTAGTCCCGCAGTCACCTCTGCTTTTTCGAGCGGCTGCAAGACGACCACTCGCCCAAGGTCGAAGCCAACATGATTACCATCATGGCGAGCTGCTTGGAAGAAGAAGGCGACGCCGTGAGTCCGGCGATCCTCGAAGCGCTTTTGGAACCGCTCCTTGAAGCGTCCAAGCCGCGGACGTACCATATGGCGCAGCAGGTCATTGAGAAGGCGACGGACGTGCTCCAGACGCACTTGAGCCTCTTCTTCAACAGCGCGCTCGTCGACGTGCGTGGCGCGAGCGAGCACTCGGCGCTCAAGGAGCATATTCACGCGCTCATCTACGAAGTGCACAAGGTCAACCCGAGCTTGCTCTTGTACGTGCTGCCGAACGTGTGCCTCCAGCTCCAAGTCGACGACCTCGACACGCGCTCGAACGCGATTGCGCTCATGGGCCGTCTCTTTGCGTCGTCGCACGCCGACTACGGGTCGCAGTACCTCAAGAACTTTCGCGAGTTTCTCGATCGGTTCCGCGACGTGAAGAAGGAAGTGCGCCTCCAAATGGTCCAGGTCTGTGCGATCATTGCGCAGCGCAAGCCCGACTTGTTGCATCTCATCGAACCCGAGATGATGGGTCGGCTCCAGGACGCCGAGTGGGACGTCCGGCGTCTCGCGATGAACGAGCTCTGCGACCTCGCGGCGAAGAGCGTAACGAGCGTCAGCGCGTCGTGTCTTCGCCAAATCGGCGAGCGCATGAAGGACAAGAAGGTCGTCATTCGCAAGGAAGCCATGACGGGCCTCGCGCAGATCTACTCGGCCCACGTGGCGAGCAGCCTCAGCACCGGCGCCAACGAATTGACGGCCGCGGCGACCGCGCTCTCGTGGGTGCCCGATTACGTCCTCAAATGCTTCGCGTACCCGCAGCAAGAGCTCAAGCTGCGCGTGGTGCAACTGCTCGACGACATTTTGCTGCCGAAAGCCACGTCGGAGCTGCATCGCATGAAGGGCCTCGTCTTTCTTTGGAAGCACCTCGAACCGAGCGCCAAAGAAGCGCTCAAGCGCATCTTCCTCGAGCGCGTGCGTTGCCGGGATGCGATCACGACGTTTGTCGACATCAAGCAGCTCATGCGGCACAAGAAGAACGCGACAGCCGCGACGCCCGAAGTGCTCCACATGATCGAGTGCTTGAAGGAGCTCCAGCCTCTCCTTCCCGAGACGGACGGCTGGGCGTCGTTGACCGAGAAGCTCGCGCTCTGGAAGGACATGAAGCTCGTCAAGCACCTCGAGCTCCTCTGCGCACCCTCGAGCTCGAGCGCCGACCTCCGCAAGGCCCGCGAAGACGTGGTCAAGATGCTCGGCTCCAAGACGCCGCTTGGCGAGTGGATGAAAAACCTGTGTCGGAAGCTCGCGATGCTCACGATCAACGCCACGAGCCTCGAGTCGCTCCTCTCCATGCTGCAGCACGAATCGACGAGCCGGGACACCAAGACGGTGGTCGAGATCCTCTTGTTTGTCGCGGGACATGCGCCGTTCCTCTTCGAAGCGCATCTCAACACGCTCGAGGCGCTCTTGGACGACGACACGCAGGCGGCGTGCGTCCTGGACATTCTTATTGCGTACGGCAAGTACCGCAAGGCGCACACGACTGCGCGCGCCCCCGACAGCGCGCTCGAAGGCGTCCTCCTCGCCGCCGCGCAAGAGTCGGAGGGCGACGAGATTGTCAAGAAGAGCACGCGTGCGCTTGTGCTTCTCTTCCCGCGCGCGCCGGCCGTCAAGGCGTGGCTCGTGGCACTGGCCAAAGCGTCGACGCACGAGGATGCACAGCTGGTCGCGCTCGCGACCTTGGCCAAGCATATCTCGGTGCCGGCCGAGTGCAAGGCGCTGTGTGCTTTGCTCTTGGCGTCCACGGCCTCGTCGCATGCGAAAATGAAGAAGAAGGAGCTCCACACGTTGGCCCTGCAGCTGCGCGTGCTGGGCCATATGGCCGTGTACCAGTTTCCCGACGACGCGGCCAAGGCGCGGTCGGTGCTCGACATTCTGACGCCGTTGCTGGCGTCGGCGCAGGCGCCGCTGCGGCGCGTCGCCGCGCAGACGATGCTCGTTTTGAGTCGCACGCCGCTGCTCGAGAGCCAAGTGCGCACCAACGAGTGGCACGCGCTCAGCTACGCCGTCACGGACGAGGACGTTGGTGTCCGAGAGGCGATCCTCAAGATGCTGACGGCCAATCTTTTGCGGCATGCGATCCCGCACCCGCACAAGTACACGGCGATGCTGGCGCTGACCGTGCACGAGACACACGTCGAGCTCAAGAAGACGGCTCGCACGCTTTTGGCGACGGCCGTCACGCGTCTCCGCCGAGCGTTCGAGGCCCGCGACCAAGACGACGCAACGAACGACGAAGCGAGCTCGCTCATGGTGCCCGAGTACACGCTGCCATTCGTGTTGCATCTCGTCTTGCACCCGCCGCATGGCAGCGCCAAGCTCCATGACGCGCCGTCGTTGTTGCTCGACGTTCTTGTCTCGAACGTGGCGTCCGAGGCCGACAACATTTCGTTTTTGCTCCAAATGCTGCACAAGATGAGCATGTGTCATGACGCGACCGAGCCGACGGCCAATGGGCTCTACAAGGTCGTGCAACAGTGTACGTCGACGCTTCGCGCCAAGATCAAGAACCAAGTCAACCTCAAGCCGTACCCGGGCCAAATCTTCCTGCCCAAAGACCTCTTCCAGCCCGGCAAGGCCGAGAACGACAACGACGCCAACGACTCGGACGCGAGCGATGACAACGAGGCCAAGTCGAGCAAGACGCCCAAGAAGCGGACGCTCCCGAAAGCAAACCACGCGCCCAAGGCCAAGAAGGCCAAGCCGACACCGGCCAAGACCAAGGCCTCGGACGACGACCCGCCGCCGCGACGGTACCTTAGCAACGTGATGAAACGAGGTTCATCGTGTGTATTTGCATTAGCATGCCGTCCCGCCGTGCGAAGCAAACCGAAGCCAATCTGGCGGACCCCGACAGCGACGTGGAAGAATACGCTGCCGAAGCAAGCGCGCCCGCGTCGTCGATCCGCGCGTACTTTACGCCGGTGCGTGCTCAGGCCCGTGCCACAAATGACAGCGACAGCGACGATGGCGAAGAAGAGACCAAGCACGCTGGCAGCGACAACGAGGAAGAAACCAAGGCTGCCGGTAGCGACGACGACGAAGACATGGTACTATCTCATGCCATATATTATCCTCTCGTCCCTGACACGACGCGTGTAGACGAGCTTCCGTCCTCGCCGCCGCCGGTAACAAGGAGCGTTGCTTGCTTTTTTACTTCATTACGAAGCTCTACGTATGCGTACTACTACTCTTTGAACACAAACTCGGCAAGCAGCGGGAGATGGTCGGAGCCCACATGTCGGTTGGGCAACGCGCCTTCGCACGTGGCATCGGCCAACGTCATGAGCGGTGCGAGGGCCGCGACATCGACCCTACGTTGCCGTGTCGTACATGTGAGCGTGGACACGTGTCGATACCTCGGCCGCTCGTAGAAGATGTAGTCGAGCGTTCCGAGAAACGCTGGCGACCCGTCGGCGGTGACACCGTTGCAGTTGGTGAACGCCGGCTCGCCGTCGGCAGCGTACGCCGCATACGCACTGCCGTACGTCGCTGTAATGAGCTTGTACACGTCGCTGTCGGGCAGCGAGTTGAAGTCGCCTGCCAAGAAGACACTGCCAGCGCGCGTGGCGGTGAAGGACGCGATCGCAGATAGCATGTGCTCCGTCTGCGCGAGCTTCACGTCGGCCTCCTTGGGGTCCCAGAAGAGATGGGTTGTCGCGACCACAACCAGCGCGCCGTCGACAGTGGAGCGAAACTGCCCAAGAAGCCCGACGTTGTCCCGTGCGAGGAGCCGGCGCGCGAGGTCGGCGTCGGTCGCTATGGTAAGGTCGTAAAGTGGCGCCGGTAGATGACAGGAGTGGATACCATTGACAGCAGCGTGCTTGAGGTGGACTTGCTCGCTATGCAAGAGCTCGAGCCTACAACCACCACGTACAGGAGGCTGTCGATGCGCACCCGAAGCTACCGGTCGGGCTGCCAGAAGATCGCGACGCCGTCTTGCTTGGCGCTGGTCTTTTGCGCGTACATGCTACTGGCGTCGTTAGTCGGTCGCCGAGCCGATGCGTGCGAGGTACCCAGCGTAGCCCATCGCCGCCATCGTGTCTTTCCAGAACGCTTCGTACTGGTCGCACTCCTAGCACATACGTCGTCTGGGTAGTATGGCACTGGAGTGATGGACGCATACCTGGAGGCAGATGACGTCGGGTCGGGTCGGAAGGGCAGCAAATTGGTTCTTCTACAGCCGGCATGAGTGCGAGGAGCGCTATCGGCGGTGGCGTCGGACGAGGAGCTGGCTGCGGTTCTTCCAGCGCAGCGCCTTGCTGTCGCAGTACGGGAAGAAGGACGAGCGCACGTAGCACTGCGCGAGGACGTTGTAGCTCATGATCGAGAGCCGCCGCATGGGTGCATGGCCAACTACGCCATCGTCGACATGCTTAGCCATCTAGCAAGCACGGCCAAGACGACGTACGACGACCAGCGACCGGCGGGCTGCTCATGCTCATGCTGCGGATGATGATGCTGCTCGACGCAAGCGCCAATCAAGCGTCCGCAGCGTATCGCAGGTGAATAAAATGCACGTGACTCTCTGTTTTTGTATACTAAATAAAATGTATGGTATTAAATGAGAGACGATGGATACAAGAATTACTGCGGCGCTCGACAAAGTGCGGGAAAAAGGGGTTTGTCCCAGCGCCCAAAGATCTCGCCAACTGCTCTCGCCTTGGATACAAGAATTGTACCCTCCCTAGCTACATACTTTTCGCTTCTACGATCCCTACTCGAGAAGAGACTGCGTGCAGACTTGGCCGTTGAGCCAATTGCGCGCTGCAAGATCCTCGCACGGTGTCGATTTCCGAGCCCATCGACCACAGGTCGCGTGTCCCAGCGGCCCAGCGCCGCGACCTGGTCTTGGGTAAACACGGAGCGAACCGAGCCATGGACGACGTCGGTACAGGTCGATCAGAGAGATCCGAGCTCCCATGGAATCTGACAACCAGCTCAAATCGTTGAGCCTTCCGGCAAGATGACCCGAGGCGAAAATGATGGTCCACATTGATGGTCTCTCAGTTGTTGATGGTCCATGGTCCAGAGTCCATGGGCAGGAGCTTCATGCAGTTGCATGTACATTACGAGCCGAAGACGACGTTGCGCACTGGGACGATGGAGCTATGAGCAGTACATATAGGAGCAAAGGTAGTGCTCTACTGCCGAGTCTGGCCACCAAGGTCGTCAAGTCGATGATGGCCGGCCCGGTTGGCGAAGTCTCCGTCGTTTGTCCCAACTATAATCGCACTTACGAGAGCATTGTCCGGTTCCGCTGGCAGCTATTCTTGCATAATCACCGCCGATGGACGAGACCCCGTCGCTGTGGAGCCCCGGGCAGCTCGTGGCATGGCTCACGTCCTTCGAGGACGGGCGGTACGCGCCCTTGATAAGCCAGGTCCGCGCCTTCTCGGCCGGCAGCTCGTCGAGCTCGCGCCCGACGCACTGGCGCGCCTCCACGCCGCCCGCGCCTGGCGACCAGCCTCCGCTACACGCTCTTGGCGATGAACCAGGTGTCGTCCCGCGGCTCGCACGACATTGTCGCGACGCCACGCAGCCCGTACATTGGCGCGACAACGCCGATCGGCATGGACCCTCTCCCGTCCATGCGGCCCAGCGAAGCGAGCAGCAGCGGAAGCCCGAAGAAGGTCACGGTGCCCGTGGTGTTTCCGCCCATGATTGCGCGGCCAACGCTCCTCGCCTCGATCGTCATCTTTCTCCTCGCGCTCGCGGTCACGCTCATCTTTACCGTCTTCAAGGACGACTTGGACAAGACGGACTACCCGGCGTCGCACGTGCTTGCGATCATGTCGATTCCCGTCATCAGTATCGTCTTTACCTACGTGCACATTTGGCTCGCCTTGTACATGACGTTCTACCCGCTCAACTACGTTGGCATTGGCCAGTACCCGGGTACGAACATGGGCCTCTGCGGCTGGCAGGGCATCGTGCCCTTTAAGGGCGAGAAGATGGCCCGCATGTCGGTGCGCATCATGACGACGCAGCTCATGGACGTGCGCGAGGTGTTTGGCAAGATTGATCCTGCCCAAGTCTCGAAGGAGCTCGAGCCGATCCTCTTCAACACGATCAAGGACATCATCGAGTCCATGGCGCTCAAGTACAACCCGGGCTTATGGAGCGTGCTGCCGCAAGCGGTCAAGGACGAGATCGTCGAGAAGGTCAAGGAAGAAGCGCCCAAGCACATTGAATCGATGATGCTCGAGATCCGCAGTCGCATCGAAGACGTCTTTGACATTGAAGACATGGTCGTCACCAACATGATGAAGGACAAGCAGCTCATCGTCAACATGTTTGTGACGTGCGGCTACAAGGAGCTCGCGTTCATCCGCAACTCGGGCGCGTACATGGGCGGCCTCTTTGGCCTCATTCAAATGGGCATCTACCTCCTCTTCCCGAAGCTCTCGGTGTACGTGACTTTTCCCGGCTTTGGCCTCCTCGTGGGGACGCTCACGAATTGGCTCGCGCTCAAGATGATCTTCGAGCCCGTCTTTCCAAAGAAGGTGGGCTGCTTGACCTTCCACGGCCTCTTTCTGCGCCGCCAAAAGGAAGTCGCGGCCGTCTACGCCAAGATGGTGGCCTCGGACGTGCTCAACGCGCGCAACATCATCGAAGCCATTCTCAAGGGCCCGGCCTCGGACAAGCTCTTTGAACTCGTGTACGCCAACGTCCAAACCGCGGTGAACGCGGGCGCGTCGATCGCCGACAAGATTGTGAGCATCGGCATCGGCAAGGACACGTACAACTCGATCAAGGACGACATCACGGACCTCGTGGTGCAGAAGTTTCCTGAGAGTCTCCGCCACATTGAAGACTACACAACCGTGGCGCTGGACCTCGAGACGACGCTGCGCGAGAAGATGGGCACGCTGAGCTACGACCGGTTTGAGCGCTTGCTGCACCCGGTCTTTGAGGAGGACGAGTGGAAGCTTGTGCTCATGGGCGGTGCGCTCGGTCTCATTCTGGGCTTCATTCAGACACTGTACGAAGCCGACAACTCGTAAGACAATAGTGTTCTTGGTTCCCAGATTAGCATTTATTGTATACATATACGCAGTGTGGACAAGATGTCGTCATTGGTCTACGTCGCCGCCTCGTCATCCTCGTCGTCATCGTCGTCGTCGTCGTCGCCGTCGCCCGCCGTGCCGAGCTCAATCGACACTTGGCAGGTCGGGCACACCTTTTTGAGGCGCAGCCACGGGTCGATGCAGTCGGTGTGGTACGAGTGAAAGCAGGGCAGCGTCCGAATGTCATCGCCCGACTCGAAATTGTACCGACACACCAAGCACCTAGTCGCGTCTCGTCGTGAGGGTTCTCACGTGCATCATGAGAGCAGACTCAATGTCGATGCCTTCGCGCTCGCGGGAGAAGACGCGCTTGGGCAGCTGTGCAATCATGCGATCCGACGCACCGTGCCTGTATCATTGTTTCTCATCAATGATTAGGACCACGTATACTAAGTAGCATGTACGAGTTGGCGTCGGCTTGCTGGAGCTGGTTGGCCAGCATCACAAGACCCAACGTCCCTAATCATTGCCAACATCGTTCGACGCATCCACTCGCCTCCAGTAGAAATAGTACCGTGCGTGGCGACCAAGGCTTCAATCTCAAGGGGCGATGTCCCGATGCGAATCTCGTTCGAGAGCCGCGTCGTATCGTCTATCCAACATACGACAATATTACCATCAGCCACCACCTCTCAAAAGAGAGCTACCGTCAAACTGCCGCTGGAGCCAGAGCGCATACTGCACGTCAAACGAGTCGCGGGAGGTGCCGTCGATGGCCGGAAGCTCAATGCCCGGGATGCGACGCGTGCGGAGGTCGTCGAGAATCGCGGTCGGGAGGACGTAGCCAAAGAGCTGGTGCGGCGAGAGCACGCGGGCCTGGTCGTCGCCGCACTGCACGTGAAACTGCAGCGTGTGCTCGGCGAGCCGCACCGCGAGGTCGATCTGCGTCAAGTGGCCGTCGCCATAGCACGTGTACACGACGGTTTGCGGCACGATGTACGTCGCGATTGTCGTCCACGGCAAGGCCGGTGCGGGCGGGCGCCGCGGCGGCAAGACCGAGCTGCGATGCCGAGTCTCGTCTTCGGACGGCGTCGGCGTCGGCTCTTCTTCCGGCGGAAACGTGCCTGCGTCGGCACCAAACTCCATCTACAAGACAGAGTGTCTGCAATTGGTACATGGTGGCAGCGGCGTACGAGAAGGCCAAACTCGGCGTGCGGTGTGTACAGACTCGAGACGCAGTCAAAGTCGCCGGCTTTGAGCTGCAACACGACGGCCGCGCGGCGGTCGGTCGCGCCGTCGCAGAGCCGGAGAAGCAGACTCGAGTGAAGCCGCGTCTCAAACACGAGCTGACCGCGGCTGTTGACGGGCACGTGGTACATTTGCAGCAGCAAATCCCCCGTGTTGATGGTGCGTCCGACCTACCAGATCAAAAAGTTTCGTATCAAGCTTGTATCAAGTGGAAACGAGGACCTTGAACGCGTGTGGGCCGCTCGAGACGAGGATGCTGCGCAGACCGAGCACCATGCTCGAGTAAAACACATGGCCTTTCTCGTCTTGCAAGTCCGGTCCGGTCGGTACGTGTTGTCAGGCAGGTACCGCGACTACCCAATCCACACTTGATACATTGAAACGAAATTTGCACACCGTACGAGGCCGTCGGGGCACTTGAGGATCGAGATCCGGTGGATGTACAGCGGGTGCTGAGCTGGCAAGACCGCGGCGCCGCTGAGACTCGTGCGGTCTTGCAGCGATGTCTATCCACGGCCTTGTCACCGCATGTTACAAAGACAAACGAGTCGTACGCTGGCCAAGAGCTGTTGGTCGCGGAGGAGGAGGAGCCCGGTAAAGTCGCGCAGAAAACGCGCTTGCGGCCGCGGCGGGCCCGGGATGTACGACGTGTTGCGCGCGTCCGACTCGATGAACGTCTTGGAGAGCCGCAGCGCCAGCGACTCGGCGCTCTCGACGTTCTCGTTGAACCTACACGCAGCATGCATCACATGGATGGAATCGAATGGGCGGGCGGCTACCACTGCAAGATGCGCTCGCCGTACGCAATGAGATCGGTCCCAAACGGCGCGCGGTACATGGCGCAGCAGGCGAGGTAGACGCTCAGCTGCTCCTGGTTGGGCGCCAAGAGGACCGCGACGTGGGCGTCGTCGAGCGCGAGCCAGGACGCGACCGTCGAGGCAGCGACAAACATCGAATGCATCGACGGCACCGCGCCGCGCTTGAAGGGCAATGACGTCACGCGGCCGCCTAGGTAGACGCATGAGCGATCGCATGCAGATACGAAGAGCGCGGGATACCGGCAAAGGTGTCGGGCACGAGCGGCTTTTGGTGCGTCCGTTGCACCGCGTCGAGGAGACCGCAGTCCATGACGCACGCCTTCTCGGCAAAGCGACTCGCAATGGCAGCGTCGAGGGTGGACATGGCCAGCTGCGCGTCCGCCCACGTGCTCGTGTACGTCTTTGCGCCAAAGAGCTTGGTGACGGCTTGCATGGCCGGCGGCGCAAGCACGGCGAGGCGCGACGAAAAGTGCAGGATCGGGTCGTCGTTGGTTTTGCTAAAGAGGACGCTCGATATCGACTCTTTGAGCGCCCGCGACCAGCTCGCGACGGGTTCGTCGGCCGGGGCGGGGGCAGCAACGGCGCCGGGATCTGTGCATTCATGGGCGACGTGAGAGAGATGTCGCCCGTGCTTTGGCCGTCCACGAGCAGGCGCACGCGCGGGTCTTCGGCCACGCGCTCGAGGTTGATGCGTCGGAGGAAGGACGCTCCGCGCTCGGTCCAGCGCGGCTCGTGCGCGTCCGTCCGCTCGGCCATCGCCAAAGATTCCCGAAAATGCTGGAAAGAAACCATTTTATCGGTCCAGGATTAAAATTACACGTATTTTAATACGGCATCCTTGCGGTTTGAATACTCATTGTCACATAAAGACGTGCCATGGATAAATTAAAATAAGAAAAATATCGTATTTTTCTTATGATAATCGGGCCCGCGACAGAGTGTAGGTCCAACGGCCGGGGCTTTCGCGTGTTCCAGTGGAAATTACAGTGTCTTCGTTTCCACGCTGTGTGACGTCCTGAACCGCCCCATCTATACGCAGCCATCACGTAGGACTGGCTGGCGCTTTCGACGCGGTCATTTCGCGCGCGACAGAGAATGGTTGTGGTGTCAGGCGGCAAGCTCGCTACTCACTCTACGCGCCATCTGGCAGCGTACTGGCGCGAATATGCTGGTGCCACGTCAAAATATATGTACTGAGAAGCGCGCTGTCGCCATGTGCGGGTTCGAATCCCACCAACGCGGGCCGTAGTCATTATTTGGGCCGTAGTGAGTTGCAAGCATAGTACTTTGAACTTGCGTCGTCGGTCGTTTCGCCGTGCTGGCTTCTGGTGCTGCCACGTCATCCGAACGGCAACGCCTGGCTTGAAATAGCGCGGAACTCCCGCGATTGTCTTGCCTTTGGGGTAGGTATTCATTGCGCGCAGCTCGAGCGTGAAAAAGCCGTCCGGCTTGTCGGGCGCTAGTGGGCAGCACTCGTTGACGTTGTGGTAAGTCTGGCGTCGAGAAATGAGCTTGCATTGAGGTTTCAGCAAATGCTACAAATTGTACGCAACACATAATACTATCTTGGGTCGTCACTGCGTGTTGGGTTGGTCGGTGGACGGGGAAGCGACTTGTGGCTGGACTTGGTCATGGACGGTAGCACGGACGGTGGTCACCGTCTGAGACCAAGGGTATAATTATATACCCTTGCCGAGACCTAGCCCAGCTGCAAGTTGCTTCGTCTGGAAGGACTTGCTTTTTTACTGTTCGTGCAGAGCTTCAAGGACGGCAAGCTCGTCATTACGACCACGTGACACAATGCGCAGGAAGGCACGGGCGTCTGCTGGGCGAGCACGTCGGATGGCGCGTCGCGATGTCTCGTGCTGCGTTTCATACAGGCGACCTCCCATGGGCTTTTAACTGAGTAGGTTATTCGGTAGGTCGACCGATGGCTGATTCGGGCTGTACGCTCGCGCAGCTTGGCAGCGCGTGTCGAGGGCACGGATGCCGTGGTGGATGCGCGCACTTGACGAACTTGGGCGACAATGAGCTTGACCACGACAGGGCCAACAAGCTGCTCGAACGAAGGCGCTTGACCTTGAGAACGTAGTACTGTATCCGGATAGCCTTGATTTCAGCCAATCACCATCTCCAGAAATTTAACCTCGGTTTCGCAAACACCCGGGCACCGATTTTGCGTTCGAGGTTCAGCAGCACCCTGATATTTGAATACAAAACGAAGCAAATACCTTGGCATTTGTATGAGAAGTTGTACGATGGTTTTTAAAAGTATAAGATCAAATCATTTCAGAAAACGCAGCGTCGACGATGCAGTGGCTGTTCCCGACGGCCTTTGCGCCGGCCGCGCCTGCGCCGAAGGTTGAAGGCGAGCCTGAACTCATTGCCGCCGCCGAATGTGCGCGCATGCGACGACTGGGCACTGAAGAAGTGGAGCGCTTGAACGAGCGCATCGAAGAAGCTGCAACTTTGAAGCGGCAACGGGACGAGGCCTACACGACAAATCACCTCATGCACGCAAAGTTCATTGCCGAGAGAACGACACAAAGGTATGTCGCTCTCTCGGCAATGAACTGTGCGTGAGAGAGGCGATTTGTCTTGTAGGCCTCGTCCCGTCGCCGCTTCAGTGTTGCAGCTTCTTCGAAGCGCTCGTTCAAGCGCTCCACTTCTTCAGTGCACGTTCGTCGCATTTTCGAAACCACGCCCTAAGCGCGGAGCCACAACACTGCGACCATTTCAGTGGCCAAGGACACGTCTGTCTAGAATTATGAAGGCTCAAAGCGCCATGTATTTGCTCGCGTTAGCTCGCGTTGAATATCTAGATATTTTATGTTGGAATAAAGTTGCAATTAGCGAGGACGGCGCTACGCGTAGCCGACATGCTCTCGGTGGTCCGGATGTCCGGCAACGACCCCGTCGGTCGCTTGATGAGCGCCGTCTGTGCGTTTGTTAGGCAAAAAAATCATATCGAAGTCGTTGGACAAGTCGTCGTATGGTTGTTGCAACGGCGCGGTGGTGACGGTGGTGATCTCTGTCTCGTAACCCTACCTGCGCAGACAGGTTGAAGATGCGCCACGTCCATCCCAACGTGCATAGCACTGTCAGTCAAAGGCGCTATGGTGAGCTCTCTTGGCTAAGAGAGAAAAGGGAGCCGTAGGTTTGCATACAGGGGTTGCAGCAGCTCGGAGAATCGAAGTTGAAGGAGACCAAGAGCATGTGACAGGTTATCACGTCATCCGATGACGTGATGAGAAACCGTACACGATCGTTGTGCGATCGATCGACCGAACCTGCGTCGATGCACCACTGTCACTTTGAATGCAGAGCTCAAAGCGAGCGAGTCTTGGTCTTTGACGCCGACAGTTAATGCTGTCACCACAATCCGTCGGCTTTCTCTTTCCTCCCAGTGGCATTCTGGAGGTACTAGCTTCTTCAAGCCCCTCGCCGACCAGCTTCAACTATCCAAGCGATATGATATTCGCGATGACGCGTTTCTTAGTGAGCGTATTGGGTTGTTACACGTGCAAGCTACCATGCCACTGCTGAATCAAACGTTTCAGTGCTGCAAATGCACGGGATTTCATGTGCGATGGAGGAGCTGAAGCGGGAATTAGTGGAGCGCGAGAGCAGTCGAGGTGCCCGCATGTGTACATCCAAGGCGAGTGAGGGTGGTGGCGTTCTCTGTTTCGTAACCCTACCCGCACCGATACCTTGAAGTTGCGCCGCGTGCGTCCAGCCAAGCGAGCATGGTGTCAGTCAAAAGTACAATTGGGAGCTCTCTTGGCTGAGAAAGAACGGACCGCCGCTCCGTATATCGCACAGCGTGTATAATCCAGCTGCCAACTCGCGGCTTCCAGCCATCCACGCTACTGGTATCGCACATGGTCCAAGCCCGACATGAAGGTGTGCGAGTTGCAGCAATCGAAGGTATCGTGAAGGATTGCTTTGCTTCGCATTTGAATTCGATCACGGTGCCGAGGACGTCAAGTATACACGTCCATGCCACGTGGAAGTTCACCACGGCGAAACTCTATCATCTACAGAGTCATGTTTTTGCATTCAGGGACTATCCAGTGGCATGTCGCAATCAAAGGCTAGGACTTTCTCTCAAAACAACGGTGTCAGCCACAAATATCTTACGCCAAAGGGACGTACAAAAATGTACTTCATTGATTGTACAACACTCGGTTGAGGTCCAAGCGATGCTCGGCACCTTCATGGTCGCTGCCTTACCCCACGTGGACGAGCGCAGCGACCAACAAGTCGTGCCTCCTCGCGCTCTGCAAGCTCCTCGCGTTCGCCAGCTTCTTTGCGATCACGTTCTGAATGAGCGCCAGTTTTGAGGTACTACATAATGCGTCAGTGGGCAGGGCATCCTTTTGGGCCTTCCTTGGGCCTGTCCCGAGCGACCACTCGCGAGAGCCGTCGTCGATCCCGTGGCAAGGTACGGTCACTTGCGTGAAAAATAGATGCAACACTGCTGCAAAGAAAGAATTGCATCTTGACGCTCCAACTGCCACGTATTAAAGACCATCGCGACGTCTTCGGCGCCGAGGTCGCGTTCCAGACCGCCCTCGTCTGCTCTACTTTAACGACGACAGTCTCTCGACGCTCCAAGGTACATGGATGTAGGTACTCGATAATGTACGGAATCGTCATACGGTCGTAAGACGCATCGATGTCGATCATGCGCCAACCGTGCGCGTCACGGGCGAGCAGCAGTAGCTTCTTCGCGCCAAGAAAAAAGCCGGCTTTTTCAAACTCTCTAAGGCGCGCGCGCTGGAGTACGACAGCTGCCTCATTTGGATCACGACGCGAAGCAGCACCAAGCAATAAAGAAATGGCCGTCGAGGCTGGGGCTGGCGAGTGATGAGCGCGAGCGGCTGGCTTGGGGCTTGGCGTCCAGAGCCACTGCTGTGGCAAGACGCAGTGACCAGTCCTTGACCTTGGCATCAGTACGAGCAGCCCGTGCCTCCAATCGAATGAGCTGTTGAGAGTCGTCAGCGACGCCAGTATGCAGCGACGAATCGTCATTGCGCCAAACCTCGGTCGAGCATCAGGTTTTCCTGATTGCCTTAGATAAGTACTCAAACAGGTTGAAGTCAAGTTTGTAGTGTAGTATGTACTAGACAATTTGTGGGTTTGTTTGCACACATTGCACGACATTAGCAAGGACTAAACACATCGAGTATACTGTAGTACGTCCACAAGCTCGCTCGGCTCCATTTGTGGTGTGTCTTGGTGTTGGAGCTTGCCGCCGATGCAGGGTACTTGATCAAGGCAATTCGGTGCTGCTCTTGCCCAATCACGACGAATCCTCCCACCAACCCTTCCCCTTCTCACACTTGTTTTTTCTATGAGATGGAACCGCAAAAGTTTGGAAGCCACCTGGATTGCCTTATATGAGTGTATTGCAGGCGCCATTATGGCAGGTTGCAAGCATTTCACGCCGTCAGTTCTAGCTGCCCACATTGAACAGACGTCCGTAAGCGCACTCAGCTCCATTTGCAGCGCTTTGCGATGATCGAGCAGCACGTACCGGTGGTAGAACGACGCAGGACTACTTGAACAAGGGAATTTTGTGCATCCGGATACCGCTGCCCACGTCCGAAGGCGGCAAGATCGAACCACGTTCGCTCATTTCCGCTTTTGCTCAAAGACCCAGCAACGATGGACAGCAAGGAGATGGAGCCGAGTCCGCTTTCGCTCAATGACGAGCACGTGCACGACGAGGCGATGGCCGAGGAGCAGTTGAACCTCCGCATGCAGTATTATCGTGAGTGCACGGAGCGCGCGAGCACCGAGTACGAGGCGACCAAGAAGAAGGTCGAGGCGGTTGACGCCGAGATCGCGGCCCTCAAGGCGGAGACCGCGGCCATTGAAGCCGACACCGCCGCAGTCGAGGCGATGCGAGCTGATCTCGCGCACGTGAAGAGAATCTCTTGGCCACGAAACAGATCAAGCGCCCGGCGCCGCCGCCGACCGCCGGCCAGTCCAGCGATGGCCCCAACGCGGCCTGAGCCCGCTCAACCGCGGCCGCATAGCAACGAGCTACCGGTCCACGCAGAAATGTAGGACTTTAGTCTAACGTTTAAACGCGCATGCATTGAAACCATTAGTGTGCTGTCTTGTATTCGACCACGCGTCGTAGTGGTGCTGGTCTTTTACACGTGCGCCAACGTCGAGACGAGCGTCGTGCTTGCGTGCGCCCGCCCGTGCTCTCGCAGATGATTGTGCTCTGCCTCGTGCAGCAGCTCGGGTCGGACCTCCAGCGCGACTTGGGTCTGAGCCTCAAGTGGGTGCAGGACTCGCTCCTCGTCATGAACCCCCGGGACACGGCGATCGCACCGTTTGCCCAGAACGTGCTCCAGGAGCTCAAGGCCGCGCTCAACCAGGTGCCCGAGACGGCCCGCGACTCGCAGTTTACGCTCGTGCACCATATTTTAAACTCGACTAGTTAGTCCAAGTAGGTTCTACTAGTACGACTAATATACACACTACGTTGCGTGTTAAGAGCGTCTCCAACGTCCAACGCATCGAAAAATGGAGGTTTGAAGCTATGGCAGGACCGGCATGCTTGCGCTGTCGTCAAAGGGGTCTAACTATATTCACTTTTTACCGCGAAAACTACGATTTCATCCAATCCATGTCTCACGACACGTCTTCAGGGGCTATACAAGATTAATAAGGGATGTGTTGAGGAGGTCTTGAGGTCTCATGCAAATGTCGGTTTGAGCTGAAGGCCGAGTGGGTTCTTGGCGGCGAGGACGCGGTACCTACGAGAGAAGAAGAGACGAGCTGATGCTCGGGCGACGTAAACGGAGCCGGCCCCGGATCGCGGCCTGTCTCGTCAGAAAGATGATGTCTTGGAGCACGTTGTCACACTTGGCGGCATCCAGATCAGGGTGACCGAGCCGCCATGGCCCACAATGGGTACAGCGTCGCGCTGCACGCCGTGCGTGAACGGGAAACTGGTCGAGATTCGAGACGCGAGGCCACTAAACGGCCGCGCCAAGCCTTGTCGTGCGACTTCCAGGTACGGACACGCGAAGAATGCATGCACCTCCGTCTCCACGGCGCCGCAGCCATGTATGCACAAAATGGCGGCGGGCTCTTGGTGCTCGATGTAGTAGTGCAGGCGCGAGTTGACTGGAAGCATCCGCATCACGAGGCGGATGTCAAGCCGCATGCGCGCTGCGAGTTTTTTCCACGTGGACTCGTGGCCGCTCGGCGTCATCAAGTCGCGGAGCGCCCGGAACCCGTTGCCAGCCCCGTGCAGGCACCGTTCCCGACCCACGGCGCGCTTGACGAGCTTGACGAGCTTGTCGGACTTTGTCGATGGTCATTGGCTCGTACAGACGGGCATGTTGGTGAACATGTCGCATGTATGGGGGACCGCGACTCGTTTGGCCCACACCGTCTTGGCCCACTGGCGCCTGACGTCGCACCAAAATGGGTGCAGCTTCGACGTCTTGATGCCCCAATCTGGCAAGTAGCACAAACGTCGAACGGGTGCGATACAAGTAGCCCATGCCCGCGGCAAACTGCGTGAGAAAGACCAGCGGCGCCCAAAGCGGCCGTTCATCAGACGTTGCAGCGAGAGGCGCTGGGTGCGGATGGCCGACGCAACGTGCGGCATCCGTACAGTCGACCGAAAGCGGCCCGTCAAGTTCCTCGACGACGCAATTAGCGTCAACAAGGTCAACATTTCCAAAATTCCCAACATTAACCGCCATGGCTATATTAATAAACGACGGGGCTTCTGTGCGCTGATGCGCTTGGTACTGTCGAGATATGTATGGCCTTGGTACTGTGTACAGAAAAGAGGTCTGAAAGTACGCTTGACGTTGTACTAGTACTCAATTTATCAAGGTAACTTGAGCTATGCGCTCTTCGCTTGTCGGGGCAGGCTGCCTCTTTTTGTGGTTGGTTGCTCGGTGCTCTTGGTGACCTTCAGTGCTTGAGGTTGATGTTGTAGCGCTTGACGAAGACTGGTGGTTCTTGCAGTACGTGGGGTGTCGTTGATGGACCCGCGCAGTGCAGCCTTCGAACGCACATATCAGCTCGTCCTTCTTGATGTCGTCGTTCTTGCTGAACTTGGCGTGGTGCCAAGACACGTCCGACCGACGCATGCTTTCTTTGTTGCGTTTCGTCCCGTGTCCATCGGCCTGGATGGTAACGTGCTTGCAGCAAACCAGACGCTGCCGGTTGTTGAAGCGTTTTCGTCTTGGATTAGTTTCTGGCGGCACGCGTGAAGCTGTGTTTTTGGACCACGGCCAAGCAAGTGCGCCATCTTCAACCGTTGCCCGAACCGCAGTTTCCGTTTTAGCCAGGCAGCAACTGTCAACGTTCAAGACCCATGATCCAAGCTCATTTCCAATGAAGTCGCCAACAAAGCTCTCCTTAGCTATTCTTTTTATCCCACCCACCAGTCCCTTCTTGGGCGGCGGCGGCCTCCCAACACGAAGCTTACCCTTCTCCCCCACG